ACCGAGCCAGAGCCACCGGCTCCTAGTCCCGCTCTGCAGCAGCTGCTTCCCACCTGGCCTGCTCCTGCAGTACCCTGGGGTGGGGGTGGAGGCTCGGCCCCTCCCTTCTCCAAGCATCCCTTGGTCTACCCAGGTGCCTGGTCCACCTCTCAGCCTCTTCAGTCCCCACCCGACTGGATGTCCAGCTCCCCTGGCCCTGCCTCTGCCCCCGGGGTCAAGGTACACACTAGCCACCCTGCGGCTGTATTTTTAGCTTCCCCCTCAGGCACTTGATAAGCCTCTGCTTCCAACAGCACAGCCCCCCACAGGGGCCTGGGTTGGGCAATCCTAGTGGGTCCTGTTCCCCTCCCCACCCCACCCCACCCCGTCCCCTCAAGGGGGTGGAGTCAAGCATTCTGACTCTCAGACTCCCTCCCCCACCCCAGCCCAGCTTCAGGGACTGGGGGCATACTGCGGAGAGGGCTGCCTGCCTGTGCTGGGACAGTCCAAAGCTTGGTTGGTGTCGGGGACATCCTAGGGGTGTCCTGGGGAAGTGTGAGGGGGCTCTCCCTCTATGCAGTAGTTACACTGCAGAGTCGGGGGGGGGAGGGGGCTCCAGAAGAGGAATTAGGTTAAGGATGTGGGTAGGTGGGTGGGGGTGGATGTGGGAGTGGGGGTGGCATCAGCCACAGAGCTTCCTCCTATCTCCCATCACTACACTTCCCCTCCCCTCCCCCAGGTCCTGGGAGAAGTCTCCCCCCACCCCCCGCCGCCTGGGGGTAGGGGGAGATGTCTCTTGTTCTTCCCTCCACCCCCAGTGGTGCTACAAGGGGTGGGGGCAGGATGAGTGGGGGGCGGCCAACCTCAGCTGTGTGAAGGATGAAGGGGCTGGGGAAGCAGGGCTAGGTGCCCAGGCGGCCGCGTGTGTGGGAGGGGATGTCCTCAGATGCCCTCCGCCCAGGCAGTCCCCGCTCTGACGTGGGTGCCCCCCCTCCCCGCCCGGATTAGTGGCAGCTTGGCCTGACTCTCCGGGGCTCCTTTTCGCCCCCCGGCCCCGCCTGCTCGCCTACCCTCTGAGCAAGGGGGGGTGGGGGGGCTGCTCGCTCGCCCACCCGAGGGGGCACTGGGTCTGCCCAGGTAAGGGGCTCTGGGGATGGCCAGGGCAGCTGCCGTGCCTGCCAGCACGAGAGAGCGAGTGAGCGTGTGTGTCAGTGCGTGAGGGGGCCGGGGTGGGTGCAGGCTGGGGACAGGCCCACCAGGCAGGCACGCAGGGCTGCCTGGCCGGCTGGCTGGCTTTTGTCCACCGCTCTGTGCGGGCTTTTCTGGTGTGTTTGTGTCTTTGTGCGTCTCAAGCCCTGCTCCATCCTCAAGCCCAGAGCAGCCGTGACAAGGATCAAGGATTCTGCGGGGCCTGTGGCCTGCAGGATGGAGTGGGGTGGGGGCGTGGGTGGTGGAGAGCTGGTGAGCGTGGGGAAAGGAAGCTTGCCCCCGCCCCCTACCCGGACCCCCGACCCCAGCCCCCCACGAGCCCTCCCTCCTCTCCTGGTGTGGCTGCTGGCCCAGGCTCTGTCCTAGCAGCCAGGGTCTAGTGCAAGGACTATGACCTGAGGAAGGTGGAGGGGTGGGGAAAGGAAGATGGTGGAGGTGGGAGTAGTTTGGGGGTGACGAAGGGAGTCACTGCCTACAAGATGACAGTGACCAACCCTCTCGGACCTCCTGGCCAGCGCCCCTCCCCCCAATCCTACCATGGCCTCTCCCAGGTCCCCAACTACCAGACTGCCCCACAAGCTGTGCCTGCTGAGGACGGAGGCCCAGTGGAGGTCAGGGGTCAGAGCGGGGAACCTCAGGACACCCCAGAAGTCCATCTGGGAAAGGGAGGCCGGGCCTCAAGGCCTAGACTGTTGCAGACCACGCATGATTGACTGATCCAACTGCGGCTCTTCAGCCCTGACAGCCTCGGGACCCCCTAATAGCCCCTGCCCCCAAGGACCTGACATGTCCCTTGGGCCTGTCTCTAGCCCCGTGAGAACCCCTCCCGCAGGGTGTGGACTAGAAACCCTCCCTCCTGGGCCACGCAGCCACGGACTTATTGCTCCAGGACTATCAGGAGGCAGGCTCCCCTGGCCAGGGACCAGAGTTGGGGTGTTAGGAGGGCAGTGCGAATACAAGCTGGGACCAAGCTGAAGGCCTCCAGAGCAGCTCTGCCTTCCGTGGGGTGGTCGGTTGTGAGTGGTGGAGGTTGGGGGGAACACTCCTGGCCCCCCACACACCCCAGGGGGAGAGCTGAGAGAGGCTGGCTCCCACAGGGAAGCAGGGTGCCTTCGGGGAAGGGAAGCGCCCACTGGGCGTGTGGGTTTCTGTGTGTGTCTGAATCTGTCTGTTTGTGTCTGCTCTGCTCTGGAACCACCCCCGCAGAGCGGCCGAGATGCTTCCAGGGTGGAGGGTGCCCTGCTCACAGATCTGCTCCCTCCCAGGAGCCACTCCCATGGGCGCCTCTCCAGTCTGGCCTGGGAGCGTTGGAAACACTGGGGGGGCCAGAGCCGGGCTACAGGACAGACTGGGGAACCGGGGAGTGGGGTGGTCCCGGCTCCTCGGCGCCCATCTCTTAACTCTGGACACTGATTGAAACTTAAGGCCCTAGGGGGCCAGACCCAGGCTCTCCCGTTCACCCACAGGACTCCTAGACCTTTGGGCCCTGGAATGGGGGGCTGGGAGGGGGGTTCTGAGTAGGGTTTGGGGGTGTTGGGGGAGAGGAGAAGGCCCACTGATGTGCCCCAGGTGCCGGAGTTGGAGAGAAACAGCAGACAGTGGTCCAGTGGGCAGGCTGGTTAGGTCGCCCCCATCACTGACCCGTGAGAACCCGACTGCCCCTGCCAGCTCTGGCACTGCCCCTTGGCAGCCAAGGGGGGGCACCCCGCCCGAGCACCCCGGGGGGGCACCCCGCCCCACCGTGGCCTGGGCCGGCCGCTCCCGCCCTTTGCTCTAGTTCCCGGGCTTGGCACCTATAGTTGGGGGGGGGGGTGCTGCCCGCCTGCCAGGCTCCGGGGCCGGGCCCACGGGAGGGTGGGGCGGCTGGGAAGCTGGCACGCTGCCCTGGGGGAGCCTCTCTCGGCAGGCGCCCGGGTGCCGCGGGGGGGGGAGGTGGAGGGGGTAACAAAGGGCTCATTCTCCCCGTGCGCAGCCGGTGGCATCGCGGGGCGTTGGCGGAAGCCCCCGGGGCTCAGGAGGGGGCAGGCCCAGGCGGGGCGCGCCGAATCACGGGCTCCTGTTTCCCGCAGGGTGCTGGAGGAAGAAACCTGCGGAGCAGCTTCCTGACTCTCAGTTGCGCGTCTGGCGATGGCGATCGGAGGTCCCGCCGCGCTCTCCCTGCATTAGCCGCTCGGCGCGGTTGCTGCGTCCTCGCTGGTGTCTCTCTCCGGGTCACCGGATCGGCCCGTCGCCCTTCCAGGCGCGACCCCCTGTCCCCCGGGGCCCTCGGCCTTTCTCTCTTCCCCCGGACTCGGACACCTCCGACCCGGGGTGCGCGTTTTCCCCGCTCCCCTCCCCCCCGGGGCCCCAGCTGCCTCTCTCCTTCTGGGGGCACCCCGCTCCCTAGCCCCGATCCGGTCCTCCCCGCGGCGCAGCACGGAGTCTCAGCGTCCCATGGCGCAACCCACGGCGTCGGCCCAGAAGCTGGTGCGGCCGATCCGCGCCGTGTGCCGCATCCTCCAGATCCCGGAATCCGACCCCTCCAACCTGCGGCCCTAGAGCGCCTCCGCCGCTCCTCCGTGGGGGGAAAGGAGAACGCGAGAGCGGTGAATAGACCGAGCCGGAGAACGCGTCGTCCCCGCCGGTCCGCCCGCCAGCCGGGAGGCCCGGGAGCCGGCCCATGGGGAGCGCGCGCCCAGCGCCGGCCAAGACGACCGCCGCCCCGCCCGGCCCGTGAAGCCCAGGTAAGCGCGTGCGACGCTGCGCCAGGGACGCGCCCTCTGGACGCTTTGCGAGCTGAGACAGTTCTTCTGGACCCCTTTGGGCCTGACCTGGCCTCCTCAACTCTCAAACTCAGGGTACCCATGCATGCGTGGCTGGTCCGCGCACGCAATGCCGTAACTCCCACGGCATCCCGCTCTCGGGCCTGCGCAGGGGAACCGCACCGCGCGCGCGTGCCACCTGTCATCCCGGTCTCTTGCACGCACGGTTCAATTTTCCCTCCCTTGCCTCTCTCTGGGGCTCGGCTCGTTTTCCCCGCCTCCTGCCCTCCCTCTCTCCCCCAACACGCGGCCAGGCTGCAGGCAGTTCCCAGCAGCGGCCTGGTACTGCCGCCCTGGGGAGGGGGAGAGAGGACTGGAGTGGCCGGTCAGCCGAGGCCCCCCTCTCTCCTGGGCTGGCTAACCAGGCTCATCTTCACGGCAAGGGCGGAGATCCCAGCCCTAGCACACTTGTCCTGGGACCATTCGCTGGAGAAGCCAAAAAAATCTTAGAGAACTGGGAAGAGAAGGGCTTTCTGCAGCCCCAGGTGTAGGGGGAGCCAGCAGCCAGCAGCCCTGGCTGGTATCCTTGCCCGCCCCCAGCCGGCCAGACCTGTGCCTCTCCATCTTGCTAGACTAGCTGGGGGATGGTGGGGGGAGCGCAAGTAGCACCCTCAGGCACGGGGTGGGGTGGGGTTAGCAACGTGGAAAGGGTCTTCTGAGACCCCAGTCCTGTTGACACGGGGGCCGGGAGAAGGAGTGACACGATTTACTCAAGGGCACGTCAGGGCCTCCTTTGTGTCCTGGAATCCATTGTTGCTCCATTCTCTTCCCCTGTGGCTGGAGACCAGGGTCCCGGCTTCAGAAGGCTAGAACAAGTCACCCTAAGAATGGCAGCTTCTGGTCAGGGCTCTGACCCAAGCAGACCATCCAGGTCCAGGGGTCTGGTGGCCGGGAAAGACAGAGGGGTCAACTCCCCACATCCCAGACATGCAGGACCCTGGGGTAGTGAGGTGGGCCAAGGGCCTGCCCTCGATACTGGCAGGGCGCGTGGAGCCAGGTAGCGAGGGGATTTTGTTGTTTCTGCGCCTCCCTCCAGGGACCCTCTCTGGGAAGGAGCCCCATGAGGGCAGGAGAGCGATGGAGACTACACCCAGCTTTCTGAGGGACGCCCCGGCCTGGGAGAAGACGGCCCCTGAGAACGGCCCCGTGGGACAAGAGCCAGGTCCCCCACTGCCCCATGGGGCACTGTGTCTGGGGGAGCCTGCCCCCTTCTGGAGGGGCATCCTGAGCACCCCGGACTCCTGGCTGCCCACTGGCTTCCCCCAGGGCCCCAAGGACACGCTGCCCCTGGCAGAGGGTGAAGACCTCCACGGTCGGGAGAGGAAAGCTAGCTGGCTGGGCGCCAAGGAAGGCCTGCGCTGGAAAGAGGCCGCGCTCACCCACCCGCTGGCCTTCTGCGGGCCGGTGTGCCCACCTCACTACAGCCCCTTGATTCCTGAGCAGGCTGCGGCCACAGCTGGCGCCACCAGTCAGCTGAAGAGTGACCCCTTGGCCTTCCGGCCCTTGCACTGCCCCTTCCTCCTGGAGACCAAGTTCCTGGAGCGAGCTCCCTTCTGGGTGCCCACCTGCTTGCCACCTTATCTGGTGTCTGGCCTGCCCCCAGAGCGCCCGTGTGACTGGCCTCTGGCCTCACACCCCTGGCTCTACACTGGAGCCCAGCCCAAAGTGCCCTCTGCCTTCAGCTTGGGCAGCAAGGTGAGTCGCTGGGGACTTAGGCCATGGGGTGGGAGGGGAGGGCCGGACAGCTCATGATGGTTCCTGCTAAGGCAGCCCCCAGTGGAGGAGTCCCAGCTCTCAGCAGTCCCACGCCCCAAAGTCAACCCCGAACAGTCGGCTCTGAACACCTCACTGGCCCTCGCTGCCTTTAGGCCACGGCAGCCGCTGACTCACCCATTATGCACCCAGGGACAGGCTATGAACACCCTGAGCTTGGAATGCACGGCCTTGCCCAGGGCAAGCTGGGGCAGGGGGTGGGCGGTAAGACGCAAGACCCTCCCCTTCTCTCACTCGACAGCCCTGTAACCCTGTCTAGGACCCCTTCACCATCCAGCTAACCCCTAGACCCAAATATCTCAAACCCTTCTTGGCTCAGGGCAGGCAGGTATCCAGGCAGATCGGGCCTTAACCCTTTTGTTGCTGGATGGTGAGGGCAATGGAAGGCCCTTGAGGGGAGGGTGGAGGGAGGGGAACATGAGAGGGGGTGTCCATGAGCAAGGGGACTCCTGCAGCCTGTCTGTTCCCTGGGGTTCTCGGCTCTGCCCGTCCTTGGTGACACAGGGAACCCACGCCAGCTGCAGCATAACTCTTTCTCCCGTCCTTAGGGCCTTTACCACAAGGATCCGAGCACGCTCAGGCTAGCCAAGGAGCCCTCAGCAGCTGCGGAGCCTGGCTTGCTGGGTTTGACCCCTGCTGGCCGTCTCCTGAGAGCCGGGGAAGGGGAGCGGCCAGAGCCCTGCCCAAGGAATGGCGAGACGGGAGCCGGAAGGCACCAGAATCCAGGCCCGCTTTTCCTGGGGCACACCGACACCATGCCCCGGCCGCTCTGGCCCCCTTGTCCTCCAGGCCTAGGCCTGGTTCATACCTTCAGCAATGTCTGGCCCGTGCCAGGAGGTGGGAGCCTCGGATACCAGCTGGCATCACCAGCCATACCTAGGTGCCCCTCTCCTGGAGCTCCTAACACCCAGGGTGGCTGCTGCCCATCCCAGCCACCTGATAGAGATGAGGGACTCAGCCCATGTGGAAAATGCCAGGAGGGCCTGGATGGGAGTCCCAGTGAAGCAGGGGACTCCAGCGAAGAAGCCTTCAAGGCCAGGGGCCCCAGGGCCTGCCCCCCTAGCCACCACACCAAGCTGAAGAAGACATGGCTCACGCGACACTCTGAGCAATTTGGGTGCCCAGGGGACTGCCCTGGGAACCAGGAGGGCCCAGCAGCTGGGTTCAGGAACCTCAAGAGGGCAGGCAGCCCTGAAGGGCAGGGAGCCACAGGCAGCCCTGCTCCCAAGCGCCCACCTGACACTGCGTCGGGCGTCACAGGCCAGGGCCCTAAAGGCTGGCAGGAATTGCTGGGTGCGTCAGCAGGTGACCAAGCAGAAGCAGAAAGAAGACCGCGTGCTGATCAGAGAGGTAACTGGGGGCAGGGGGGGAGGCAGAGGGAGCTGCCTGCCTGCCTGGGGGTAGGGGAGCAGCCGGCTGAGCTTTGCAAGACAGGGGCCAGCTTCTCCTTCTGCACCTCCATGGTCTGTTTGGGTCTTGCTTCTGTCCGTCCGTCTGCCCGTCTCATCTCCTCCCCAGCCTTGGCATGCTGGCGCCAATGTGATGACACAGTTCAGGGCATAGGCTCTGGAGCCACAGTGCCTGCCTGCCTCCTGACCTTGCCAGTTGATAACAATGTGACCTCGGGTGAGGGACGGCCACCTCTCCTGGCTTCGATGGCTGCACCTGTACAGTGAGTGACAAGGTGACACCTGCCTCATGAAAACAGCTGTACAAGTGAAACCCTGAGATCACGCACATCAGGGACTCGGCGCGGGCAGATCGTGCACGCCCCATGGATATCTGCCACTGCGATTGCCTGCACCGCAGGACCCTTTGGGGGTTACTGCTCTACAAGGGCCTCAGGAACCCCACATTCTGCCCCTTTCTTTCCCAGCCAGCCAGATCATGGACTTTCATACGGAACTCTGCCACGCTTGTAGAGGGTCCCCTCCGCCCTGCTGTCGCAGCCTCAGTTCTCAGCTTCATGGACTGTAAAGCCACACGGGGCAGGACCGTGTCCACCCAGGCACTGGCCACCGTCCCCTTGCACCTGGTGTGCGTCTGTCAGCACCCTCCTGGGCATCCTGGCTGTTCTGAGGGTGTTGCTGGCTCCTCCTCGACTTCTTGGGTTGCTGCTCCTGTGGCTCCGGAGTTGAAATTCCTCTGGCCAGCTTCCACTCCAACGTCTGTCCGGCATTGGGATTGCCTTGTTTTGTTGTCACATGGCCAGTGACGTCACTGGATCAAAGCCAAGGCTAACACTTGTGCAAAGAGGATGAGCACCTCTGCTGCCCACAGCCTGGCTCCCAGCACCCTGGACCACCCCTCTCCTTGCCTCCTGTGCCCATTGGGGCGCTTGGCTTTTGCTCTGCTTAGCCATCTATCCGTTGGTGGGGTGTTGGGGGGAACTCCAACTGCTTCTGAATGAGGCCTCTTGGGAGGATGTTCAGCCATGGGCTTCCCATACGGCCAGGAGAGCCAGACACCTGACCAGCTCCTTTGTCTCTCAACCTCTCCCCCAGGACCCCAGGATGGCAGGGCTGGCCCCCAGGATCCAGCTCTTCCAGCTGGCATTGCTCAGTGCCACAAGTGTGCCCAGGCAGCCGGAGAGGGGGCGGGGCTGAGCTGCCACTCACAGCAAGTACATAGGTGAGTCCATTGGCCTCAACCTCTCCTCTCCCCTCTCCTCTGCCCTCGCCACACCCTCCTCACCTTCTCCTACTTTCTCCCCAGACTGCCTTTGGCAGGGGAGCGGCGGCAGCAAAAACACCAGGAGGAAGAGTGGGTCCCCAGCTCCGAGGAGGGAAGGGCAGCAGCCGACACAGAGAACAGCACCCACCTTGGCCTTGCCAAGCACCTGTTGAGCGGTTTGGGTGACCGACTGTGCCGCCTGCTGCGGAGGGAGCGAGAGGCCTTGGCCTGGGCACAGCGTGAAGGTGAGCGGAGAGGCTCCAGGGCCTGTATTGGGGGTGGTCCCCCCCCCGCCCCGCCACGTGCATCTCCCTCCTCCCCCTGCCCAGCTCCTAGCCACCTGCACACTGCCTGCCGGTTGGTAGGTGTGTGCCAGGATCTGAGGCTGTTAGTGCTGCCAGCATTTCTGGCTGGCTGGGTGGTGGTGATAATGGTAATGGTTGGGGGTGGTGAGTGTGTTTGCTGGGAAATGGTACAGCCCAATCCTCTTGCAGGCTGCAGGGCTTGTCAGAAAACAGGAAAACTGCATGCCAAGAACCCTGGTGGTGGGGGAAGTCCCTGAGGGGCGACTGGGACTGATGGGAGACCCGGGGGCGGGGGGCAGACGCCTAGCAGGCAGGTGTTCTTGTGGTTCTTGGCTCTGGCTCCATAGCCCCATGCAGGATTGTCTCCTCCTGTTCTCGGTTTGGAGTCACGTTGCACACTCCCCTTTCCGGAATCCAGGTGCTGGTCCCTCCCCAGGGCCCTGGTTGCTCACTTCCCCCCTGGTGCAATGAGGAGCCTCTCAGCCTGCAGAGCCTGCCTGGTGCTCCCCACCACCCCTGCTCCTTCCTACCCTTATCCTCTGGAATGTGAGCATCTGTATGGCAGGGTAGAGGCCGAGCAGTGGGATGCAGTGCCCCCTTCTGCTTTCCATCTGCTAACAGTGGATTAGCAAGGATCTTCTCCCCTTAAACTCTGCTGCTTTGGGGTGATGGCAGGACCCACCTGTATCTCATTTTTTTGAAAGGTAGAGTTACAAAGAGAGAGAGAGAGAGATCTTCCATTCACTGGGTCACTCCCTAAATATTTACAACAGCCTGAACTGGGCTGATCTGAAGCCAGGAACCAGGAGCTACCTCCAGGTCTCGCACATGGGTGCAGGGAGCCCGAGCACTAGGCCACAATAGCAGGAAGCAAGATGTGAAATGGAGCAACCAGGATGCCCCTAAGATGCTGACATCTCAGGCACTGCTTTTCCCTGCTGTGCCATCGCGCGGGCCCAAGGAGCCATCGCTTAAGGTTTCCTCTTTTGATAGGAGAATGCTTGAAGAAAAGGTTGCGAAACAGAGTTCATATTTTGTCACGCAGGCTCTGTCCTCCATGAAATGCATTTCTTTCTCCCATGAAGCCCTTACCGTGTGCGTGGATGACAAAACTAGATTTGTACTCAAATGTTTCCTTATATTTCCATTCTGTGTGTGTGTGTGTGTTTTTTTTTTTTTAAGATTTATTTGTTTTTGTTGGAAAGGCAGATTCACAGAGAGAAAAAGATACAAAGGGAAAGATCTTCTGTCTGCTGGTTCACTGCCCAAGCAGCTGCAATGGCCAGACTGAGCCAATCCAAAGCCAGGAAACAGGAGCCTCTTGTGGGTCTCCCACGCGGGTGCAGGGAGGGTCCCAAGGCTTTGGGCTGTCCTTGACTGCTTTCCCAGGCCACAAGCAGGGAGCTGGATGGGAAGTGGAGCATTTGGGACACAAACTGGCACACATATGGGATCTTGGCACATGTAAAGCAAGGACTTTAGCCACTAGGCTGTCTCATTGGGCCTGAAGGGAGAGGTGTTTTTTTTTGTTTTGTTTTGTTTTTTCTTTTTTTTTTTTACGGAGAGAGGCAAGGCAGAGAGGAAGATCTTCTATCCACTAGTCCACAAATAGCTGCACTGGCCGAAGCTGAGTTGATCCAAAGCCAGGAGCGAGGAGATTTTTCCAGATCTCCCGTGTGGCTGCAGGGACCCGAGACTTAAGGCATCCTCCACTGCTTTACCAGGCAAAACGCAGGCGGCTGTATCAGCAATGGAGCATCTGGGACATGAACTGGTGCCCATAAGAAACACCAGACGGCAGACAGAGGCTTAGCGTGCTATGCCATTTCACTGGCCCCTTCATTCTGTTTTAAGAGGGCTGTTGACCCTGGGCTTTTAAATCTGGTGGCACAGTCGACTTGGGAGGGAGGGAGAAGGACCATTATCAGAACTGTAGGGGACAGTGACCAGGGACCCATCCCTGGAGCAGGTGGCAGCGGGGCATGGTTGGGAAGGGGCTTGTTTCTTGCGCTGTTTGGCTCCTCACCGGGGGCCAGCATCACTTTGGCCCTCTGACCCTGCTCTCTCCTGCGGTCAGCAGGCCAGGGGCCAACTGTGAGCGAGGACAAGCCGGACAGTGCTCGCTGCTGTAGCCGTTGCCACCATGGACTGTTCAACACCCACTGGAGATGCCCCCGTTGCAGCCACCGGCTGTGTGTGGCCTGTGGCCGCATGGCGGGCGCTGGGAGGACCAGGGAGAAAGCAGGTGAGATGGGGGTAAGGGCTGGTGGTGAGGTGGGAGTCAGGGCCTCTGCCTTCCACACAGGAAACAGAGTGGTTCAACAACTTGTGCAGGGTTGCACAGCCAAGGGAGTGCTTCCTCGCTTGCCCAGGAGAGAGACTCGGGGTTTCTGGTCTGGCCCTGCCCCCTCCACGGGTCTCAGCTTTCTCTGCATTGGCTTCACTTGGCCATCCAAGGACTCCAAGTTTCCCAGTGTTCCCAACAAACTGCCTTGCAGGGTGCAGTCTGTTCTGGAACATTCTCTTCGGCGTGACCACCACCTGGGGCTCCTTGCGCATTTCGGGGTCTGTGTGTTCTGTAAGCAGCTGAGGCCCACTCACAAGGTCTGCGGCTTGGACCGGGACGTCACGTCCTTGGCCTTCACCCGGCGTGACCTTGCTCTCTCATAGACCTGCAACCTCTCCCTTCCTCTACCCCCACAGGATCTCAGGAACAGACCTTGGAGCCATGTGCCCAGGAGGCCGGGCACCCTGCCTGCTCTCTGATGCTGACCCAGTTTGTCTCCAGCCAGGGTGAGCCATTGTGGAGGGGTGGGGCGTGCAGAGGGCGGAGCCCCCCTGCGGTCTGGCTGTGCCCTGGCCCAAGGCCACGCCCTCCCGGTTGGCTGCGGGCTGGGCCGGGCCATCACGGTCCCTTCTTCCTTCCCACCTGTCTCCACCCCAGCTTTGGCGGAACTGAGCGCCGCGATGCACCAAGTCTGGGTCAAGTTTGACATCCGGGGACATTGCCTCTGCCAAGCTGATGCCTGGGTGTGGGCCCCTGGGAACGGAGGCCAGCAGGTGAGAGGCTGTGGCGGGGGGCCCTGGGGACAGGCGTCCTGCCCGCACGTGGCTGTCCTTAGGGGGTGGGGATTGTCAGTCCTCTGATGGGGTTGGACAGGGACAAGGGAGCGAGTGGCCTCAGAGGCCTCGCCATTTGGTATGCACTTACAACGTTTGTGTTTTTATTATAAAACTTGTCCGGGGTCAGAGCTTGGAATGTGTGTTGTGTGCCAGGCTCAGCGCTGTATAGCTACCACAGAACGTTTGGGAAATACAGACAAGTATAAGGAAAAAATTCTGATTCCACCCTTAACCGTCTGTTGTACTCGCTTCCATCCATTCGTCTACGTATCTGTTGGCGTCTAGTTTGGTACCTGAGGGAAACCTCAGAAAGTTCATGGAAAATGGAATAAAAATATAAGTTTATTTTGATAAAAGAAAGATTGAAATCTCTGCATTTTTTTTAATGATTTATTTGAACAAGTTAGAGAGAGGGAGGCAGAGAGAAAAAAAAGTAGTATGTTTTGTCTGCTGATTCACTCCCCAATCGATCCCAACGTCCCAAGGTGGCGCAGACTGAAGCCAGGAGCCAGGAGCTTCTTCCTGGTCTCCCAGGTGGGTGCAGGGTCCCAAGGCTTTGCGCCATCTCCCACTGCTTTCCCAGGGAGCTGGATGGGAAGTGGAGCAGCTGAACTGGCACCTAACTGGTGGCGTCACGTGCAGTGGTAGAAAGAACTGCTTTACACCAGCTGATGTTGTGTCTGACCCGTTTTAAATCTCTGTGGCTTTGGGGTGGGGGTGGTGGATGGGTTGAGCAGAAGGAGCTGCCAGAGAAAACTGTGCCAACGTCACAACCCTCCTGCAACGGAGACACCCACAAGACCAAGGACATCAAAGAGGGTGAGTGGCCGGTGCAGGAGGGAGGCTGGGCGGGCTGGTTAAGAGAGCCAGGGCAGAGTTGGGGTGAAGGTTGCTGATGTGGGAAGCGCCCCACCCATTCCCACAGAGACCCCAGATTCGACCGAGAACTCTGCAGAGGACGGCGCAAGTGGAGGGCCGCTGCCTTGTCCCTCCCTCTGCGAACTGCTGGCGTCCACCGCTGTCAAACTCTGCCTGGGACATGAGCGAATCCACATGGCTTTCGCGCCTGTCACCCCGGCCCTGCCCAGCGTAAGCAAACCCGTGGGCATGAGGAAATGCTGGGAGAGAGCTGGGGTGGCGAACAGGGGACGGGGTCCCTGGAAGCTGGGGCCAGGGGCCAGGCCAGTGCTGAGCCTGCCTGCCTGCCCTGTGTCCCTCCTGCCCGCAGGATGACCGTATCACCAACATCTTGGACAGTATCATCGCGCAGGTGGTGGAGCGCAAGATCCAAGAGAAGGCCCTGAGGCCAGGATTGCGCAAGGGCCTGAGCCTGCCCCTGTCCCCCGGGCGGCCTAGGCTGCCTCACCATGGGGCTCTACTGTGGCTGCAGGAGCCCAGGCCGGGGCGGAGCCTCCACCTGTTCCAAGAGCACTGGCGCCAGGGCCAGGTGCGGCTGGCTGACGGAACTCCTACTCCTTGAGTTCTCCACCCCCAAGGCGTGGGGGCGTGGGGACGTGGGGGCGTGGGGGCGTGGGGACGTGGGGACGTAGGGCGGGGGGTGGGGGAAGCAGCAGGGCCTAGCCCCGTCCCTGACAGCGGTCACGGCGGCCCCCTGCCCCCATTCATTCCCAGCCATATCTTGCTTCCTTCAGCCCGTGTTAGTGTCAGGGATCCAGAGGACACTGCGAGGCGACCTGTGGACAAGGGAAGCCCTTGGGGCGCTGGGGGGCCAGGTGCAGGCGCTCACCCCGCTGGGGCCTCCCCAGCCCAGCAGCCTGAGCAGCACAGCCTTCTGGGATGGATTTTCCCGGCCTGAGAGTAAGCAGCCGAGAGAGCTACAGCGATGGGGGTGACCCGGAGGAGATGGAGGGGGTGTGGTGGCCATGTAGAAGCTTGGGTCAGCGTCTCTTCTGTCTGCAGCTTCAGGTCGCGCTTCCAAGTCAGACGAAGGCTCTGTCCTCCTGTTGCGCCGAGCTCTGGGGGACCAAGACACCAGCAGGTGTGTCTGAAGCCCAGGTTCCCTTGACCACACCCTGCCCCTGGTCCACGCCTCCCTCTCCCCTCCTCCCCTGACCCTGGCCCTCCACGGTGACTGCAGGCTGCCCTGGGGTGGGGGACAGGCTTGTGCTTGGGTTGAGCCCGCTGACACTGATGGCCCTTCTCCCCTTAGGGCAGAGAACCTGGCTGCCAGCCTACCTCTCCCAGAGTACTGTGCACGCCATGGAAAACTCAACCTGGCTACCTACCTCCCGCCAGGCCCTTCCCTGCAGCCACTGGAACCCACACTCTGGGCATCCTATGGTGAGTGAGCCCTTATCGCTGCCCCTCCCACAACAGACAGGAAGTTTTTTTTCATCTGCTGCTTTACTCCCCAAAAGGCCACAACAGCCAGAGCTGAGCTGATCTGAAGCCAGAAGCCAGGAGCTTCTTTAGCGTCTCCCACATGGGTGCAGAGTCCAAGGCTTTGGGCCATCCTGTACCACTTTCCCAGGCCACAAGCAGGGAGTTGGATGGGAAGTGGAGCAGCTGGGACTTGAACCAGCACTCGTATAGGATGCCAGTGCTTACAGGCAGAGGATTAGACAATTGAACCATCGTGCCAGCCAGGGCACATGTTTAGTTCATGTGCCAAGGTCCTGGGGGAATCCGGGGTGCTTCTCTGACTGCTCCCCATTCCTCTTGCAGGCGTAAGCCCACACCGTGGACACCTGGGGACCAAAAACCTGTGTGTGGAAGTGGCCGACCTGGTCAGCGTCCTGGTGCACGCAGAGGGTCCGCTGCCTGCCTGGCACCGGGCACAGAGAGGTGGGTCCTGAGCCAGAGATAAAGCAGGGTGGGGGGCAAGGGGGAGAACAAGCTTTGCTTGCAGAAGTCCACCTCTGCCTTTTGGGGGGCGCTACCTGAATGGTCCATTCTTTCGCAGATGTCCTGTCGGGCCTGGATGGGGAGGGGCTGTGGTCTCCGGGCAGCCAGGTCAGCATCGTGTGGCATGTGTTCCGGGCACAGGACGCCCAGCGCATCCGCCGCTTTCTGCAGATGGTGAGGAGGGAGCCCATAGCCCTTCTCCTTGCCCCTTGCCTGACCCCAGAAGCTCATACTGTCTGCACCAGCACCCCGCTGGGTGTGCATTCCCCAGGCGCAAGCACCCCCACCGCAGCCCAGAGGAGCCAGCTCAGACATCAGGCCAAGATAATGGGCAGGAGAAAGGGATGATGCGAGTGGACAGAAGGTAGCAAACTCCAGACAGGCAGCGGGAGATAGGACGTCAGAGTTAAGGTCAGGGCAGGTCCCAGGTTGTGGTATTTTGTGTATTCCCATGATGCACACACACAGGCAGGAGCAGACAGAGCAACCTCTTCGTAAACAGGTGGTGTGACTGGGCGTGGCTGGCTGTGGGCTGTGGCATTTTCCCTGGCAGGCTGGGACACCCTGCACTTGCCCCTGGATAGATTTGAATCTCCAGAGCAGGGGAGTCTTGGCCCCCAGCTGGGGCTCTCCCCAAAATCCCCCCTACCATAAGTGCTGACTGCATTTAGCTGGTGACCAACTATAGAGCGTGATGCTGGCATCATAGCTCCTCAGGCTGGACCGGCAGGTGCAAGGTACCCACCCCCTGGTAAGTGGGAATTCCTGGCTATTCTTACCTGTTCCAGATCCATGCTCTCAGCAGAGCTTGATAAAAGTATTGGGTCAGTTACACCTGCTCACCCATAGCTCAGTGCGCAGTCCAAGCCGACTCAGAAGGTTAAAAGCCACTGGGACAAACACCATGTGAGTGAGGGTTGTACACCCAGTTGATTTCCTGGGCGTCACCATGGAGAAGGGACAGAGCAGCCACACGTGGGGTCCCGGAGTCCACCAAAGGCCTCTCCACCCTCAGGAAGAGCAAAGAGCTGAATGCCCTGCCATGGCACCTTGCATCCTTGCTTCTGTCCAGCCAAGTGTTCACTCTGCCACTCCAACTGCCCTGACCACACACATACCAGGGCCCCTACCTGATCTCCCAGGCTCCAGGACTTTGTCCCGCACCCCTGTCCTCCCCCAGCTCTGCCCTACCCTCCTAGCCACTGCTGCCCATTCATTGATCCTTCTCTTCTTTGAGGTATGTCCTGCCCGGGCGGCAGGCACCCTGGAGCCCGGCGCACCAGGCAGCTACTATCTGGATGCGGGGCTACGGCGGCGCCTACGGGAGGAATGGGGTGTGAGCTGCTGGACCCTGCTGCAGGCCCCCGGAGAGGCTGTGCTGGTGCCCGCGGGAGCGCCCCACCAGGTGGGGCTGGCAGTGGTGGGTGGGCTGTGCAGGGGTGGAGAGAGGAGGAGCAGGTGTACCATGCAGAGCTGGGTGGGGTAGGCAGTGGTACCTGATACAGGGAGAGGAGGAGCTGAGACAGGTCAAGGTCATTGGCATTGGCCCCTGCGATGGCATCTGGCCCTGGTCCGGCCAGCATGTGTACTGACAGGGAGGGACTGCGTCCCCTGTGGCACTCCTGTGGCCCCCCCACGCTTGGCCGTGCCTCTTGTGTTACCTGGCCTTGTGCTCTCTGCAGGCTCAGAGGAAGCCAGGGCTGGCAGAGGGAGGAGGAGGAGGCGAGATCGGGAGCCCTCTGCTGACCCTCCGCATCCTCTCCCCACTTCCCGGGTTCTTCCCGGCACAGGTGCAAGGCCTGGTCAGCACGGTCAGTGTCACCCAGCACTTCCTGTCCCCTGAGACCTGCACCCTCTCTGCTCAGCTCTGCCACCAGGGACCCAGCCTGCCTGCCGACCACCGCCTGCTTTTTGCTCAGGTGAGAATGACCCTGGCTGACCTGCTACAGGTACTGCTTGAGGTCGTCCCCCTCTCGCTCCTTCCGCCCCCAATACACACACACACACACACACACACACACACACACACACACACACCCCCACACCCCACCCCCCCCCACCCCCACCCCCACACACACCCCCACACACACCCCCCGGCCAAGGCACCTCTATGGTGGGTGGGTTTAGCAAGTCCAGTTCTTGTGCCAAGGCAAGGAGGGAACTAGGGGTGAGAGTTTGGGACCAGGAATGTGGTAAAAAACAAAACAAAACAAAAACCCCTCTGGGTCTGCTTCTTCTCTCCTAGATGGACTGGGCTGTGTTCCAAGCAGTGAAGGTGGCTGTGGCGACGTTACAGGAGACTAAAAAATAGGGGGCCCCTGGGTGTTGGAGGTGACAAGGGGTGGGGGACGAGAGCAGGTGGTGCCTCTGGAGGGAGGCACTGGGGAGCTTGGGGTTTTGAGTCCATCTCACAAGCGCCACTCTGGGCAACAGGAAGGCATACTGGTACTCGCTGGTGCCTGCCTAGGTCCCAAGGCCGCCAGAGCGATGCCTGCCCCACCCAAGCTCTCCCTAATCCACGGGGTACCAAGCCCACATTGGAGGCAACTGCCTCCTTGCAACTCGCCCCCCTCGTGGCCCCCAACATCCCTGGAGACAACAGCCCTCCCATCAGGGGGACTTGGAAATCATTCTGGCTTAAGCAACTCTGACTTCCGCTGCCTCCCATACTGCTGTTCCTGAACACTTCAGTTCCAGTCGAACACCTGCCCTTCTGGCCGGAGGAGGCTGCCAGCCTGGGGGAAGGCTGGCTGGCTGGCTGGGGTGGGAGGGGACATGGGCAATGCTACTCTGCCGTGCCCCCTTCTCCTTGCTTCCCCATGATATCCGTTAAAGCCTGTGTCCTGACCGCCACTGCCACCATGAGGTTGCCCAGCTCCTGTAGGCTTTGTGGTCTGGGGGAGGGGGAGGCTATGGGAACTAGACCCTTCAACTGCTCCTCTTCCTGGCACCCCTCCCACTAAGGAGCAGACAGAGCCCCTGGGGGTGGGGGTGGGGATGCTTGCTGAAGATGCTTTGGAGGAAGAGTCCTGGACCAACAGCAAGGTGGCCTGCCTCGTTCTGTCCCAGCAGCAGATTCCCAGGGCTCCATCCTGACTTGGAGAGAGCCAGGCCTGGGGCCCCGGGAGAGCCCAGGTCCAGCTCCTTCTGTTCTGGGTGGCCACGGCCACTGTCAGGTTCAGCCTGCCCAGTACGGAGCTTTAATCACACGCTCCCCACCTCCTCCCCACGGTCCATCCAGCCTTCCTTCTGGTGTAGCTCTGCCCACCCCGCTCCCTTCCCGGTGTATCTCAGGCCCCAGACATGGTCCAGCTCTTGTTATATCCAATTTTTCCTGCTGTGGTTTGGGGAATTTTTTTTATTAAATAAAATTTTTTATTATAAGTATAAAATGCTGTCAAAACATGTGGGAAATTGCAGAGTCACCTGTGTCTACCTGCCCCAGCCTAACCCCCACCCGCGTCTGTCCATTGCCTTCTTGTATTTCCTCCAAGGATCTGTTGTACCTAGGGCGGAACAAGTACATTTTGTGCTTGTTCCTGCAGCATTGTAACTGTTAGCATTTCCCTGTGTTGTCCTAACCTGTATTTTATTTTATTTGAAAGAGTTACACAGAGAGAGGGCTTGGGGGAGAGTGCTTCTAGCTCTGGTTCTCTTCCCAAGTGGCCACAACAGCCAGAGCTGAGACAATCCGAAGCTGGGAGCCAGGAGCTTCTTCCAGGTCACCCGTGGGGGTGCAGGGTTCCAAGGACTTGAGTCGTCCTCTGCTGCTCTCCCAGTCCCGAAGCAGAGAGCTGGAGCAGACGTGGGGTAACCTGGACGTGAACTAGCACCCATACGCTGGAGCCACAGGTGGATGATTAATCTGGCATGCCACCATCCTGGACCCCTAACTTGCATTTTTTTAAAAAGATTTTTTTTTTTTTAATTGGAAAGTCAGATATACAGAGAGAAGGAGAAACAGGAAGATCTTCCGTCTGCTGGTTCACTCCCCAAGTGGCTGCAACAGCTAGAGCTGAACCGATCTGAAGCCAGGAGCTTCTTCTGGGTCTCCCACGTGGGTGCAGGGTCCCAAGGCTTTGGGCCATCCTCAACTGCTTTCCCAGGCCACGAGCAGGGAGCTGGATGGGAAGTGGAGCAGCTGGGACAAGAGTTGGTGCTCAGATGGGATCTTGGTGCATGCAAGGTAAGGATTTAGGCACTGGGCCATCATGCTGGGCCCTGCGTAGAAAGAGAGAGAGAAAAAAGAAAGAAGGGAGGGAGGGAGAGAGAAAGAGAAAGAAAAAAGGAAGAAGGAGAGGAAAAGACTAAGAAGGAATGCATTAGAAGGATGCTCTAACTTCCCCTGCCATTCTTGTCCCATGAGCATCTTCCTCCTCGTCGCTCGTTGGAGGTTGAGGTGGTTTCCCTACAGCTACAGAAGAGGAAGTAGGCAGGTTGGGGCGAAGTAAACCATCCACGGGCAGAACTGGGATGTGAGCCAAGTTCTCTGACAGGCAGCTCACTGACTCGCAGCTCTCTGCTGGATTCAGAAACGGGCTAGCCCTCCTGTCCCTCACGCACTGCGTAGCTCACGGCGTTCCAAGCAGCATCAAAACCCATCCCTCATCCCGTGTGACCTTCACTGGCTGTGCCCTGCTGGCACTCCAACACAGGGCCTTTTCTGGGGGGAAGACGATGTCCCCTGAACTATGCCCATCAGGGTCCTTGCAACCCCAGATGGGAGAGACACGGAGTTCTGGGCTCCTGACTCTGACCTGGTCCAGGCCTGAATATTGTGGGCATTTGGGGAGTGAGCCAGTGGACAAGAGTCCTCTCTGTCAAATATTTTTTTAAGAAAATAGTTTTTGGGACACGTGTGCTATGAAAAACACACACACACACACATGGATTTTGAAAGAAATTTTTGGACCCAGATGAGCATCTTTCAGTTCTGTCTTGCACGCACTTCTGGAAGCACCCTCGTGTTGGGTTTTGTAAACAGCAGGTGAGTCAGTGCCCATTTGTCCTTGGACCAGGCACCCTGGGAACAAAGCCAGTCCCTGGGGGGGCCGACCCTGGGACACAGCTGAGGTCGTTAGGCCTCCACGTGCACCAGAGTCAGGAGTTCAATGTCCGCCTTCTGCTGCCAGCCCAGACAGGGCCATGGGCATACCATCCCCGGGTTGGTAACACCTCTTCTTCCTTCCCTCATACAAAAGCCTCAGCAAAGGGCCCGGTGCAGTAGCCTAGTAGCTAAAGTCCTCACCTTGCATACATTGGAATCCCATATGAGCCCTGCTTCCCATCCAGCTCCCTGCCTGTGGCCTGGGAAAGCAGTGGAAAACGGCCCAAAGCCTGGGGACCCTGCACCAGTGTGGGAGACTCAGAAGAAGCTCCTGGCTCCTGGCTTGGGATTGCTTCAGCTCTAGCTGTTGGAGCCATTTGGGGAGTGAATCAGCGGATGGAAGATCTTCCTCTCTTGTCTCTCCTGTTCTCTGTATATCTGCCTTTCCAATAAAAAAAAATAATAATAAATCTTTAAAAAAAAAAAAAAAAGTCCTCAGCAAAGCTAAGGAGTCCATCATCCGTAACAGTCTTTGCCTGGGATTTCCTGTTTGCCCACTAATCCTCTGTGCCAGAGCCCAGCAGTGCCCTGTCTGACATTAACCTGGAGGCCACAAGAAGCCACTCCCAAGACCAGGACACTGCCAGCCCCAGGTGGCTCTGCTGCCAGGCCACTCCCCATCCCCACCATCCACTTGGTCCTGAGCCAGGGATCGCCTCTGCCCTGACCTGCTTGACTGTCCAGCCGTGTCCCTGCCCCTGTGGCTGCCAGCCCCCAGGACCTTCCAGGTCATGTGCTGGCATGTGCGCGCACACACACACACACACTCCTTGGTCCCAAAGTGGCTGGCTCAGCGCTGCCCTGGTCAGCATGCCAGCTGGGGCACGTCTGTCCACCAGGTGCTGTGGTTGCCCACTCCAGCTGGGGAAGGTCCTCCGGGCCTGGGAGCCCCCACTACATCTCCGGGACTAGCCCCTCGCTTTCCCACCCGGGACCAGTGGGGCCTGCTGGACAGGACAGGAGCCTCTCCCTGTGAGAAGTGGTGGGCGGGGGCGGAGGTGCTGTGGAGTTGTGGTTTGGGGCAGCCTTCGCTCAACTGCTGTCTGCTGTTTATCTCGGGACGCCTCCAAGCTCCCAGGGCCCTGCCCAGACATGACCTCACTCGCTTTCTCTCAGTCATGCCCTGGAGGCAGCAGGAGGGAGTCTGGCAGCCATGCTGCGCCCACTTCACAGATGGGAAAATTGAGGGATCACGCACACAAACAACAAATCTGGGTGGAGGGGCTGCTAAGCCTAGCCGCAGGGAGCCAAGTTGTTTGAGAAATGTTGCAGAGCAGTTGGGACCAGCAGCTTTTTAAATTACATTTTTCTTTTCTTTTCTTTTTTTAAGGAAGCCTCTCAAAAGCCAGTGAGCCCACCAGGGAAGCCCCTGCCACCCCGGCCCCCTGGACCTCAGCAGGGGCCATGGCTGGAACTCCTGGGGAGGGAGGCAAGTGTGAGTGGGGGGTGGCCAAGGCCTAAGCCGTAGCTGGAGGAGTTACAGGGAAGCCTCCGCTGGGGCTGGTGCTGGCGCTGGGGCACCCTGCACGGGGTCACAGCGTGGGAAAGCTGCCGAGGCCAAGCGGCCTGTTGAGCCTGCTGGGCCCCCAGCCCTGCCCTCTGCTTCCCTCCTTGGGGCGCTCCACCCGTGGCCCACACCCAGCATTTTAGCTCCTAGCCTGCAGCCTGATTACACGTCTGCGTCCCATCTCTTCCACCAGATCAGCATCTGGGGTCCCTGCATCATGGCCGGCTGTACATGCTGGGGGTGGGTGAGAAGAAAGTCATCTGGGTCGTGACCATCTCTTAGGCCAATGTCCTGAGGGTCCTGAGGACGAACCAGGGACGCAGGTGGAGAGGCACCTGGGGAGGACGCCCTAGGCCGCCGTGACGTCACCGCGCCTATGACCTCATCGCCGCGGCGCCCCGCGCCGCAGGCAGCATGACGTCAGCCTCAGAGCCTGGCGCACACACGCGTGCGCTGCTGGCGTGGAAGGTGAAATGACGTTATGGGCCGCGGGAGCCACAGGAGAGAGGGCGGCACAGCAGGGCCCGAGGCGAGCAGGGGGCTCACTGGGGCTCCCCTATCCCCGGCGCTCCGTTCTCCGTCACGGGCTGGTCCCGCCTCCCGGGCGCAGCCGGCCAATCCGGGCGGGCCGCGGCGGCGCGCAGCCAATCAGCTGACTAGGGCTCTCCCGGCGCTTCCGCGTTGGGCCGGGGCCTCGGGCGGCGACGGGGGCGAGGGGCTCAGGGTGCGGGGCCTTCCCCGCTCGCCCGCAGCCCGGCCGTGGCAGCACCGCGCGGGGCTCGGGGCGCCCATGGCCTCCGAGGACCTGACGAGGGCGCTGGCGGCCGTGCTGGAGGGCAGGGGGCTGCAGGTGCAGAACTGGGATTCGGGGCCCGCCGGTGGGAAGCCGCCGCCCCCGGCCCGGCTGCGTGCAAACGTGTCCTACGTGGTGCTGGCCGTGTTCCTCAACGAGAAGGTGAGCGGACTCCTTCCGGGCCGGACCCAGGCTGGCTCGGGGCGGGGGGCTGAACGGACTCGTAACGGGACCTGTCAGCGGGCTCCAGCCCTCACCCCCTTTCCCCGGTGCGTGACGCCCCTCGTCCAGTTATACAAACACTTGCACCACACGGAGGGAAACTGAGGCCCGGGGTGGGGGACGCAGGTTTTCTCCTTCCCTTCCATCTCCAGAGTGGCCCATTGGCCTCACCTGCGTCTTCACCACTAGCCTGGTGATGGCATAGTCAGACCTACACTGAAGCCTGCCGACGGATTTACTCCCCAGATAGCTGCAGGGACTAGAGTGTGCCTATCCAAAGCCAGGAAGGAGCCAGGGGCTGCTTTTATGTCTTGCACATGGGTTCAGGGTCCCAAGAACTTGAACCAGTCACTGTCCCAGGTACACTAGCAGGGAGCCAGATTAGAAGTAGAGCAGGTTCTGTAACTGGAACCTGTCCATATGGGATGCTGGCCCCGCAGGCAGATGAATATGCAACACCATGGCACAGGGCTTTTGTGGGGAGTGGGCGTTTCAGAACCTAGATGCCATGCCTTCCCATGCCACCTCGGTTCCTCACTCCCAGGACCCCAGGGCCGGGGGAGCGGGCGGGCAGAGATGGGGTGGTCTCTGGCAGTGGCCGGGCAGGAAGGTTGCCGCCAGGGGTCTCCTGTGTGCAGGCTGGAGGGTGAGTTCTCCTTGTCTCCCAGGATGAAGTGCTCCTGATTCAGGAGGCCAAGCGTGAGTGCCGGGGCTCCTGGTACCTGCCGGCGGGGAGGATGGAGCCCGGGGAAACCATTGTGGAAGCCCTGCGGCGGGAGGTGAAGGAGGAGGCCGGGCTGCAGTGCGAGCCAGTGACGCTGCTGGCCGTGGAAGAGCGGGGCCCCAGCTGGGTCCGCTTTGTGTTCCTGGCTCGCCCCACAGGTGCGAGCAGTGGGGGCTCACCTGGGGACGGTGTGGTTCTGGGCTGGCTACCTCCATCCCCCCACCGCCGCTCCCCTCCATCCCAGAGCGCCCGCTGCTGTCCATGTCCTCTGCCAGGTGTGGCACACACACACCTGGCTCTCTTCCTTGCCCCCTCCCCTTAGGTGGAATTCTCAAAACTTCCAAGGAGGCAGACGCTGAGTCCCTGCAAGCTGGCTGGTTCCCACGCACCTCCCTGGCCACGCCACTACGTGCCCATGACATTGTGCACCTCCTAGAGCTGGGTGCCCAGTACCTCCAGCAAGCCTGGCACCCTCCCTTGCTGCCCCAGGAGCTTCCCTGCAGTGTGGTGTGCCAGCGGCTCATAGCTGTCTTCATCGGTGTCCAAACGCTGTGGGTGCTGGTGGGCACGGCGGGGACACCTCACCTGCCTGTCACTGCTTGTGACTTCACCCCCACGGAGCAGAGGGGTGGCCTCAAGGTGGCCGTCCTGCGGCTGCTCCAGGAGTGCCTGGCCCTGCACACCTTGACAGTGGAGCCCAAGGGCCTGCTGGGGCTGCAGCACCTGGGCAACGACGGCTCAGACGGCATCTGCCTGGACGTGCTGGTGGCCGTGGCCTTCCACAATGCGGGTGTCCGAGCCGAGGAGCCCCCGAAAGTTCGGGGTGAGAACTACGCTTGGTGGAAGGTGGCAGATGAGGACCTGCAGAGCCAGCTCCGCCAGAGGCTGCGGGATTGCTCGGTGGTGCCGTTGAACCGATAGAAAGGTGCGGGGGCTCCCCGAGGGAGGCAGAAGCAAGGGAAGGCCAGCAAGGGAAGGCTCCATGTTGGGAGCAGAGCTTGGTCGGGTCCCCAGGGTTTCAGGGGCCGTGGGCCCAGTGACGGGGCCTGATGCTGAGGGACATCCATTGCTCTGCCACACCCTTTTAGGTACCTGGGACTCGGATGGGAGCCACAGGGCCATGGCTGAGTAAAAGGGCATTGTCGTTTATCTTTCCTGCCCCAGTGTGTCTGTGTGGGGAGCACACAACAGGGCCTGCTTGCCCAGTAGCTCCCGGGCCACTAGCAGCCGCCACCCAGACCTCCTTCCCCGGATAGCGTATGCGAAGGTTTTCCTTTTTCTTTCTTTTCTTTGTTTCTCTCCCTCTCTCTCTCTGTCTTACTTGTTTGTTTATTTTTATTGGAAAGTCAGATACACAGAGAGGAGGAGAGACAGAGAAGATCTTCCATCTGCTGATTCACTCCCCAAGCTCCACCACGGTCTGAGCTGAGCCGATCTGAAGCCAGGAGCCCAGATCCTCTTCCAGGTCTCCCACACAAGTGCAGGGTCCCGAAGCCTTGGGCCGTCCTCGACTGCTCTCCTACGCCACAAGCAGGGAGCTGGATGGGAAGCGGGGCCGCTGGGATTAGAACTGTATCTGTATGTGATCCCAATGCATGCAAGGTGAGGACCCCAGCTGCTAGGCCACTGCGCTGGGCGCTGGGCCTGTGGGATGGTTTTCAACTGTGCTTAAGTGTCAGGGAGTGACAACCAGTTGCTACATTGAAAGCTCTGGGTATTGGTCATGAATGACCAGGCTTTCCCTCGGCTGTATGGTAACCACGCTCCAGCTCTGGAGGGCCAGGAGAACCTTAGAATTCCCCGTCCCAGCTGCTCCACCACCAACTCCCTGCCTCTCTTTTCTTCTTAGTGCTCCCCTGGAGGCTGGAGGGAGGACTTAACCCACCAAAGACAACATGTCTTCCAAAGAATGGGACCAAACCCTTGTGTTGGGCCCAGCTCTCGGTCTCTGGGGGGCCTTTACTGGTCCCCCGGCATCATATTGCCAAGACTGGGCACTCATCAGTAGGCGAAAGCTATCGGATGAAGCCCTGCCCCGCGCCACCACTGCCATTCAGCCATGCTGGGCAGCTGGGACAATTATTGCATGTGCAGCTGAGTCCAAGGCAGCCAGTGGTCACAGTCCTCGCCTTGGAGTGCTCCTTCTGCACCTCCCCCCCCAGGACCTGTCAAATAACCATAGTTCCACCAGGCATACCGATATGCTGTGTGCTCAGATGCTGCCTGCCATTCCCACCCCGCACCGGGGTGTCTGCAGGCCAGCAGGCAGCCGTAGGTGAGCCAAGTGCACAGCCAAGAAAAGTCTGGCTCCTGGCAGGCTTGGAAGAGCGTCAGGATTGCATTGCCAGAGCCTGTCTCTATTTACAGCCCCCTGCCGCCGCCGCCACCACCGCCCAGGGCTGGAAAAGGAATTTGTCTGGGGTGGGGGGGTTGAGGGGGTAGAAGATGGGCCTGAATTAGCAGTGGAGCCCCGGGCGGGAGGAGGAGAGAAGAACATACACACAGCCCAGGTCCACCAGCTCACACTGTTTATTGCTGTGCTGTCTTGGGGAGTAACCGTGCAAATAGCAGGGCGTACCGCCGAGAGCTGAGGGCCTGGACCTCCAGCTCTTCATCCGCATGGTCCACCTGCTGGCCGTTGTCCCACACCTGCCATGTGTTCATGCAGGCTCCCAGCAGCATGCAGGCTACTCTCCATCCCGGGAGGCGGGCAGGGAGAGGAGGCGGAGGTCACCAAGTTTTCTCTTTCATGTCACCTCCTGGCAGCCCGAAGCCAGCATGGGCAGGAAGAGGAAGCATGAGGGGGGCTCTGGCCTGCGCTTGCCTCCTGGCCCAGGAAGCCCAGCCAGCAACAGCAGCTCGCCTGTGAGGTAATGCCTGGTGCCGCCTGCCCGCCCTGCGTGCTCCTACAGGTCAGGACAGATTTGAGCCCCGGGGTGGGGCTGCCGCCCGCCCGCCCGCCTGCCCACCCGCCACAGAGGGCATGCAGGGGGAAGGCCACCAGATACCTGTGCCTCTGCCCCTTGCTGCCAGGCCTCTCAGTCAGTATACCCTGAGTAGTCCCCACTGGCCCAAGGAGGAGGGGTGTTCCCTCGGGGATCACCAGACACGGGGCAGGGCCAGCCTCCCTGGTCTCTGACCTCTGTGCCCAGGTGTGCTGGACCTGCTGAGACGGGTTCAGAAGGCGCCAGAGAACACGGCTGCAACTGTAGCCTGGCACCAGGCTCCTGCCCGCCCCCTCCCCGGGGCGGGGCGGGGGGGCCCTCCTTGCCTGCCCCTGGCTGCAGCTGCACCTAAGTTCTCATTAGCAGCTGCCCCCGCCTGGGCACACAGCATGCTTTGGGCACTGGCCATGAGGCGGTTGGAAATTTTGCAAGAGCCTCCAGGAGGATGAAGTGTGATGTGGGCGCTTCCGCTTCAGTCCCCTTTGCTGCCTCGTTCCGTGGCTCAAGACAGCGAGGCAGGGGAGTCGGGCCTCGGCAGCTGCTGTGGTCCTGGGTGTTACACACACACGACTCCTGACCCACGTGTCTTAGCCTGAGATTCTGGCTACCTCGCAGCCATTTCCGTGGCCCTTGCAGTTCAGTCACAGACCTCGGCCCTGAGCACCCATGGCTGGTCCAGAGGACAGCAGGCGTGTGGCACGTGAGTGTCTGGGGGCTCACTTGGCATATGCCAGCCTCACCTCCAGGGAGGGCTCCCAGGGCAATGGGCTGCCTGCCAACCAAGCCATTTCTCTTGCCACCCCCTCCCATGGCATCCCTGAGACCCAGTCCACTGTGGCCCACCAGGTCCCAGAGTTCCTTGACCTGGAAGCTAAAGTACCCCCAGCCCCCGAGGACAGGAGAGACGGAGGGAGGCCACGTGCTTAGGCAGAGGTGCGTGCAGGAAGCTCCTCTGAGCTCAGACCTGCCCTTCCGGGGGTGAGGGGAACTTGAGCTGGGGGCCGTGTGGGGGGAACTTGACAAAAGCGATGGCGGCCAGCTCCTTGCAGAATTCTTCTAGCACCACCACACCCTGCAGGAGGGTCTGGTGGTCCAGCCTAGGAGGAAGGAAGAGAGAGGACAGAGATGGGGTAGGGTGGGGCGAAGGCTGTTAGCTGCTGTGGCGTGCCCAGTGGTCAGGACCTCCCTGGCGGGAGGCTTCTCCCACCCAAACCACCTGCTGGCCCCTGGAACTTACTGTTCTCCAGGGCCCTGACCAGTGAGCTGCTTGCGCACCAGGAGCAGTTTTCCTGGGAATTGGGGCACCCTTTGAATCCTCTGCATCAGGTCCCCTATTACCTACACGGGGTAAGCGGAGAGTGTGAGACGGGAGCTGGCAGGATACCCCCACACACAGCCCGGGCATCCTGCAGCCCTTCCCGTCCTTACCCTGACCAGCACAGAGAAGAGGCTGCGGCAGCCAGGGGCCAGATTGACATAGGGGTCCAGCAGGTACTCGTGGACGTGGGGGTGGGGGAAGAGGGCAAGCCGGGACAGGAGCGAGGTCACTTGCAGGTTCAGGCTGTAAGGCTGAAGGGAACACACGGTGGACGATGCCCGGCGGCAGGGAAGGGGGCGAGCTGGGACGCCAGGCGGCTCTGCACACCCCTCTGCAGCTCTGCCAAGCCTGGGGCCTGGACAGTGGGAATGTGCGGGGGCGGTAGGCTCACGTGATGTGCGTGTGTGTGTCGAACTCCCCAGGGCTGAGGGCCCAGGACGTGTCCCGGCGTGTATAGTAGAGGCCAGATGGCGCCTCCCACCCGAGACGGGGGCAGGGCGGGGGCTGCCCGCTTTCACTCGCGGCTCCCCAACACCCACCCTGTCCCCCCCCGACCCCCGTAGCTCCAGTTCTGGGAGGCCCACCTGATCCAAGATGCGGGCCATGCGGTCAAACAGCACCCGAAGGAATCGGCCCTCGAAGAAAGGCCTGTCAGGTTCCTGGACGTCCAAGGGTGCAGGGGTTGGGGGCCAGCCCCAGGGGGCCACGCGGGAGCTGCACTCCTGAAACTGAACCGAGCAGCAGGGGAGATGTGAGGTAGGGTGCAGGAAGAAACCCAGCCATTGCCAAGGGCTACAGTCGGCTGGCACTCACCAGGCCGTAGGCGTCGTGGACATACGTGTCATAGCCCGTCTCCTCCAGGAAGGCCGAGGTCTTGGCCTCCTCGGGGACCAGGCAGAGGAAGCTGAGAGACAAGAGGCTTGGGTGTGCAGGCGCCCTGGTCTACCCACTCACCCTGCCACGGCAGGGCTGCATCCCACGCCGGACGTGGGGACGCCAACGTGGCTGCCATGGTCTAACCTGCTCCCCACCTGTTGACGATCTCCGTTACTGCCGTCTGACCCTCCTGCTCAGAGCCAGGGCGGGTGGTGGGAGCAGGGGGCCGGACCTTGGTGGAGGGCCGGAAGCTGGAATCAGGGAAGCTGTCGGGGAAGTAGGGGTCCTCTTCCAGGTCCCTGTGGTTGGGCACATGTGTGAGTGTGGGCCTGGCAGGGGCATGAGCGCTGGGCAGGGCTGGGTGGCACTTACAGGGTGTCTTCATAGTTCTCGGGCTCTGGTGAGCCGCGTGCCACATAGAGACGGCCCTCGAGGTGGCGCAGCACCAGGCTGTGGAGCACCTGTTGGTGGGGCTGCTGCAGCAACTCCTCAAACAGCCGCAGCGTGGCGATGCTGATCTGTGTGAGGGACAGTGGCCAGGCAAGTCTGCCACCCACCCCTCCTCCAACCGCCCACCGAATTCTGCTGTCACTAATTTGGTCCTTTCTCCCAAGGGGCCAAGCACAGCGGAAGACAGAATGTGCAGTGAGAACTATGGGCGGGGCCAGCATGGTGGTGTAGGCAGCAAAGCCTCTGCCTCCAGTACTGGCACCCCATATCGGTGCCAGTTCGAGTCCGGGCTACTATGCTTCCAATTTCGCTTCCTGCTTATGCACCTGGGAAAGCAACAGAGGTTGGCCCAAATAATTGGACCTCTGCGCCCACATGGGGGATCCAGGATGGCGTCCCAGTCGCCTGGGCTTCCCGCTGGCCCAGCCCTGACTGTTGTAAACCAATGATGGATGACGTCTTTCTCCCTCTCTCTATAGCTCTGCCATTCAAATACATTTTTTAATAAAAAACTGTATGTCATTCCAATATATGGGAAATACGTCTGCCAATCACCATGAGGCTGGTTTTGGGGGTGGCTCACCCCTTTGGACTGCTAGCATGGCAAGCAGCATTTGGGGAGTCACCCCAAGCTTCCCCCTGGGGGCGGAGCGGCAGGCAGAGTCCTTTCCACCATACCTCATCTGACAGGTGGTCGCAGTGCCCGATGAGGTGGGCACACAGGGTGCAAGGGTCGTCCTCGGGGGTGTCGGGTTGCCGCTCGGTGCCCAGGAGGAAGGCCACGGCTTCCTGCAGCAGCGCCGGGGAGCGCAGCTGCCGCAGCATGGCGGTCAGCAGGGCGGTAGAGGTGAGAATGCTCTGCTCAGACCTAGAGGGAGGGGCGCCTGAGCAGGTGCACGCACAGACAGCTGAGACGGGGCAGGGAGCGACAGCACGCCCAAGGGACAAGGGATGGCACTGTGCCTCCCTGGGCGCCTACGTCTTGGGTCACGCCCCCTTTTCTCTCCAGCAGCCGGGAGGCCCCCAAACAGCCCACGTGGCACACGAATTACACAGACTGTGCGGGTCTGGCAGACAGGAGCCCTCAGAGCCCAGACAGAACCTGCCCTTAGCAGAAGCCAGGTCAGGGCCAATGCCCAGGGGACCTGGACATACTCACACGTGCAGGAGCTGTGGCTGCAGAGTCTCCACAAACAACTTCTGTGCCACGGCCCTTGCCAAGGCCTCGGCAACCACCTGAGGACCACACAGCACCGTCTTACGCCCGCTGTGGTGGTTTCCCACCCACCAGGCAGTACCCGCCCCCACGGCTTGGGCCCCTTGACCCCACGCATGCTGGGGCGAGTAGAGAGAACAGCAGTGTAAGGCAGCCCTGCCTGTGCCCAGCCCTGCTCACCGCCTGTGCCTCCATGATAAGGTGGTCGCAGTAATCAAACCAGCCCAGGAAAGCAGCCAGGGCCTCCTTGCCCGGGAAGGAGGCCTCGTCGGATGGGGCGCTGGGTAACCTGAGGGAAGAGGGGCCCAAGAAGCCTGGCTGAGTGCCCCCTGCCCCTTCTCCTTCCACCTTCTCTTGGTGGGGGTGGGGAAGGCTCTGTGATCAGACGCTTCCCTGCAAGGTACAAACAGCCTGATGGAAGAAGGCGGGGCAGGGCCCAGTGCAACCTCAGGGACAGCGGCTGAGGGCGCTGCCCAGCTGGGCACCCACCTCCAGCTGATGCCCTCTGCGGCAGCGATGTCTGCGGGATCCAGGAAGGCGGGCATGGCGTGGTAGAGCCTGCAGAGGTGCTCGGCGATGGCAAGGCAGCAGGGGCTGCTGTGTGCCAGGTAGGTGGCAGCCGCCGGAGAGGCCACACTGACCAGCAGCAACAGGTTCTCCTGTGCCTTCAGAGCCACCCGGCTCTTCTGAAAAAGACAGGGGTATGGTTTCTAGGGACCCCTAGAATTGCTGCATAGCCCCCCCACCCCATGCTGGGCCACCCTCCCCACGTGCTTGTACCTTGCTCCTGCACAGCCCGAGCAGGGCGGTGATCAGACTGCTCTCCCCGCTGCCCCCATCCGTCTCCTCGGCTTCAGCAGACGGGGGGCTGCTCCAGGCCTGCGCTCCCCGGGGCTCGCCAGGCCGCTGGGGGCCCCCGGCGGGGGCACTGCCGTGGGCTGGGTCCTTGTACCCAAGGCTGGCTGTGTCTCTGGGTGGGGCAATGGTTTCCCTGGATGACTTCTTCCTTCCTATCATCTTTTTCCCCTGCCGAGAGAGGAGTGAGACAGGCCAGAGGTGGGGGGGACGGACGGTCCAGGAGCATGCAGGGTGCGTCAGCGCTGGGAGGGGGAGGAGGCTTAGCCAGCAAAGCCCCCCGAGGGCCTCCTGACCCTTCTGCAGGTGCACCCCCATCCCGCCCAGCGGCCAGTGCTCACTTCCAGTAGGTAAGCCAGCAAGTCCGGGTCCTGCTGGATCTTGGAGCAGAGAACTGTGGTGAACTGTACCTCCTCCTTTTCTGTGAGGGACCCAGGGGCTGGCCCCCCAAGCCGGAGAAGTTTCTGGAAGACAGCGGGAGAGAAACGGAGAAAGAGGGTGCCCTCCAGCCCCACCCCCAGCCATCGGCAGCACCCCTGGGCTCCTGGGCCCCTTACCTGCACGGGCCTGTGGACGCTGAGGTAATGCAACAGTGGGTGCCGCACCTGCGCCAGGACCTTGCTGAAGAACTGGAGCACCTGCTGCCGCATGCCCGGTGGGTACTGCGGGCCAGGGAGAGTGCCCCGTCACAGCGGGCCGCAAGCCGCCTCACCCTACAGCTGCCTCGGCCTCTGCGCCTGCCGCTCCTCCCGCCAGGCCATCACTGACCACACACCGCAGCCAGCCGTTCCCAGCTGCATGCTCGGCGTCTATGGGTGCAGCCAGCCCCAGATCAAAATATGTCTGTGTGTGTTGGGGATGGGGGCAATTGGCACGACGGCAGAGCAGGTTAAGCCTCTGCCTGAGGCTCCGGCATCCTGTATAGGTGCTGATTCAAGCCCTGGCTGCTCCATTTCCAACCCAGCTCTCAGCTAACGCACCTGGGAAAACAGCAGAGGACGGCCCTGAACCCACACGGGAGACCCGGAAGAAGCCACTGACTCCTGATTTCCAATGGGCCCAGCTCTGGCTGTTGTGGCCATTTGGGGAATGAATCAGTGGATGGAAGCTCTCTCTGTCTCCTTCTCTCTGCAACTCTGCCTTCCAAAGAAACACATGGTCTTCAAAAAGAAAAAGTATAGTTATGACAGGCTGTTTGTGGTTTACACGCAAATGGTATACCCCCTCCTTTTTTTAAAAAAAAAGATTTATTTCTTTTTACTGGAAAAGCAGATTTACAGACAGAAGACAGAAACATCTTTCGTCCACTGATTCACTCCCCAAATGGCCCCAATGGCTAGAGCTGAACCAATTCCAAGCCAGGAGCCAGGAGCTTCTTACAGGTCTCCCATGCAGGTGCAGGGTCCCAAGGCTTTGGGCCATCCTCTGCTGCTTTCCCGGGCCACAGGCAGGGAGCTGGATGGGAAGTGGAGCAGGTGGGACAGGAACCAGTGCCCATATGGGATCCTGGCACACGCACGGCAAGCACCTAGCTACTGAGCCATCGCGCTGGGCCCTGTTGCATCCTTTTGTAGGCTGCAGCTGACAGCCCTGCACTTGGGTGTGTTTGGGGGTCCTGGGGCCGGCCCCCATGGCTGCGTGTCATCCTGCTCCTCTCCCAGCACCAGGGCTTCTGTCCACTTCAGTCTGGCACAGGTCAGGGACCTGGGACGCCTTGGCTGGAGCGATGCTGACAGAGCATCTGCCACGAGCGGGATGCTCTGAGTGACAGTGCCAGCCCCCCTCCCCTGCCCATCCCCACATGTTGGAACTAGAAGGAGCAAGGAGAGGCCCCGCTCCGGGCGGCAGGTGCAGGGTGGCAGGGGCCTGCCCACCTCGGCCTTGCCCAGCGTGCACAGAGTCTCCAGGATCTTGTGCTGTAGCAGGTACTCCAGGCAGGGCCCGGCCTCCGCAGCGGCCGTCTGCTGGCCCTCCTCGTACACCAGGATGTCCAGCATCTGCTTCAGCCGCCAGGGAATGTCTGTCTTCTTGGCCGGGGTGTTCTCATCTGATGGAGATTCAGGCAAGAACGGGGTTAGAGAGCGGGATGGGACCCTCGGAGGGGGGCCTGAAGGCAAGCAGGAGATACACAGGTGGAGGTTTAGGGGTGTAAAGAGACCAAAGCCCTCCAGGCAACGCCCAGGTCCCAGGATGCATGCCCAGCTGGAAGGGCGGCCCCAGGCCTGCCAATGCCTCCCCACCACACCCACACTGGCAGGAGCCCATGCTGATTTCCCATGCACAGTCTTCTGAGCAGACAGCTGGCTCACCCCTCTTCCTGTCCGCCCCCAAAACACTGGTTTAGGGAGCATTCCGGAAATGTAAAGGCCTGCTTCCGGGTGAAGCCCCTGTGGCTCACAGGCTCTTTTGGAACTCCTGATGGACAGGGATGTCCACGGAGAGCCCTCCAGGCTGCAGCAGGGACCTCGCTGGGATCTGAGGGCAGTCCTGGCCCCCGGAGGAGTGAGGCCCAAAGGAGAGGCACAATTGGGGTAGGGTAGCTTCTGCCACCTAGTGGACACAGGCAGCATTACTGCTCAACCGGCCACAAGGCAGAGAGCCTGGACCGGCCGGGACAGGCTCTGCGCCCGGGGAGGGAGCAGATAGGTCTACCAGGCTGAGGTTCCTCCCAAGGTCCACAGGGCACTTTTCAACTTTTGGGGGGCTTCTCAGGTTACAAAGAATGCTTTTAACAAAGGCATACGCTGGGGATTGACGCTGTGGCACAGCACATTAGGCTGTTCTTGGCAGCACCAGCTTCCCACATGGGCGCCAGTTCAAGTCTCGGCTGCTCCACTTCCCATCCAGCTCCCTGTTTGTGGCCTCGGAAAGCAGTAGAAGACGGCCCAAAGCCTTGGGATCCTGCACCTGTGTGGGAAACCTGGCAGAAACTCCTGGCTCCTGGCTTGAGATTGAGTCCACTCCTATGTTGGAGTTCTGGGGTCGAGTCCCACCTACTCTGTGTTTCCGATTCAGCTTTCTGCCAGTGTAACTGGAGGCAGTAGATGAAGGCCCAAGGACCTGGGCTCCCGCCACCCCTGTGGGAGGCCCAGACGGAATCTGGCCTTAAGGCCTAGGCTTGGCCCAGCCCTGGCTACGGTGGGCATCTGGGGAGTGAACCAGTGGATGGAAGCCCTCTCTGAGAGCAACAATGTTATTTTTCAAATGAATAAAGCAATATCTAATTAAAAAAAAAAAAACATGAGCGCAGTAATGGGGTCTGCCTACCCCAGGGAAGCTGGGGTGAGCGGAGTACCTCTGCCTTGCACAGTCGGGCCAGGGAGACCCTCAAATGCTCTTGTCTCCACTCATCCTTTCCACAAACTGCCCCAAAGAGCGGCAGGGAGCTGAGAGACCACAGGAGGCCCCAAAGTGGGTCTCCCAGCAGCTCTGTCCTGCCGGCGGCCCCACCCACACCTGGTGTGTGAAGGAGAGATGGGGGGCTCACCTGTGCTCTCCAGGTAGTAGTGCGTGATGCCCTTCCAATGATCCACGAAGGCCTGCAGCAGGTCGATGCCAGGCTCCCGCTGCACAGAGAGAGCAGACGGGCGACTCGTCAGAACACATTGCATCCCGCATGCGTGCCCGCTCGGGGCCGTGGTGGGCCCGGTCCTTTAGGGTCAGGCCTTGTGATAGAACATGGTCACTCTATAACAGAAGGACCCGGCAGGGACACAACAACATACCTGGTCCCAAAGGAAAGGCACCACAAAACGGCACCCGGATAATACATGGCCAAGACGCGGCTTTCAGGTCCCCCTCGAGTCCAGCCCAGGAAAACCCATGTTCCCAGCTGCCCCAGGCCCATTCAGCTGGACAGGAAACACTAACGGAACAGTGCAGAAGGGCCCGTCCAAGGCCTCAGACTGCACCCCACACCCCCTCCTTAGGTGGCAGTGGCCCCCCCTTCTCAGAGGGTTCCTTGACCTTGGCGAATGCTGTTGAGTCCACTCCAAGCAAGCCCCTAGCCTCGCCTCCATCTCTAAGCTCCAGCTGGAACTGGCCTTGACCATGTAACACTCCCCCTGAACTTCTCCAAGGAAAAGGCCACTCCTGGGGCCGGCGTATCAGGTTGAGCCTCTCCACTTGACATGCTAGCGTCCCATATGGAAGCAGTTCAAGTCCTGGCTGCTCCACTTGCAGTTAAGCTCCCCGCTAACGTGCCTGGGAAAGCAGGGACAGATGGCCTGAGGGCTTGGGCCCCCACATTCATATAAGAGGCCGGTAAGGTGCTCCTGGCTCTGCCCTGGTCCAGACCTGGCAGTTGCAGCCATTTGGGGAGTAAACCAGTGGATGAAAGATCTCTAATTCTGCTTTTCCAATAAAAATAATTTTCTCTCTTTTTTAAAGATTTTTTATTGGAAAGGCAGATTTACAGAGAGAAGGAGAGACAGAGAGAAAGATCTTCCATCTGCTGGATCACTTCCCAACTGGCCGCAATGGCCAGAGCTGAGCCGAACCGAAGCCAGGAGCTTCTTCTGGGTCTTCCACAAGCGTGCAGGGTCCCAAGGTTTTGGGCCGTCCTCCACTGCTTTCCCAGGCCACAAGCAGGGAACTGGAAGGGAAGTGGAGCAGCCAGGATATGAACCAGCACCCATATGGGATTCCAGTGAATGCAAGGCAAGGACTTTAGCCACTAGGCTATTGTGCCAGGCCCAATATCCCTGATTTTTAAAGGGGACAAGTGACATTTTCAAGGGGTCACAAGTGAGCCAAGTGCATGCCAAGGACTTAGGTCATCCTCATCTGCCTTCCCGTAAGCAGGGAGTTGGATGGGAAGTGGAGCAGCTGGGACACAAATTGGTGTTGCTATAGGATGCCAGCACTTGCAGGTGGAGGATTAATCCCTTGAGCCACTGTACCACCCCCTAAAAAAAATAAATACAGCATCAAACAATCCCTACTACCCACAAGTGCTCGTCTCTATTTCCTGGTCTTGCACGTCCCCTGCATGTGGCCAGAGAGAGGACACAGCCGGGGGCAGCTCCCTCAGGCCCTCTGCAGGCGGCCCAGCTGCACGCAGCTCCTTCCAGCCTCAGGCCCTAAGCCCAGCAGCACCTCGGGAAGCCAGGCAGCGCTTGCTACGTGTAAGATGCACAGATGTCCTGCGCATGCACCTCCAGGACCGTGCTGTGTAAGGCACAGCAAGCCATCAGGGCAGGGCATCCGGCCGCGGAGGAGGTAGGGGTGTCCTAAACTGCCAGGACTGGAGGGGAAGGAAAGATGGTGCCCACGGGGGTTGTGAGAGGTGTTTGAGGGAGGCTACAGCAGGTGCTGTGGGAAGGAGGGCAGCATATGCCAGGAAGAGCCCAAAGAACGGGGCAGCGATGGGGAGAAGTGAGGACATGGGGCCGAGCACCAGTTGCCTGGTGGCAGCTTTCAAAGCGCCAGGGACCGCAACCCTTCCTCACGCGGGACGTCACGCACACACAGTCCTCCGAACACTCCCTGGGGAGTCCCAGCATGCCATCCCGACGCCCAGCCCTGCGCCGTGGGCTCTGCACACCTTGTCCGTGAGCTTCCCGGGGACCGGGGAATATACATCCCCCAGGAGCTCGCTCAGCCAGCTCCAGGGCATCCGTTCACGCCAAGGCTCCTCCTCTCAGAAAACAGTTATGCCTGTTTCTGAGACAGGGTGTCATCTAGTTACAAATCCCACGGACAGTCTCCAAACCCCTGGCGCTGGACTCCAATCCCTCAGAATACTCCAGCAGGGGAGCTGGCATCGGGCTGCAGTGCCTGGGGTCACCGCCCGTGAGGCTGGCTTCCCATGTCGTGCTGGTTCCAGTCCCAGCTGCCCCACTTCCGACCCAACTCCTTGCTCACGTGCCTGGGAAGACAGCAGAGGACGGCCCAGGACTTGGTCCTCCTGCACCCAGTGGGAGAGCCAGAGGAGCGTCCTGGCTCCTGGCTTTGGACCTGCTGAGCTCTGCCCGTTGTGGTCATTAAGAGGATGAACTAGAGAATGGAAGATCTGTCTCTCTCTCTGCACTTCTGCCTTTCAAATATGAATGAATCTAACAAGGAGAGAGCCAGTTCAGGGGACAGGAATGCTGGGGACATGGAGGGGGTGTGGGACACAGGCCGCTCTCCATGAGGACTCTCTCCTGCATGGGGGAGGGCGCAGTGGGACTGTTCCCCCACCAGGGTCACCCAGCGCTCCTCCAGCCACAGCTGTCACCCCGCGCACCCCGTGAAGACAACCTCACACTGGGTTCCAACAGCAATGCAAAAACAAACTCGGAATTTAGCAACTCCTTATCGTTTCCTGTTACGACGCAAGCACGCATGCGCGCACACACCCAGCCCCCCACCACGGGCTGGTATCAGCCTCACTCCAGACCAGCCTAACTGGCAGCTGCGTCTGAACCCCCACACAGACAGCTGAGAGGCAAGGGCCAGGTGCCCACCCACCCGCACCCTCGCGGTCAAGCGGGTGGCCTGCGCCCGAGGCTCAGAGGGGCCTGGGGGCTCAGGGCGAGGGTACGGAGGGCTCCCAGAGGCCGGGGAGGCCACGCACGGGACAGAAGAGCAAGGGCCCCAAGCCGCATCCCGAGCCGCAGGAAGCAGGAACAGGAAGCTAGCTGGCAAGCTGGGCCTTCTGCCGGTCCCGGACCGGGCAAACCCGAGCCGGGCGCTCCATTCCCGAGAGCGCACCGGCCGGCCGCGCGGGACACCGGAAGGGGCGCTGCGGTCCCTTCCAGGCCGGGAGTTGGGGGTGTCCCCGGCGTCCCCTCTCCACCCCGGGGTGCGGGGAGGAGGGCCGTGCGCGCCCCTTCCCCGCCCGGCCTCCCGCTCCGCGCCCTCCCGGGCCTCACCGCCCCCACGGCCTCCTGTAGCAGCGCCCCGAGCCGGCTCAGCATGATGGCGGCCGGCCGGCTGCGCGCGGCTCCGAGCGGCGGTGCTGGCGGCGCGGGAGGCGGCCCCGGTGCGGCGGCGGCGGAGGCGGGGCCGGTTGCTCCGCCCCGCTCCGGTGTCCCGGCCGAGCCCGGCCTTGGGGGGCGCCCCCACTCCGAGAGACCCCCTTGGCTTCAGGGGGAAAGAGGACTGAGCATTCCTCGGCGCGCAAGGGAAAAAAGTTGGATGGAGCATTCTATGCATTCCGCCTTGAGATGCCGGCAAAGCAGACACGCTGGTCGGGTTAAGCCAAGTTGTATGCTTGAGTCAGCTTGTTAGCTTTCTAAGTGGGCTGATTGAAATCAGCCTTTTCACCCCCACTCCCTCCCCAGCCGCCGCCCCTCTGCCACCCCCAGGTCTTTCTGGCACCAATGGAGGACTGGTGTGTGGTAAGCACAGTACTGCTTAGCACTGACACAGCTCAGCTCAGAAGGGCAATTACCCCCTTCTGCCAGCGTGGGGGTCTGCAGGATCCTGGGACCTACAGCCAACATGGGCTCTCTCCTGCTTGTTTTCTCTGCTCTTATTCCAGGGGCTGAGGTCTCCAGAGGGTGGAGTGGGGAGCTGGGGCAAGCTGGTGGGTGCTGGGTAGTGGAGGCTGCCAGCAGGCTGACCCAGGGTTCTCTAGCAACTGCTTGGAAACCTGTTTTCCAGGAGCCCAGACATGCAGGGTGGTCAGGCCTGTGTGTGAAGAGCGAGCGAGCTCATTTTGTGTTGGGAGCCCTCATGCCGGGTGTGCTTCTGCGGCCTTGACAGGTGCGGGAAAACCAGCGTCTCCCATTCCGGACGATGGCAGGGAACTCCAGGAAGAACAGCAATGAATTGGCAACTTTGTACTGGCATCCCATGTAGGCACTGGTTTGCATCCTGGCTGCTCTACTTCCGATCTATTTCCCTGCTGATCCTGCCTTCGGGAGGGCAACCTGGAGGAGGCTCCTGGCTTCAGATGGACTCGGTTCCATCCACTGTGGCCATTTGGGAAATGAACTAGCCATGGAAGGTTTCTGTCTCTCATTCTCTGTCACACTGCCTTTTGAATAAAGATATTTAAAAAAAAAAAAAAGACACAGCACATGTTCCCCATGAATGTCTTTCAGCTGCATTTCTTTGAAAGACAACAGAGCGAGCTCCCATCTGCAACTCCTCTTGAAATGTCGACCATGGCCAGGGCTGGGCAGGGCTGGGCTGAAGCAAGGAGTTCAGGCCAGGCTCCCACGTGGGTGGCAGGAAGCCAAGGGCTTGCGTGGTGCCTCCCAGGCTCTGCCTTAGCGGGGAGCTGGAGTCAGGAGCCGGAGCCCACGGGAGTTACATTAGACATTATGCTGAATGCTAATAAGTCATCTTGCACGCACTCCCCATGTTCTATACTAAGCATTGGAGAAGACTGATACATTCAATTCTGCTGCCAGGGAAATTGACTGGAAAGGCCTTGCAACAAAATCTCTCCTGTCACCTGCAGGGCCACAAGCAGGGAACTGGATGGGAAGTGGGGCAGCCGGGATTAGAACCGGTGCCATATGGGACGCTGGTGCATGCAGGCAGAGGATTAGCCAATTGAGCTATCATGCTAGCTCCAATAAGATCTTCTTTTCAAAAAAGTTTGGAGAGTACTCTCTAGTTGAATGTTTTACATCTGCGTGTGTCCTTTGAGATTCTCCCCCCAGGCTTTGTTAGAAAGACCGGCCAGCTTCACGTTGAGTGCTCCCAAGCCTCTGGAACCCATCATCTTTCAGAGCTTAGGGTCCAATCTGCCCACCACAGGTACCTTCCAGCGAAGGGGAAGGCGTTTGGGGCAGGAGTTACTGTACTACTTGGGACAGCTGAATCCCACAGCGGAGTACCTGGTTTCCAGTCCTGGCCCAGTTCTCCCAGCTCCTTACTGATGGGCACGCTGGGAGTCAGCAGTGACAGTGCAAGGGACTGGATTCTTACCACTCACGTGGCAACGAGCTAGACTGAGCTGCTGGCCCCTGGCCTCAGCCCCACTGCTGGTTACAGAAGGCAGAGCACTCTCTCAAATCGCCCATTCCAATGCGATTCTTAGCTCACTGTTTATTTCAAAAGTCTTAAAATGTTTATGGGGCCAGCATGGTGGCGTGTTGGTACATCTCCCGCCCGTGGCATCCTGGAAGAGCGTGGTTCATGTCTCGCCTGCTCCACTTCCTAATCCAGCTCCCTGCGAGTGGCCTGGGAACGCAGCGGAGGATGGCTCAAGTCCTTGGGACCCTCTTTCCACATCAGCCAGTCTCCTTCCTGTTCTTCCAATGGAATCTGCACTCCCTTGCCAACCCCCCTTCCCTCTCATGCCCTCAACACGTGGTTCCAGGTCTGTTCTCTTGGAAGGCCTGGCCTAGCCAGCCAACACCAAACCATACCTTCTCCTGTGGCCTGGGCTGAGTCCTCCACCACCCATCCTCCAAACTGCCTGGCCAGTGACAATCGGTTCGTCCGTGGATGCTATACGCTGAGCGTTTCCTGTGTGTGTGTGTGTGGCATGGTGTATGTGGTGTGTGTGTGTGTGTCCCAGACCATGTGATGGACCCTGGGTACCATGGGACCAATGTTGAACTTGCCTGTCACAGCGGGGCGGCAGGGTCTTCAAGGTCTTGGTGGAAAACAGGCCTCATCTCCTTCCACCTCCCGGCTCTTATCTGAAGACCCCCGAGAGAGGAGAAAGACAGGACCCTGCCTGGACCAGCCCCTGCGATCTGGGACAGTGTCATGGATGCTTCCCCCCCTGTCCACCCCGATGGGTCACGGGTCCTCAACTGCTCAACTTCTTCCCCTCCCTCTCATGCTGTTCTACTGGTGGCCTTTGAAGAACAAACAGATTTAGGGACCCAATGCAACCTTTTAATTCCAAGCAGACAGTCAGTCCCCGTGCCAGCAGTGTCACACACGCAGTGGAGAGGGAACAGCCAGGATCTGGGCACGAACCAAAGCCAGACCTGGGTGAAAATATATATTATATATATATATATAATTATATATACACGTACGATCTGGAGAGAAAGCCGGAGTGTGAGTGGGTAGGGCACAAAAGTGAGGTGCGGAGAGCAGCCGGGGGGTGCCCCAATAAATTACATTCTTTAGAGAGCGCAGTGGAGGAGGAGGGGGCGCCTGGGAGTGGCGGTGGGCCCTGGCGGCCAGGACCCTCAGAAGGGACCCACCCAGCCTGGCATGTTAAACCCCCACCAAGGCAAGCAGCAGGCCAAGGTTCCGCTGGCACCTACTCCCGGGGGCGGGGGGACTCTGGCTGCCAGGAGACGGAGTCGTCCGGGGCAGGCGATGGGAGTGGGTCCTAGCTCACTGTGCTAGCAGCGAGGGGATGCTCTGGGTAGACGGTGTCTCCACTCGGGGAAGCCGGGTCTGCAGCCAGAGGCTTGGAAGCTCGGGGGTTGCAAGTGGAGGACAGGACAGTGCCTGGAATGCCAGTGCATTGCTCTCCACCTGCCCCCAGCTCTGGCAGGCAGGGTCCCGCAGAGCTGAGCTCCGCGCGTGGAAAGGGGAGAGAGAGAGAGAGAGAGAAGTGAGCCCTCCCTGTTGGCCAAAAGTGTCCTACTGGGCCCTGCTCCAGGCAGCTGGCTGGCACACCTGGCCCCCTTCCTTCATCCTCCTGGCCTCCTCTGGGGACCCTCATGTTGGAGTTGGGGGCAGCGACAGAGTACGGAGTTGTACCCTGCTTGTCTGGACCTGGATGGACAGCGAGGAAGGACCGCGGAGAAGGAAAGGTGGCCCCCAGCCTCCCTCAACTCCTCTTGGGAACCAAAGCCACGGCTGCCTAGCACCCGTGGGCCCCCACTTCCCAGTGCTCGCAGCTCCAAGTCAAGAGGAGGCTGATTTGGCTTTCCGCTTCCCCTGTGCCCCCACCCGCCCCGCTCCAGAGCCCTGCAGCAGTAGGGAGGGGTCGGCCACAGAAGGGGAAGCAGGGGCGCCGAGAGGGACGGTCAGAAGAGCGAGGCCTTCTTCTTGAGCTCATTGCGCTTCCACAGGGCCAGCTTGCCGAACTCCTCGGGAGACATGGCGAAGACTCTGGAAAAATCCTCGGCCGATAGGTGCCTCTGCGGGAGCGGAGGGGAAGTGGGTGGCCCTGGCAACACACCCCAGCTCTCTCTTCCCACGACCACCACGTGGTGACAGCCCAGAGCCCACCCACCCGCTTCATCCCTGCATACCTCAAGCCGCATGCGATCCACCCCGGGAGGCAGCTTGGTGCGCCCTCTGTTGGTCACCATCAGCATTTCATAGGGGTAGATCTGGGTGGGGTGGGGGGGAGCAGGGGACCACCTTAGCCGGACACCAAAACCCACCCCTTCCTCCTCACCCTGCAGAGGCCACCGGGGTTCATGCCATGTTGCCATCCCTGTCCCCCACCCCAGCCCTGCCAATCACCGACTCCAGGAGGCCCCCACCGCCGAGTGCATTGGGCTCCGCGGGCATGGCCCCGGCCGCGCCCACCCCCACGCTCTCCAGGCAGCGGGGGTCCCCTGCCCCTCACCTTCTGCTCCAGTACACAGGGCAGGGAGTTCCCCCGGTCCATCCTCCCCCTCTGGCCCTCTCCGTTCTAGGGAGACCAAAGCCGCAGTGAGCCAGAGCGGGCAGGGAGACCTGCCCAGCCTTACCCGGGCTCTTTCTTTCTCCAAGTGTCTTCCCCAGGCAACGTGGTGGCCCCACTACCCCACCTGCCCGCCGCCACCTCCAGCCTCCAGCAGCTGCCTGGCCCTAGCTGTAAGGTGCTCCTTGGCCTTCGGCTCCATCAGACGGTGCTCACCTGCAGGCCTGCGGAGAGAAGGGTCAGGGCTCAGAGGCCTGCGCCCCCTACCCGGGCGCTGCCCTGCCCCTCCCTCTACCCTGCCCACATCCCTTCACCAAGGACGCAGGGGCTCACCTGAGCTTCCAGAATCACTCTCCGAGGGACTGAAGTCTGTGGACTGTAGCTGGCGGAGGACATTGGGGGGCGGATCAGAAGAGGCTGAGGAGGACCCCCCAAGCTGGTCCCCTTGGCTTTAAGGCTCCCCCCAGCACTCAGAAGCCTCCCCCCGCACCCCACCATGCACAATGCTCTCAGAATCTCCGGTCCCGAGGCAGACCTTACCCGGCTGAGGGTGGTCCTGCCGTAAGCAGGCAGAGAGGAGGACTTGGATGTTCCTGGGTGCAAAGCTGCAAGACAGAGCAAGAGACCCTGGGTGGGTCAGCCCCTATCCCCTACCTGGCACCAGCAGGGCTCGGGGGAGACCCTCGAGGACTCCCTTGCCACCTGACACGGGCGGGCGTCACTAACTATAAGTTAACGCGCTGAATTCACGGCTCCTTCCGCGCCCGACTGCGCCACGTGCCACAGCCGTATGCGGCTGTCGGGCAGAAGTCATTCGTGACGACAGCAAAGGGAAACATGATTTTGGTGCGAGAACGTTCTGAAAAGCCATGCCCACAGGGGCCTTCAAACTGCTGCTGCAGAAAATGTGTCTTATGGAGTAACTCTCCCTGGGTTTCAAAACAAGTCTTTGAATCACAATAAACCTATCTTTTTCATCTCATTTTCCACTGATTTATTTTTTAAGATTTTTTTTTTAAATTATTGAAAAGACAGACTTAGAGAGAGGAAAGACAGAAAGATCTTCCATCCACTGGTTCACTCCCCAAGTGGCTGCAACGACCGGGGCTGAGCTGATCCGAAGCCAGGAGCCTGGAGCTTCTTCCAGATCTCTCATGCAGGTGCAGGGTGCCAAGGCTTTGGGCCGTCCTCTGCTGTTTTCCCAGGCCACACGCAGGGAGCTGGATGGCAAGTGGGGCAGCTGGACACACACCAGTGCCCACGTGGGATCCCAGTGCTTGAAAGGGGAGGATCAGCCCACTGAACCACTACATTGCGCCCTCCATGAGTCTTCTGAGGCATACTTCGTACAAATCAATCTAAAATTTTAAAGTGACTGAATTATTCTAATTTTACTAACACTGTTAATCAAATTCTATCCTTTTTTTTTTTTAGAGGTGGGAGAGAGGACAGAACTTTTATCCGTCTGCTGGTTTACTCCCCAGATGGCTTTTAACAGCTTGAGGTTGGGTCAAGCTAAAACCAGGAGAGCCACCATCCAGGCTTCCCACATGCATGCCAGGGGCCCGAGCACTTGGGGCCATCTTGCACTGTGCTCCCAGGTCCCTTAGCAGGAAGCTGGACTGAAAACAGGAAACTTGAACTAGTATTCGAAGATGGGATGCCAGTATGAGAAATGGTAGCTTAACCCACTGTACCAGCATGCTAGGATCTAGTCACAGCACGTTATTTTATTTGAAAGACTTACTTAATTTTTTTTTAAATTCAAAAGTCATATATACAGAGAGGAGGACAGAGAGGAAGATCTTCCATCCGATGATTCACTCCCCAAGTGGCTGCAATGGTCGGAGCTGTGCCTATCCGAAGCCAGGTGCCAGGAGCCGCTTCCGGGTCTACCACAAGCGTGCAGGGTCCCAAGGCTTTGGCCTGTCCTCCACTGCTTTCCCAAGCCACAAGCAGGGAGCTGGATGGGAAGCGGGGCTGCTGGGATTAGAACTGGTGCTCATATGGGATCAAAGAGAGGACTTTAGTTGCTAGGCTACTGCGTTGGGCCCTAGTCACAACATTTTAAAGGCTTGGCTTTGGAATACAGAAGTAGTCATTTCCTCCCCTCACCACGGAGACAGGTGCAAACTCACAGCTGTAACACAGCTGTTGCCTTGAATAGGGTCTCTGCCCTCGGGCCTCCACTGACTGTGGTGCCGTGGAACGCGGCCCCTGGGACTCTGCGCTGGAGCAGGTCTCCCATCCCCTTGGTTTCCAGGGATCATCACCGCTCACTGCCGACTGCTTCAATCAGCACTTTTGCTTCCATATTTAGCCTCTGCAGCCTCAACACGACAAAGAGGTTCTGACCATTCTAATACGTTCTAACACACATGGTGTGCAAGCTCCAGTGGACAGAACGACACGGGTTTCGGGACAGTGAGTGGAGAATGCCCGGCTTATCCGATCGCTGTGTGTGATCGAGGCGTTGCGAACGCGCCACAGGAAGTGGACACACCTGCGCTGCGCCTGACTGCTGCAGGTGCATCAAAGCACAGCCGGCTCTCACACTCCCTGGGACTCCTACAATGCGGCTCTCTGACAGTGTGGCTCTCAGAGTCACTGCGCCTCATCACAAGCCTGCAAAACGCACAGGCTCATCAGCTGGAACAGCACAGGCCTCTGCACACAAACGCAGGAATCCGTGTTAGAATCAACAAAGGCAGAGCCGGGCACGATGGCTCTGTGGCTACAGCCTCACCTTGCAAGCACTGGGATCCCATATGGGCACCAGTCCATATCCTGGCTGCTCCACTTCCCATCCAGCTCCCTGCGTGTGGCCTGGGCAAGCAGCAGAGGATGGCCCAAAAGCCTTGGGACCCCGCACCCTCATGGGAGATTTGGAAGAGGCTCCTGGCTTCGGGTCAGCTCAGCCCTGGCAGTTGTGGCCATTTGGGGAGTGAATCAGCAGGTGGAAGATCTTTCTCTCTGTCTCTCTTCTCTCTCCATGAAGTCTGATCTGCCTTTCCAATAAAAATAAATAAAGCTTAAAAGATTAAAAAAAAAGAATCACCAAAGGCACTGGCCTTTTGGCAGAGTAGTTCAGGTGCCGCCTGCAATGCCTGCATCTCACCGCGGAGGGTCTGGGTTCGAGCCTCCTGCTAATGCCAACACCGTGGGAAGGCAGAAGGTGACAGTTCAAGTCATCAGGTCGCTGCCACCCACTTGGGAGGCCTCGAGTGCGTTCCTGGCTCCTGGCTCCAGCCTACTCTAGCTGCAGCTCTTAAGGGCTTTTGGGAAGGAAAACAGGTAGACAAAATATCTACCATGGCCAGTGCTGTCACAGTGGGTGAAGCCTGGAATGCAGTGCCAACATCCCGTACGGACACCGATTCAGCTGCTCTGCTTCCAGTCTACGTCCCTGCTAACGGCCTGGGAAAGCAGCAGGAGGCTGGCCCAAGTGCTTGGGCCTGTACATCCACATGGGGGACCAGAAGAAGCTCCTGGCTTCTGGTTTCTGTTTGGCACAGCCCAGACCGTTGCAGCCACCTGGGCAGTGAGGCAGCACATGAAGGCTCTCCCTCCTGTTCTCTGAAAGACAATTAAAAAAGAAAAAATTCCAAGCAAGCAGGCTGGCTCTTTTTCAGCTAACACTGTTTTTCCTCAAGGCCTGCTGCTCCATGCCCGGCACTGTCATGGCCAGTGCCATGTGCGCTGAGGACGCCAAGTGCAAGTGTAAGGAGCCCCTCCTCCCACCCGGCCACCTCCACCCCGGCACTTACAGCTGTGGAAGGGCGTCCGGTCCGGCAGAGAGCGAGTCTTCCGCCTGATGGGAAGCGACTTCTCCATCTCTTCTTTCAAGATCATCTTGCCCAGGTTGGAGGTCACCTAGCAGGGAGGGAGGGGGTAGGTGCCAACATTCAGATCCTCATCTCTCATCCCTACCAGGTGCAGAACTGGGGACTGGAGGCCGGCCCCATGGTATAGGAAGCTAAGCCTCTGCCTGCGATGCCAGCATCCCATAGGGAGACCCAGAAGAAACTCCTGGCTTTGGAGCTGCTTAGCTATAGCTGCGGTGGCCACTAGAAAGTTGAGCCAGTGAACAGAAGCTCTCTGTTTTTCAAGTAAAATAAATATTTTTTAAAAATCAGAATTGGAAATGCCGTGGGAATTGCAGAAGAGTGGGAAGGAGGGACTGAACATGGTTCCCTAATGGTCTTTGTTTTTTTAAGATTTATTAATTTTTATCACAAATGCATAGAGGAGAGACAAAGAGAAAGATCTTTAGTCTGCTGGTTCACTCCCCAAATGGCCACAATGGCCAGAACTGAGCCAATCTGAAGCCAGGAGCTTCTTCAGGGTCTCCAATGCAAGTGCAATTCCCAAGGCTGTGGGCCGTCCCTGACTGCTTTCCCAGGCCACCAGCAGGGAGCTGGATGGGAAGTAGAGCAGCTGGGACATGAACCGGTGCTCATTTGGGATGCTGGTGCTTGCATGGTAAGCATGTAGCCAACTGAGTCACTATGTTGGGTCCCCCAGTCCGGGTCATTCAGCTCTTTTGAGTCCAAGATGAAGCAGTGGTGGGTCTGGCTGCTCCGTGGGGCTCTGTCTCCAGCCCTTGACCCCGGCAGCGGCCCACGCTCTCATCCTCCCACTCTGTCTTTCGCCATGCCCCCCGTGGCTAGCTAAGGACCCGGAACGGCCCAGGCTGCAGTGGGAGCGCAAGACGGTACCTTACTAAGTTCTTCCTTCTGCCGCTCCCTGAGAGCCTTCATCTCATCTCCGGAGTCATCCTCCTCCTCTTCCTCCTCTTCTTCCGCCCCTCTCCGGGATGCCTTCCGCTTCCTCCATTCCGTCTCTAGGAGACACGCAGGCGGTGTTGGGAGTAGATGCTGAGGTTGGGGGCAGTAGCGGAGGGATGGCGGGGGGAGCCTCCCCAGCTGCCTCTCCGCTGTCGCCCAGTTTCTCCTCCTACCCACGACGGCCAGCGATGGGGGGCATGGCCAGTAGTCCGTCTCGATCTTGGCTGGCTGGTTGGGGTCGGGGGGCTGGGCAGCAGGGAACCTGGATGACTCGATGATGAGGTCCTCAATGAGATGCTTGCTCTGAGGGCTGCCTCCCAGGGACTCTGCCAAGGTCAAGGGCGGGGTCAGCAGATGGGCACCACAGCCCCAGGTCTCACCTCCACCCGCCGAACCAAGAGGAGGTGCCATGCCACAGTCACTCACTCCCCTGCACCCCGCTTCCCGTGGCTGGCAACATGTGGTGGGAAGTAGATGTGCTACTGGGGGGGCCTCACCTCTCTGCTTGTAGATGGGCGGTTTCTTATAGATGTTGAAGTCTGGGGGGGTGGTCTCTGTGGGAGGAGGCAGATGCCAGAAGCCCAAAAGGAAATGGGAGGTCCTGAAACTGGGGGACCTCCCACCCATTCTACTGGCGGCCAGGAGCCCTGGCTGGGGTCCTGGCTCCAGCAAAGCTCACAGCCCAGCCATGAGGGGTTCCAGAATGACAAAGGCAGTCTGCTGGGTCGGGGGGAGGGGGTGGGAGAAGGACAGCTTCACTTACCAGGGTGGTGGAAGTGGGGCAGGCTGGTGCGTGGCGTCCCGGTGGCTCTCGGCGTTGCTGCGTGTGAGAGGATCCCAGAGGCCGGCTCTCGGCCCACACCTGCAGGGAACAGGTGCGACTGCTCCTTGCTGGCACCTCTCCCTACCCTGCCCAGGCAGCCATGCCTCCCACGCCCCACCCAGGGGTTCCGGCTGCTGACAGGCCTCTGGGTTGCACAGGCAGAGAGACACAGAGCTGGCCTGGGGGCCCAGTGCGGCCCTCTGACTCTAGTGACCCCCTGGCCTTTGCACAGCATAGCTTGAACATGTGGCAGAGGTGTGGAGTGGCGGGGGGCATGGGCACAGAGCTGGGCCAGTTGCAGGTGCATGGGGTAGACTCACCTCTGGGGAGGGCGGCGGCGACGTGGACTTGGGCGACAGTGAGCGCTGTGGAGGGAGATGTGAGGGCTGATCAGAGCCACAGCGGTGCGGGGGTGCGGGGGAGGGATTCTATCATTCCTGCAGCCACCAAAGAACCCTTCCACCCCAGCCCAGCCTCTCCTCGCCAGGAGCACCCCCTGCCCCCATCACCCTGTCTCTCGGACCCTTGCTGGCTCCCAGGCTGACCCCCGCCCCCCCCCGCTTCCCAGTCCATCTTGGGTGAAGTCCCAGATCTTGCCAGAAGCAAGAGGAAGCACATGGGCCTAGGAGAAGGTGCCTGGCAGCCCAAAGCCAAGGGAAGCCTCATGGGTGTGTGTGTGTAGTGTGGGGGCAGCCCTAACCTCAGGGCCTAGGAGACAAAGAAACCGGCCTGTGACTGGGGGGGGGGGGGGACCCTGTCCCTCAGTGCAGGTGACAAGCACCTGCTAGGTGTTGATCTCATGCCCCGGACTGTCCTCCAGGGTGGAGGGGACACGGAGCCCACCACATCACACAGCTTAGGAGGTCTGGCTCTTCCTGCCCGTTGCATTCCCCTTCCAGGTGCTATGGCCATGTCTCGCTGAGAGCCACCTCAGCTCTCCACGTGCCAGACCCACTGACCATCCTCCATGTACAGTGCGTTGGTTGACTGGTGGGTTCTTGCATTGCTGGGGCTCCAAGAAAGCCAACTCAGAAGGGCAGGCATGTGGCCAGCACCATGGCCTATCAGGCTAAGCCGTCTCCTATAATACCAGCATCCCATACGAGTGCTGGTGGGTGTCCCAACTGTCCCACATCCAATCCAGTCCCCTGCTGATGGTCTGGGAAAGCAGCAGAGGATGGCTTACGCCCTTGGACTCCGGTACCCATATGGGAGACCCAGAAAATCCCCAGACTACTGGCTTTAGATCTACCCACCTATGGCCACTGCAGCCATTTCAGGAGTGAGCCAGCAGATGGAAGATAACTTACTAGCTCTGCCTTTCTAATAAATAAAGATATTTTTCAAAAAGGGTAGGCATTTGGGACTGGCACAGTGGCAGCTAATTCTCTGGGCCCATTTTACAGATGCAGAAATAGAGGCACAGAAAGGTCAAGTGGCTCCCTCCCCCCCCAAGATTATACACTGAGCCGCTGGCATGGTTAGGAGGCAAACACAGTCACTTGGGGCTCTGAAAGTCACACCCTCCTGGCACTGTGGCATAGCAAGCTAAGCCACCTTCTGCAATGCTGGCATCCCATATGGGTGCAATCCAACTGCCCCACTTCCAATCCAGCTCTGCTAGTGGACTGGGAAAGCAGCAGAGGATGGTCCAGGTTCTTGGGACCCTGCATCCATGTGGGAGATAAGGATGGGTTCCTGGCTCCACCCATTGAAGCCATGTGGGGGAGCTACCCAAGGGATGGAAGATCTGTCTTGTCTTTCTAACTCTGCCTTTCAAATAAATAAATAAGTAAATAAATTTATTTTTGAAAAGGGTAGGCATGTGGTGCAATGGTTAAGCCATCGCTGGAGACACCTGCATTCCACATCAGAAGGCCTGGGTTCGAGTCCTGCCTCTGCTTCCAGTGCTAGGGCTCAAAGTTAGTGTGCACTGTGGGAGGGGGCAGGCGAGGTGGTCCTGGGCTCCTGGCTGTGGCTAGCAGGGTCGGAGGGGGGCAGGGGGTGTAGGGGAGACGCACTGAGCCAACAGATAAACAAGAGGAAGGGCCCATGGGGATTCCACCCACTCCCCGCGCACCTCGCGGCTCCTGGGCAGTTCCACGTGTTCCAGGAGGGAGTAGGTGAAATGCGGCTCGTAGATCATGAGGTCAGGCCGCTCGATGTCCAGGATGGCCTTGTCCTTGGGGATGGCCGCCAGGTCCTTGTAGCCCAGCACCTGATTGTCCATCTTGGTCTGGTGCGGGGAGGGGTGGAAGACAGCACAAGTGGAATAAACAGCCAGGATCCATCTGAGGTCCAGGCTGGCCTGGCTTGGGCAACCCAGGCTTCCAGACAGTAAGACCTTCTAAGCGGTCACTCCTCTGGCCTAAGCCCTTTGGGTGTCCAAGGAGACAGAAAGAGCCTAGCAGAAGCGAATTGTGCAGAGGGGACCTTCTCTACATCTGGGGCGTCTCTTCTAGCTGGCACCGGCAGGTGTCCTGCCCCTCCCCCTCACTCCCACCTGCAGCTGCTGCTGGTCTCGCCAGGGGTTACTCACCACGATGGTGGAGGGAGAGCCGGGCACACTGGAGTCGCGGGAGGAGCTCACGCTCCCGGGGGAGGTAAGTGGTTGCTGGGGAGAGCGAGAAGGCGGGCGCGTGGGCATGTGGGTGTTTGTGTGCGTGTGGGTGCGGGGTCTACCCTAGGCTAGGTGGCGCCCTCGACTCCTGCGCCAACCTCCCCACCCTTCCCCCAGACGTCGCCCGCTTTCTTGGGGGCCGGTGCAGTGCCCTGCAATCCTCCAGCCCCCTACGCACCTTCTGTAGCCGTTCCATGCAGCAGGTGCGCGCTCACCAGGCGGGGTTACTGATGGCGCTCCCTGCGCGCGGTCCCCGGGAGAGAATGAGGCGAGGCGTCAAGCACCACGGTGCACCACGGGAGTCCCAGCTGGACGTAGCGTCCTCATCCCTTGGCGAATGTGGTCCAGGCCGGGTCTGGAGGGAAAAGGGAAGTCGGGGTTCTAGAAGGGGAGGGTGGGGGTGGGGTCCCGGAGCTCCCCAGGCAGCCCCCAAGTGAGTGTGCAGGCGTGCCGCAGGCAAGGCAACAAGCCATTGTCCGGCGGCAAGGGAAATGACGGCAGGGGTCGGTCACTTCCCATTGACGCTGCTATTGCGGGCCCTGCCCCTGCGAGGCCACACCTGCGCTGCCCCCGCCCTGCCCAGGCCAGCAAACCCAGCACACACCGAGTCAGACCTGGACGAGGGAGGAAGCAAGCCTGGGGCAGCTCACACACGGCCTCCCTGTCCTGCCATCACGCCCTTGGCACAGCCTGGCTCCCACCAAGCTCTTGCCGGGTCCTCCTAGACAGGCCGCCCCGGAGCTGCTGTGCCTGCAGTCCCTTAGGCAGGCATTAAATAAATACATCTCAAAGGATGCCCGCACCCCACGCATATCAGAATGCCTGGACTCCAGAACCTGTTCCAGCTCCTGATTCGTTGCTTGCTATAGGAGACCTGGGAAGGCACTTGCCAACCTGAACGGAGATCTCAGCTCCCTGGGCCTTAATTTGATGTTTGGGAAATGAACCAGCAAGACAGGAAATCTGTTTCTCAAATGGTAACATTAAAAAAGGAAAAAAATAAGTATATTAAGGGCTGGACCAGCACTGTGGCACAGTAGGTTGAGCAGCCACCTGCTAACGCACCTGGGAAGGCAATAGGGAGCCAGGTGGGGTTCCTGGCTCCTGGCTTTCGATGGTCTTGTCCGGCTGTTGTGACAAGTGAAATCAGTGAATAAAAGATCTCCTTGGGATCGAGGCGGTGGCATAGCACGTTGATCCTCAGCCTGTGGCACTGGCATCCCATATGGGCAACCAGTTGATGGAGGAGGCCCCAGGGGTAGAGGGGAGCGCATGCCAGCACCTTTGCCCCTAGCATCACTCTGTGTCTACTGCTGCACTGCGGTGGGGGCGGGGGCGGGAGGACGGGGGGGCGGCAGCGAGACCGGAGGGTCATCTGGTTTCTCCAGGATTTTTGGAATCCGAGCCCCTCAGCGAGACCGTGGCCATCAGAGTCCCACGGGGAGTCTGGTGCCGTGGCAGACTCCACTTGTTTTGCAAGTCACCACTCCTTGTGCTGTGCTGCTCAAAAGGTGTCCGGGTGTGGGCCGAGTGGCTCGCTCTCTCCCATCCCTGTCTTTACTTTGCTGCTGTCAAACCTGCTTACTCCCTGCGACCTACGTCCCTCCTGCCGCCTCAGTCACCTACTGCGTTATCCGTCCAAGAGAAGCTTTTGGAACAGCCTCCGACAGCATAGGCCAACTGGGGGCAGCACCCATGCCAGACCAAGCCACACACTGCCATGTGCTGATAAGATAGGACAGACGGCTGCAGGGGCCACGGAGACAGGGGAGGCGGCACAGGTGGGATTTGGGGGCGACATCTGAGGCATACCCCAGTTGCAGTCATAGTCTATGGAAAAAGAGCGTCTTTTTGCTTAAAGGTTTACCTGAAAGGCAAAGTTCCAGCAAAAACAACAACAACAAAAAGGAGCGAGGGAGGAGAGGAGACGAGACAAAGATCTCCCTCCAACTGGCTCACTCCCCAAAGGGCCACAACAGCAGGGAGGCGAAGCCAGGCTGAAGCCGGGAGCTCCATGGGGGTCTCCTGCATGGGTGCTGGGGCCCAGGCACTTGGGCCATCTTCCACTGCCGTCACAGGCTCATGAGCAGACAGCTGGACGGGAAGTGGAGCAGCTGGGACTTGAACTGGCACCCACAGAGGATACAGGTTTCATGTGTTTTGCCTCCAAAAAGGGCTTCTCAATGGATAAAGCGGTGGGCATGGGGAGGGTGGGGAAGAGGGCACACTTGGTATATGTGCTGCCGAAGCGAGCACAACATGGGGACACTTGGGATGTGTCTGGGGAATGGCAGATAAGGCTGAGTCGTGGCGTAGGGGGGTGGGTGGAGGCAGACATGCGTTTGGAGTGGGATGAGGGGGCCCAGCCGAGGGCAAGGTGGGGTTCTGTGGGCAATGGAGGCCATTGAAGATTAAGAATTCTTCGGAATCCATTGCTCAGATGTAGCTGCCGCTTGAGACCAATCAGTTAGGCAGAGGGTGCAAGGTGCTCAGGCTGGGGGGCAATGGGGGCGGGAACAGAAAGCGGGCACATGGAAGAGACCCCAGAGACAGCAGGTGCCAAGCCTGAGGTGGGGCAGGTGGCAGTGTGTGTGGCCATAGCACAAGTCAGGTTGGAACTCACCTTAGGAGACAGGTGAATAGAATGAACAGGAGGCTGGAGGAGGGGTGAGGCTGAAAACAGAGATGGGGTGTCCCTTTTCCTGGAGGTAGGAGACTGCCAAGGGAGGAGGAAGGGACTGGATCCCTTTAGAAACAAAGTGCAGGGTCCAGTGTGGTAGCCTAGTGGTTGAAGTCCTCACCTTGCCTTCACTGGGATCCCATATGGGTGCCAGTTCTAATCCCAGCAGCCCGACTTCCCATCTAGCTCCCTGCCTGTGGCCTGGGCAAGAAGTGGGGGATGGCCCAAAGGCTTGGGACCCTGCACCTGCGTGGGAGACACAGAAGTTCCTGGCTCCTGGCTTCGGATCAGCTCAGCTCTAGCCATTGCGGCTGCTTGGGGATTGAATCAGCAGACAGAAGATCTTTCTGACTCTTTCTCTGTATATCTGCCTTTCCAATAAAAACACATAAATCTATAAAGAAAGGAAGAAAAAGTGCCCAAGTGTCTGCTGAGCTTGGTGCTGATGTCACCCCCTCTCGGAGTAGGACAATGGCCTGAGTAATGGCTGCCAGATCAGGGCGTTGGGGTGGGGAGTTCAGAGCGAAACTCATCATAGGTATATGGGGTCATCCAGGAGGACCCATGGCAGGCACGTGGCTGAGCAGTTACGACACAGCTGGGACACCTGCAAATTGATACAGATTGCCTGAGTTCAAGTCCCGGCTCTGCTTCTGATCCACCTTCCTGCCAAAATGCAAGTGGCCCGGGAAGCAACAGGTGCTGGCTCCAGTATTTCGTGTTTACTGCCTCTCAGAGAGGGAGGCCCTGGATGAAGTTCTGGGTCCCTGGGCTTTGACTGAGCTCAGCCCTGGCTGTTCTATTTGAACAGTGAACCAGCAAGTAAAAGATATTTCGTCTCTTCTGGGCTTTCAAGTAAATAAATAAAATAACCATTATTTGGCAAAAGACCCACACTCACGTGTGTGTACAAACGCTAGGCTTCTGCACAGCCACCTGGAATGGGATTTAAAATCATGTCTGAGCAGCAGCTACTATCCCCAACGAGACTTGGAAAAAATAACCAGGCTTGGACAAATTATTAAGCTCCCATCTGCTCCACTTCTGATCTAACTCCCTGCTAATGGCCTGGGAAAGCAGCAGAGGGTGGCCCAAGCCCTTGTGACCTTGCATCCACATGGGAAACCCAGAAGCAGCTCCGAGCTTCTCTGTCCTGTCCCCAAGCTCCTTTTATGCACCTGTTCATGTGCACACCAAGCTCTTGTGGCCTGTCAGCATCAGCTCCGTGCAGGGAGCCTGGCTCAGGCCTCCATCTCCCTGCCTGTACACTGCTTTGTCTCTCTTTCCCCCAGCATCTCCAGGAACGTCTTCATTTCTCCCTGGTCTCATGGCCTGTCTATAGTCACAGCAGGGGTGGGTGTCTAGCTGAGCTATGGAGCTTGGCAAAGCCCCCAATCCCAAATTGGAGCTCGAGGATTCCAATTTCCTAAAAATGTGCACCTGGAGGCAGGCAGCACATGACGGCTCAAGCGCCTGGGCCCGTGCCACCCACATGGGAGACCCAGATGGAATTCCTGGCTCCCTGCTTCATTCAGCCTGGCCGAGCCCCAGCTACCAGACTTGGGTGGGGGGCATTTGGGGGAAGTGAAGCAGTAGATAGAAGATCTCTCATCCTGTGTGGCTTTCTCTATGCCTCTCAAACAAAAGTTTTAAATATTCAGCGCACACAAAGTGTGTTTCCGACCCTTGCGAGGTCATGTAGGACTAGCCTTACAGAATCAAGTTCTTACTGCTAGAATTTCAGGCTATTGGAGTAGAAGAGTGAATGTATGTGTGTGGTCAGAGACAGAGAGAAGGAGAGAGAGGTGGGGAAGATTCTTCTTTTAAATCACACTATGCCAGAAAGCTGTCTACACCCACAGACGGCCCCGCCCCCACAGCACTGTTGCTGCACCTGTTCCGGGTCTGCCCCTCTCATCCACGCACACTCCAACCGTGCCGTGAGCTCCCAAGGCCCTAAATGACCTCTGTGGACACAGACCCAAAGGGCAGGCTGCAGCAGGAAGGGCGGAAAGGACAGAAGGAAAACAAAAACGCCATGGGGGGCGGAAGGCAAGCCCAGGTGGCGGAAGACACTCCTGGCTCCAGGCAGACACGGGGCACAGCTTCCCTCCCCCCCCATCTCAGTCCCACCCCAACCCCCTGCCTTATCTGAGCCACCAGCCCAGCCCCACCTCACACCACCCACCCTTGCATCTCCAAGGCAACTGCAGCCTGCAGGGATGGTGCGATAAGACCCGCCCACAGGGACCTTCCGCCTGGTGCCCATCCACACCCATCACCACACGGCCCTGGACCCAGGTAAAGATTCCTCCTGACTTTGCCTTCCTGCACAGGGCAGCCTGGCAGCCTTGGGCAGTGCCTGTCATGATAGGGACAATCTCACATGTTCTGTCAGCCTTCCTGCTTTAGAGACGAAGACAAGATCCGTGGCGAGATTAACTTGCCAAAGGCCCCACAAGGCAGCAGTTCCTCCCAGATCTGTCCACCGGTCCCCAGGCTACTTCAGCCTGAACCAGGGGCCCGGGTGACCCTGAGGGCTAATCCTGCCAGAGGGAGGCATCCTGGCCCTATGTCACCAGATCTCACCTCTAGTGGGGGCTGGGGAGCTGGCAAGGTGGCAGGCTGTAAGCGGGTCTGAGCTCAGGGCGCACTCTGCCCAGTGTTCCCTCCCCCTCGTTCACAAGCCTGGCCACCTCCTCCCCTGTCTTTCTCTAGATTCTTCCTGCTTTCCCTTCTCCTTTCCTCTCTCTTTCTCAGTCTCCCTCCCACCCAGCCACACCCCCGCAGTTACTGTAGCAACAACTCAAAGCCAGAAATAAAGGCAGGATCCAAGCTAGGTCACCAGTTCCCAAAAACAGCATCCTAGGGTGGAGAGGAGTGAGGTGGGTGGGGCTGGGGCAGGGCAGGGCTGTGTGTGTGTGGGGGGTGGGTGGGGCTGGACCAATGGGGTCACCCCTTTGCCAAGCCAGGTTGCTCCCCCTCCTCTTCCCTGCCTTCCCTAACTCCTCTCCTGGTTTTCCACCCCTGTTCTGTGAGCTAGGGCCAGGCCTCCTGCTCAGGACCCAGCAGGGATCAGCCAGCCCAGGGCCCACCTGCTCCAAGTCTGTATTTACAGCTGGTTGTGTGGCCCGTGTTGATGGAAGGGACTTGCATCTTCCACTCAGCAGCTCCGAGAGGAACTGAACAGACAGCTACCCACCCACCCAGAGGTGGGGCTGCTGACCCAGGCGCTTGCCGGCAGCTGCTGTCGACAGAACAAGACTCCCAGGTGTGCGCAGCCCTCATACACACAGCTGCACACGGGACACCCCACAGCCTGTCCTGTGGCCACATCACACCCCCACTCTCCCAGCGAGGCCCCCCACACCATGACATGCTCTGCTGCTGTAGAAACGCCCACTGGCACCCACCCACGTACCAAGCGCTCCTCCTTGGGACCCAGAGCAGGTGCCAGCACTTGCCCCCACGTGGGACACGTGGCCACACACACGCACACAGGCCTCACCTGTCCTGGCACCCCTGCCCTCTCATTTCACAGCTCCGCAGCCTGCCTCCTAGTGCAGCTCCCCTGATTCTCATAACCTGGTAACCAGGCTGGGGGTGGGGGAGCACAGGAAGGGCACAGCCAGGGTCAGGGAGCCCCAGACACCCCCTTCCGGGCACCATGTGGGCCTACTTTGCCCCAGCCATGGCAGCACATCAACAGAGCCCAAAACAGGGCCCCCCCTCCCTCCGCCGCGGCCTCCAGTGTCCGGCAGCCTGATGGGAGGGAGGGAGACAGTGGCTTCCTCCACCCTTTATTCTCAGGGCCCAGCATTGGGATGCCCAGGTCAGGGCAGCTTGGCAGGCAGCTTGGCAGGCAGCAGGCATCTGCATGGATCCCATGACCCCAGCAGCCCCTCCCCAAACCACAGCGCAGTTTGATAAAAATCAACCCCGGGCAGGTAGGACAGTCCCAAGTGCCTGTGCAGAGGGGGAACCTGGCGCTGACGGCCCCCATCCTCCTACTCCCCGTCCTCTGGCCACCTACCTCTTCCCCACGCAGGAGGCCCAGATACCCCGAGCCCCCCCAGGGGGTGGTGCGGGGCAGGGGGAGGACCCAGCCCCCACCCCCGGTGCTCAGGAGTCTAGGTGCAACCAGCCGCGTCTCTTCCAAGAACCCAGCTGAGCGTTCCCCCAACGGAGCACAAATAACAGGAAGCGCGCAGGCTTGGGTGGGTAAGGGTGGGAGCGGGCGTAGGAGCGGAGCTGGTCTGATCTCCAAGGGCTCTCAGCCTGCTGCTCCTCTCCACAAGCCAGGGCCGTGGGGAGGCGGTGTGGTGCGCGCGCACGGGCGCGGCCAGGCGTCCCCGCGCTCTGCCTACACTTCTCCCCAGCTCCGGCAGCGAAGCGCGTGCAGCCAGCGGTGGTGGCAGCGGCTGGGAGCCGGAGGGCCGGGGTGGGGTGGGGTGGGGTGGGGTGGGGGAGGGCGTGGGTTGGGATGCGCGAGCTCTTTTCCACCCCAGCGGCTCAGTTTCAGACAAGAGGAGCATTAACCCGGCGTCATGACGAAGCACAATCTGCCGGCCATCCTCTCCCTGCACGCACACAAACAGCAGGAAGAGGGCGCGTGGCGGCGGTGGGAGCCCCATGGATAGCTAAGGGGAGCCGGGCGGGTATGGGCTTCTCCCGGACCCCATCATCTTTATCAACAGCAACAGGGCCCCCTGGGAGAGGGCGGGCCCTGCCCCATTGGAGGGTAGGAGCAAGTAGGTACAGGTGCCAGCTTGGTCACCCCAGGCGTAGCCTTGGCGGGAGCTTGGAGACTGGAACAGCACTTGGGTAACCTGAATCCCCTGGGAACCGCGATAGGGCACGGCGGAAGCCATGAGAAGCATCCCGCTTTCCCTCACAGGGCAGTTTCATGAAAAAAAGGAGCAGTACTGACCGTCCACCACCCACCCCCGCCATTCCGGGAGGGGGCTAGGGCGCAAGGAGCGCACTAGGGAACGTGACTTGCCGCTTTGGGGGCAGAACCTCCGTCAGCCCAGGCTCGTCAGTCACTCAGTGCCTTTGGGGTGTGCCCTAAGCAGGGGAGGGTAGCAGGGGCCAGACCCCCATGACCCAGCTCTGCCTGGCTGCAGACTTGCCTACCTAGGCAGCCTGGCCGTCGCCCTAGCAACCACTGCCGGTAGCCGGTCAGCTGATGCCATCAGTTGTGGCTGGGGGAATCTGGGGAGGGGGCTCTGGGGCGTATAAATGGAAAATTACCAGTGTAGGAGTGGGTGGGGTGTTGGGGGTGGGGACAGGTGCGTGTCCTCAGGGTCTCTTTCTGGAAGAAGAGGAGTGCCGTGCACGAGGGGCAGGCAGCAGCCTTGCCACCTCCAGGGTGGGCTCCTGAACGCACGCAGGAGCGGCGAAGCCGAGCGCCGCCGGAGTGCAAAGCAGGCTGCGCCCGCCAAGGCAGCGTCAGAATCCCCAGAATCACCTCGCAGGGAAAGGCTGGTGCGAGGGGGGAAGGGGAGGGGTGCTCGCTGTGTCAGCGCTGCCAGCTCTGCCCAGTCTCGTTCCTGCCTTTTATCTCCTCCAGCCCCACCCTACTAACCTGGCATCGGGGTCTGCCAGAGGCCAGAGGCCCCTATTACATACAGTCCCCCAGCTATCCATTTCCCAGTCCGCCGCCACCGCCACAGTGGCTAGGTGTTGGGGGAAGGACAAGGGCAAGCACCAAGGACTTGTGTATCCCACCCCTGCCTGTATGGTCCCTGATTTCCCGACCACCAGCTGCTGGCTTGTCTAACCCTCCCCCACCAGACCCCACCCCAAGAGATATGGCTTCCGGTGCAAGGGCCCCCAGAGGCTGGCTGGAATGAGCCTGCCGCTGGGAAAGACTGGAACGAGGTGGGTCCTAAACCCTGGGCGGGGAGGACAGAGCGAAGATGGGGGTGGGGGAGTGGGGCAGTGAGGGGGAGGGGCCCACGGGAGAGGGCAGAGCGGAGTGGGGAGAGGGGGCGATTCACGCGGTACCTTCAGGGGCCCGGGGCCTGCGGCAGGAGCGCAGCAGCCTCCCTGGCGACAAACACCTCCATCACCGGCTGTATCTCCTCCCCGCCTCCCGTTGCTAAGACAACCCACCAGCAGCCCGGCCGGGGCTCCGGCAGGGGCGGGGAAGAGGAAACGTGGCTCCCACTGCCTGCTCCCCAGTGATGGAAGAAGACTGCCTGATGGGAGCTTCTTGGGCTGAGCAAGGTTTCCGGAAGCCCGGGCAAGGTGAATCTCCCCTCCCTTGTTCCCTCTGGGGTTCCTTAGGGTGAGGAGAACCCTAACTCAGGGACACTCGGCTCTGGGAAGATTAGTCCCCTGCATGGGTGGCAGGCAAGGGAGCGCTAAAGACCACCCCTGGATGGGAAGTTACCCCGTCTCCATTCCTCCCAGCCCCCACCCAAATCCTTAGTCTCCTGGACCTGGAGAAAAGCCAGATCCTGGGCTAGCTCCCTGCTAGCTGCTGAACCCCAAGTTGAGTCCCTCCCGGGAACTCATGCTGGTCACCCACTATGGGCAGCCGTCTGTGGCCTGTCCAGCCAGTGGGGACCTGAACCCCAGGGACATTGCAGAGTTAGGGCTCCCTCTGTCGACCCAAGGAGTGCCAGTTGCCAAGGTCACTCTAGTGCAAGGGATCCTGGGGCACCGGTTTCATGCACATTCCTCAGCGCAGCCAAGAGGCTGCAACAGGGCCATTATATCCTCCTTCCCCTGGCCTGCCCATTTGTGCCCTGCACCCAGGGCACCGCACAAGCCTTTGGTGCCCCTAGCTGAACTGAAGGGCGCCCTGTTCCCAAGTCAGGCTGGGATGACCACAGGCCAGCTTCCCCAGCCCTACACTACACTACCGCACTACACACATACACACACCTGCCCACCTGCCCGCTGGCTTACCTTCTGAAGCCCTGAGTGCTTGTGTCCACGGCAGGCAGGCAGGCAGGCAGGCAGGCAGGGGTCTCAGGTTCCCATCCCCAGCCAAGGTCACTGGGCGCCAGCGTCCTGAGCAGGCCCTGATCTTCCCCCCAGGACACACATCACAAGCTTCTCTTGTCCACCTCTCTCTCGGTCTCACTCCAGTGCCCCCTGGACCCGCCCTGTGCACTGACCTACCAGAGCCTGGGAGCGCCAGGGGTGCCCCTCCACTGTCTAAATATTAACTCCTGTGCAGAGGCTGGCAGGCCCAGGGCATGGGGAGGCGGGCACAGCTGCAGTGGAAGGCAGGGGAGAAGCAGGGAGGGGGCCGCACCTTCTCCCTGCCAGCCTCCAAACCCTTGCTTCCTTGAGTTCCAAGACCACGTGCTTCCTAAGTGTCCCAGTCATTCTCTACCCAGGCCAGTTGCCCCTTCAGCATCTTCCCACCCCCTAGGGATCATGCAATACCCCAAGCCTTGTGCCCTGACCACCCTTCTCAGTGCCCACTCGGCTGACCACAGACGGTGCCCATCTCCAAGGGTACATGTGCCCATACCTCCACGTGGGAATTAACTGAAGGTGAGGGGAAGCGTCTGGGCCACCTCCAGAGCTCGCACATGCTCCCAGCAGTTCTCCCTTCTGTCCCAGCAGCTCCTGTTCTGTCTCTGCCTCCTCTCGGAGATCCCAGAGGCTGCCTCAAGAGCCCAAAGTGTCAGAGATTTGGAGAACGCCCAGCCAAGAGTTCCAGTTAAATTTCAAGGGCCTTGAGAGATCTATGCACCGTATGCACTAACTCGTGGGCTGGTGTGGTGCCTAGAAGTTGCTCGAGAAGATATATTTAGATTAGCTGTTGAAGTACCCCCAAAAGACCCTTTGTTCCCCCAATCCACCTAAGCATGGAGGGTGGACACAAGCCCACAGCCCCTTCAGTCCTCCTCTGCCTTGAGATGCAGCAGGCTTCCTGGCCAATGAGAACGCTTCTGCAGCTGCCTACAGAACTTAGCAAACGTGTGCTCTGTGCTAAGGTCAGGGGTCACCTGCTGACGAACAGAACCCGGACAGAGACCCGAGTCACTACAGTCCAGGACAAGCTTAAGGTGAGGGTGTTGCACCAAGTTTGCTGGAAGTAGAATTAAAGTTTATCTTGATGCCAAAAATGAAAAACAAAATCTAGGGCTAGTGCCATAGTGTAGTCGGTTAAAAGCCCCTGCCTGCAGTGTGGTACCCCCACACGGGCACCAGTTCAAGTCCCGGCTACTCCACTTCTGATCCAAGTCCCCTGCTAATGTGCCTGGGAAGGCAGTGGGGGAGGGCCCAAGTCCCTGAGCACCCACACGCACACGGGAGACCCGGAAGAAGCTCCTGGCTCGAGTCCAGCCCACCTTTGGCCACTGCAGCTATTTTGGGAGTGAACCAGTGGGTAGAAGACCTGTCTTGCCTCTCTTTCTGTAACTCTGCCTTTCAAATGAAATCTTTTTTTAAAACTGAAAATCCATCTAGACAGAAGATTTCCCAAATAGCCCATGGAGGGTCAGGTGTTTGGGGCAAGTAAGAGGGCCCATGGGTGACGCCTCCATCCCACGTGGACCGTGTGCCTGGGTTAAGGCCTAGCTATGCTACCAGCTAACATGCACCCTGGGAGGCAACAGCGGATGGCTCCAGTTCTTGGCTCTTCAACCCCCACATGGAAGACTCTACTTTAGCCTGGCCCAGCCCCATCTGTCTCCAGCTTATAGGGGAGTGAACCCATAGATGGAGGATCTCTCTCTCTCTCTGTCCTTCAAATAAATAAAACAAAAACCAGGGGACTCTAGAGGGGTAGCTGTTTGGCCCCGGTTAAGACGCCTGTAGCTGGGGTGAGCTTTTGGCGAGGAATTAAGACATCACTGAAGAAATCCACACTCAGAGCCCAGCATGTTGGCTCAATGAACTAACCCTCTCCCGTCAAGCGCCAGGATCCCATGGGGCACTGGTTCATGTCCTGGCTACTTCACTTCCCATCCAGCTCCCTGCTTGTGGCCTGGAAAAGCAGTGGAAGGTGAGCCAAAGCCTTAGGACCCTACACCGATGTGGGAGACCCGGAAGAGGCTTCTGGCTCCTGGCTTCAGTCTAGTCCAACCCTGGCCATTGGGGCCACTTGGGGAGTGAATCAGTGAACAGAAGGATCTTGCTCTCTGTCTGTCCTCCTGTCTGCCTTCCCAATCAAAAGGAATCTTTAGAATGAAAACTGAACAACGAAGTTCGCCTTTCTGCCAGCGCACCCCCGGCAGGCGGTGGGTAAAGGGTGATTTGGGTACTTGGCTCCTGGCTCTGGTCTCCCTATGGGAGCAGCTGGCGCCAGGAGATACTTAGGGTTCCAGTCTCCCATGAATGAAGGTTCTCAAGTCCCCTTGTTGGTGTCATCAAGTGCTTGCAAGCCCACAGGGGAGGCTGAGAGGGCTCTGTCTGCGTGCACACATTCCGGGGGACCTGGCGAACAGAGCTGAGGACAGCACCCCGAGTTCCAGTTCTGCCAGTGCCCTGAAGGGGGGCTGGCCAGGAGTCCCAGCAGCCACATGAAGGAGCCGTCTGGTGCCAGCGTAGCCCACAGGCAGGGGAGTTTGCACCGTCTGGTTCATGAATTCATTTGATCTTGGTTCCATTGAGGCAATCCCTTGGCATTTGATCAATGGATAAGCAGGCTCACAGAGGCCCTTATGAAGATCCAACAGCACTGTGCTGAAGGGCAGGGGGGCACTGCCTCACCTGGTTTAGGGTGAGGTTTGTTGGGCCCACGATGCAGTGCCCAGCTGTGGAAGAAGGCTGCGAAGCATACTGTTGCAGTCTCTGAGAGGGTCCCAGGGGGTCCCCGATGGTGCAGAGTCTGGGGGGGCACTCACAGCCCAAGGGCACATGGGGTGGCCACGTGGGCTCACCTCTCGTGGAGGGGGACAAGGAGGCCAGTGGCTGCCCCCCCGGACCAGGCTGCCCCCTGCTGATTGCCCACGGTAGCTTTCTCCTCTGTCTCACATTTTCAGGGCAAGGCAGGGCTGGGTGAGATGGGTCTCAAAGTGACTCTCAGCCAGAAGTCTCTAATCAAAACAGACATGGGGCAATGGGAAGGCTGCCCCCGCTTCACTGCATCCCAACCCCAAGAGGTTTTTATTAGCAGCTAGCACCACCCCACGCCTGGCACCATGCCACCTGCCTGGGTGCTCACAGCTTCAGAGGCCAGGAAGCCTGGTGAGTATGGTTTAGGGTCCCCGAGGAGGCCTCCTTCTGCTGCCCACCAAATCCCCACCAAGGGGTGCAGCACCCAGCCAAAGACCCAGGGCCAGAAGCAGGGCAGCGGACACCCGAGGCCCAGGCCGGGGGAGGCTGCTCCCTGCAGTGGCACCAGCTTCCCTCCCTGTTTTCTGTCCGGCCTGGCCAGGTCTCACCTGCAAGAACCAGAGAGCCAGAACAGTGAGGGCTTTCTGGCCCTCGGCCCCCAGAGGCCTGCCAGTACCGAGCAGGTCAGAGGGAGCGAGGGAGGGGCCGGAGGCCGGCAGCAAAGCAAGAGGCCAGACAAAGGGGCCGCTTCCAGCTTTGAAGCGGTCTCTAACCCCAGCGAGGGTCTGGATGGGGCGGGGGGACCTGAGTGCCCGGCTGGTGGCCAGGAGTGGGGGGGGGTAGAGGGGAAAAGGCGGCTGGAGTTTTAAAGAATGTCTCAAATTCCTGAGGAAATCGGAGGCTTTGATAGGTCGCCCCCCCAACACACACACACACACACACACAGTCCTTGCCTCCTCACCTGGGGAGCCCCCAGTCCTTTGTCCTGAGGTAATTGGAGGCTGTTGCGCGCCAGGTTGAAAGTCCCATTGAACTCGCCAGCTATCCGCCAGCTTCCCATACAACACCCCGGAAAACTGCCCCCATCCCGACGCCCCCACCTCCACGCCAGGATAAAGGTTCTTTGTGATGGGGGTGCGATTATGATAAGTGGGAGGGACGGGGTCCCCACCTTCTAAATCGTCCAAGCTTTGGGGAAGGACTCTATCCAGCCCTGGCCATTATCAGCTCGCGCTGCAGGCGCGCCCACCTCTCCTATTTGCAGGCGACTCCGCGACCCCGGCGAGGCAGACACGGGGCTCCTCTCCGCGCGACCGGGAGCCACCCCTCCTCGCCCGCGTTTTCTCCGAAAGGCGCGGGGGCAGGGGAACCTGAAACTGGGGGCGCGCACAAGACGGCGGAGCGGGGAGCCCCTGCCAGGAAGGGCCGCTCGCTCCGCTCCCACATCCCCGTGATAAGACTCGCCCACTCGCGAACGCGCACCTGGCGGCCCCTTCCCCAGCCGCCGCTAATTGGGATTTACCTCAGGTGTGGCCCCCGCCCGCGCCCCAGCGGGAACCCGGGGCGGGAATGATGGAGAGGGGGGAACTGAGACCGGCTTCCGCCCGCCGCCGCCCTCCTTCTCCGCCCCCGGCCCTCCTCACCGGAAAAAAGCAATGTCGCCGCCCGCGAGGTGTGCGTGTGTGTGTGTGTGTGTGTGTGCGCGCGCGCGCGTGCCGGGGAAGGGGCGGCTCCGGGCCCCTGCGCGCCTGGCGTTCGTCCCCCAACAGGTAGCACGGGACGCGCCGCGCGAGTCCAGGAAACCGGAGCCCGCGCGCGGGGAGGGCCGGCCCGGGGCCCAGCACGCCTGCACCTGCGCGCATCCCGCGGCGCCCCGCTCCCTCCCCGCCCCAAGCCCCGGCCGGCGCGCCGACAGCCCGTGTGCGGGAAAATTTGTTTTATTCCGGTGCTGGAGGCGGGTAGGGGCTAGTGCGGGCGGAGACGGGGGACACGCCGGGATCGTGCCATTCTGCGTTGTGGCCAAGCTCTCGTTTGTCCCCCCCCCCCTTTTTTTTTTGCGTCCCCAGAGATGAAACACAGAAACGTCTGGCCAGAAGGGACTCGGGGCGGGGGGGTCCAGGGCGGGGTGCAGAGGCTGAGACCGGCTCCCTCCCGGGCTTGCAACGCCTCAGGCGTGGTGCGTGCGTGGCACGAGGGTGACGCCCCCCGGGCTGGGGTGGTGGGTGCACCGGTGGGTGGGCGGGCCGGGGGTAGGGAAGCCCTGCCGGGCCTTTCTTGCGGCAGTCCTGCCCTCTCTCCTCCGCTGGAGGCGCTAATGCTTCCGGGGCGCCCCTCCCGGCACCCCCCAGCCCAGCCCAGTCTAGTCTTTGGGTCGCCAAGGGACGCGGGGTGGGGTGAGGGGGATGTGGTGCGGGGAGGGGACTACGTGAGGGGCTGGGGTCGCCGGGTGCGCTTGGTCCGGCGGGTGGGGGCCGAGCCCACGAACTCGAACTGCTTCTGCCGCTCGGCGTGGTTGGGGAAGGGCAGCTGGCCCTGGTAGAGGCGCTTGATGAAGTGCGCCTCGCGCTGGTTCTGGCGGCTGCGGGACGCCTGGCGGGGCCGGCCCTTGCGCGTGAAGGCCATGAACCAGCCCTCGTGCCGCGCGTTCTGGAAGGCCGTGTAGTTGTTCTCCAGCACGATCTCGGTGAACACGCAGTCCTTGCTCTTGCCGCTGGGCTGCGTGACAGACAGGGAGCAGGAGCAGAGAGGGGGGTGGGGGAGAGCGGGCGAGTTGGTCCACCCACCCTGCCTGGGCATCGCCGGGGGCCCGTTGCGGCCCGAGGCCTTGGCGGGCATGCACGTGAGGGCTGCCGGGTTGGGGGCTCCGCGCAGAGGGACCCTCCCGTCCCCTCCCCCGTCCACACCGGGGACCTTGGATTAAGAGGGTGGATCCCTTGGTCCCCTGCTGCTGGGCAGAGCGACCGTTTATCCTCTCCTGGACTTGGCATGAGCTTGGCTGGCTGAAGTTCAGGGACAGCCTCCGCCCCCCACATGGATATGCGTGAACTTGCACCTGCCTCGCGGGCACCTGCCGCTCCAGCCCCTCGCCCTGAGCCGACCCTCCCTCACCTTGCCGATGAGCTTCCCGCGTTTGTTCATACAGATGTACTTCTCGCTCTCTGCCCCCTTGATGCGCACGCGGCTGCCGAACGTGTCGGTCTCCACGATGAGCTTGGCTGGGGTGTGGGAGAAAGAGCTACGTCTGCCCATCTGGCCCTTCGTCATCTGGCAGGGCCGCCGGCCAGCCTGGCCATCCCAGGCAGGTGAGGGCGTGGGGGCACAGCCAGGTCCGGCCATCGGGCTCCTTCCTCCAAGGGGGCTTCTTTCCCACTCTGGTCTCGGGGACTTGAGGGTGAACGCATCCCCTGTCCTACAGCCCCACCCCTCACCCTGGACGGGGGGTGGGGGAGGCGCCTGGGGCCGGGGGTCCCGGTCTCACCAAACTTGTTGCCGTCCTCGGCGGTGGCGGAGATGCGTCGCCCAGTGACCTGCACGTGTTTGCCGCTGGTCCGGCTGTAGAGCTGGTACTCGCGGATCTGCCGCCGGCTCAGCTGGTCGGTCATGGCACCCTGGTCCCTCACATACTGGTTAAAATTAGGAGACGGGTGATTCTCCCCCTTTGCGGTTACCAAGGGAAAAATAGTGTCAATTTGCTTTGGGCGACAACCACCGCTGGTCCATCGGGGGTGGGAGGGGCGAGGCAGGGAGGAGGTGAGTGTGTTGGGGACCCGGCAGGTGATGTGTCCTGCCTGGGAAGGGCATGATGGCTCCGGACATTTCTGAGGCCCCTGGCTGAGCCAGCCAGCTCCCTCCTCCCCAACCCCTCCCCTAGGCTCTGTGTCCACCTGTGAACAAGGGGGCATGGCACATGCTGTGTCCCTTCCCTGGCTTGTCCCTGCCCTACTGGCAGAGTAGAGCTTTCCGTTCACTCCCCAGGTATCTCTGGTCCTTGGAGGGAATTTGGGAGGTCGGGGTGGGGGTGGGGGGGATGGCTGCTCTGATAGCACCAGTTAGGATCCAAGTTCATGGTCATCTCCTCCTCCCCAACCTCCCCTCCCTGACTCAATTCTTGGCTGGACCAGGTCCCCTGGCAGCCTCTCTAGGCTCAGGGTGAGCTAGTTCTTGGACAGAGGTAGGTGGAAGCCAGGTATGTTGCCACCTGCCCACCTGGGCAGAGACAGCACCCTCTCTGCCCAGGCACTGTCCCAAGCCCTAACCCATCTAATCTGTAAGGTAGGGCGAGGAAAGAAGCAGGGGTGCGTGGCCCATGACATTCCCTCAACCCGCTGCCTCGCTCCCCACCTCTCTCCACCTGGTCGCTGTTGGTCTGGGCTCCTGCCTCCGATCCTTAATCCTAGACCCTGTCCCAGCCATCTGGACAGGGCCAGACTGGGATCAGACTGTGTGAGGGAGGGGCAGGCTGTCTCCAGGAGGAAGAGGGAGGTGAAGGGGCAGTCTCCTTTAACCTGTGTGCGTGTGTTTGTTTTTTTTGGGGGTATTAACCCTTCAGCTGAATCAGAGTGTCTGGGGGGGGGCAGGACCCCAGGATAAAACATTGTCTTTGGGATGCGTGTGGAGTGGTGGGGAACCTGGCCAGCCTGCTAAGGGGTGGGGTGCGTCCCACCCTCTTCCCAGCCTGGCCCAGGTTCAGGCCGCCCGCCCCTCTTGGCAGCCTGTCCAGGTCAAGAGAGAAGCCCCCACTCCCTGAAGCCCCCTCCCCTCCGCTGCACAAGCCTTTTATAAAAGCAGCCCCACGCCCCTCCTCCCCAGCCCACAGCCCACAGCTCCCCTCTCCCCACGGGACCTTGCCTGTCCCTTTCATGTCCCCGCCGCAGGGGGACCTCCCCTTGCAGCCCCGCAGACAGCTGCTTGTCAGCCAGCCCCTCAAGCATGGCTGCCGGCTCTCCCCGCCTCCCAGGGGGGCGAGGGGGAAAGGACAGCGTTGCCACCTTCCCGGAGTCCTGAATGGGGCCTCAGGCAGGCCATAAACGGCCCTGCTAGCCGCACCATTGTGCTAATTCCCCCTCCAGAACAGGTTGGGCCCACCCCTCTGCCCCCTCCCGGGCCAAGCTGGGGGGTGGGGGCTTTCTTCTCCACTCTTCTCTGGATGTGTGAAGCCAAGGAGGGGGGGATGGCGGCGAGACGGAGGAAGAGGGGGGACTGCTTCTCTCCCACCCCCCCACGGCTTCAAAGGCAGCCCCTTTCCCCTGGCCCAGAGAGAGGGGGAAAAAAAGGCATTTACCTACAAAACAAGTCCCCCCTTAGAGGCAGGGGCAGAGGGAGCGGCCTCCCGCCTGGGAAAGCCGGGGCGGCTCCTCTCACGGTTCTGGGCCAGTGCATTTTAATAACTGCACTTCCATGGAGAATCACAAAAAAAAAGGGGGACCAAGAGTCTTGCACACCATGGGGGGGCAAGGGCGTGGGGGTGGGAGGCGTGCGTGACGGCAGTGGAGTGTAGGGGCTAGGGGAGAGTGCAGAAGCTGACCCCGGTGTCTGGGCCTGACCCCCTTGCCCTAGAGGTGAGGGGTCACCCTCCCCCATGCCCCGTCCCCTGCCCCCAGACACCTGCATCCGTGCGAGTGGGCTGAGGGTGCTTCACACCCGGACCTGCTTCACCTGAGCCTGCATCCCTCTCCCCACCCAAGACTCCAGCCCAGTACCACACACTAAGCCTTTTAGGGAGTCCCCATAAAAACAGGAGAGGAGTGTGGGAGAAGAGAGGCAGAGACCGCCCCCACCTCCGTGCCCTGTGTCTGTCCCCCCCACCTCCCCTAACCCTTAGGTGAAATGGAAAGATGGGGGATGGGGGAAGGTAGCTGGAGGAGCCGGCCTACCTGGGTTTGACAGCAGAGCATCAGGACTTGCAAGCACCTGTGAGGGGAGACAGGGCAGGCCAGGTGTGGGTATCCACAGCACACCCGAGGGGCCACAGCTGCCGGCCTGCCCGGGAAGAGGGGGGACCTGGACCTAGGCTGCGTAAGGCCAGCAAAGTGCAGCCAGCGGGCGGTGCACTTACACTGTGAGGCCTGGTAGCAGCCGGCCGGTGGTTCTCATCGCGACACACTTTTTGGGGTGCTTGCTCCCTGCCTTCCCCAAGTCCAGGAGCAGATGTGGGCAGACCCCAGGAGCAGAGTTCCAGCGAAGGAAGCCCAGGTCTGTGGAGCCACAGGTTTTTGCAGGGGTGGGGGGAGTGGAGGAAAGGGGAGGAGGAGAGGGAAGGCGAGGGGGAGGAGGAGGGGATGGAGGGTGTAATTGGGAGACTGAGGCGTGAGGCCAGTGAGGCTGCGAAGTGGGTCGGGCAGGGGGAGCTGCCAGCCTTGGGCTGGGCTGCCCCAGTGTGCAAGGGCGGGGTGTAGGGGGGCGGAGGACAGAGCCCCTGCAGGGAAGCCTCCGGTCTGAGGGGCTCGCCAGACTGATGTCCAGACAGCAGTGGTCAGTGTGGGGCAGTGAGAGAAGACCAGGTCCCGCTCCTTCCTTCTCAGGGTCAGCTGGCTCCTCCGGGAGCCCTTCAGGCAGCACAGTGGTACCCCATTTCCCCAAGGGTGAGCCACAGATGTAGAGCAGGGCCTAAGGTCTTCATAGTCTTCCTCCTCCTCTGGTAGCAGCAGGTTCTGGCCTGAATTCCCCAGAAGCCGTGTTAAAAGGAGGCGGCTCCCTCCAGGGGGTAAGGGGGTGGGCTCAGCTGGGAGCAGGGCCGCTGCTCTTCCAGTCTCCCCCAGCTTGCCGCCACCACCAAGGAGGGATCAGTAAGAGCAAGTGGCTGCAGGCAGTGGGCACAACAGGTTGTGGGGCAGGGCAGGTGCAGCTTGGGGACTTGGAAGGACCCCTAAGGCTTCTCTCCCAGCCCGGTTTCAGACGGAGGCTGGTGGGCTCACAGGCCCAGGTGGCTAATCCCCTGGGCAGAAGCACCCAGCGTTCTCTTCATGCCACCTCCAGCCCCTGGCTGCAGGGTGCCAGGCCGGCTGCAGCTCCGTTTTGCAGAAAGGGAGGAGGGAGGGAGGGCAGGGAGGGCCAGTGCTCCCGCTGGTGAATGAATACAGAGTTCTGGATTGCCAGGTGCTTGCCTGGCTCCTTCTGCAACCATCAGTGCCGACTTCCTGCCTGCCACTGGGAGGCAGGACTGGGGCCTGGCGTGGGGGCTCCCTGGGGAAGTCCTCCCATGGAAAAAAGCAGAGCCCCAAGTCTGGTCCCCGGCTCCCCCAGGAGACGTGGAGGGGGCAGGGAGGGAAGTGGGGAAAGACCGGATGAGGTTTGTTTACCCAGAGAGATGAGTAGCCTAGTCAAACTCTCACCTCTAGGTCCCTTCTAGCTAGCTGAGCCATGCGAATCCACAAAGTGGTCTACCACCCTCCCCAGGTACGCGGCCAGCTCCTCCCTCCCCGACTCGAGGTACCGGGCAGCAGGGTGTGGCAGGTCAGGTGTATTGAGCCAGAGCTGGTCTGGGGAGGGTGGGGTCAGCATAACCTGTCTGGGGTTGCAGGGGGGGAATGGAACTTGGGCACCAAACCGCAAAGGATGTCTAACCTGGCGGGGGGCGGGACTTAGCCAAGTTCTGCTCCCTGACTCCCCAACCTCTTTCCACCTGTGAGACTTGGAGAAGGACAGGGATGAGGCTGGCACCCTGCGGGGACTTGGTCCCCTGATGTTTTTCGTGCTCTTCATTCTGCCCATCAGTTTAGGTCCCTTTGAACCCCTTCCACAGGGTGCTGCACACAGCTGCAGCCCCAGGGCTCTCAGATCCAAGCAGGGCTAATGGTCTCCCAGCAGAAGCAGACAGCACAGGGACAGCTCAGGCTTGTGGTGCCATGATGGAGGGGTGTCCTCCTGAGCACCCCAGCCAGGGGTGGGGGGGGGTGGAGGAGTGGGTGCGGGGAGAGGGGCTGTTCAGGGCCTTGCATCCTGGGCACTCTGTGTCCAGCCTGGGTCTCCCTGGTAACGGATGCTGCAGTCTTGCTGGTTTAGGCGTTGTGGGGCACAGCCGGGTAGCCTGTCCCTTGGCAGTTGGTACCTGCAGTCTTGGCTCTCTGATTCCGCTCATGGACAACCTGTGGTGGCCCCATGCAGGGAGGGAGGCAGCGCAGCCTGTGTGCTGGCCTTACACTCTCTTGCAGGCTGTGTGGCCAGTCTTAGGTTCCCAGTTTATAATAAGGAAGTGGCCCTGGCTGGGCCTTGTAAGTGCAGTAGGTTAAACCGCTGTCTGCAATGCTAGCATCCTATTAGTAGAGTCTCAGCGGCTCTGCTTCCCACCCACTCCCCGCTACCGTGCCTGGGAAGGCAGCTGACAAGGGCCCGAGTGCTTGGGCGCCTGCACCCATGTGGGATCCTAGCTAGGGCTGCTGGTGTTTGGCTTCACCCTGACAGCCCAGACTGTTACGTACATTTTGCGGGGGAGCGAGCCAGAAGACAGATTTCTCTGTCCTCCCCCTGTCACTTTTAAATTAAAACAATAAAAGGAACTGGCTGCCAAGGCTGTCCACACATTGCCACCAGGACCATCACCTGAGATAAAGGTGATGAATCCAGCGCCCCCTTTCTGTGGCTTAGCCTCAGTTTACATAAAAACAGGGGCAGGCATTTCCCCCAGGAACCCCCAATGAGCAGGCTAGGAGGGCTGGCAAGAGGTGATAAGAGAACTGGCTGGGCTGCCCGGCTTAATCTCCACCCCTAGTGCCAAGTTCAGTACCCCCAGCCCGGGGTGTCTATTAGCTGCCCCTGTCTAACAGCCCAGCTGCAGGCAAGCACCAACCAACCACCTGCTTCAGCAATAGGTGGAGAGAGGCTGGGATGGGGGTAGAGGCAGGGCAAAAGGCATATCATACACAGTCTGGCTCCAACCTGTCTATTTCCGGGCTCTGAGATCTCTGCTGTAGGTGGCTGGATAAACCACGCCTCGCAATGCCGTTAACTGTGCAGTGGATGTGGCTGTGTGCAGGTACACTGCCCTGGACATTGGCACTCACTGGGAGCTACAGACGGGATCGGAGACCACCTGGATGCCTGCCTCTCCCTCCCCTCTTCTCCTTTGCAGAAGGGTCAAAAGCAAGGGCTCTGGTTTCCACGACCACCCAGCAAACTGTGTGACCTTGGGCTTTGGGGTGTGGCAGCCAAGCTGTCCATACCCCACTCACTGCGTGCAACCAAGATGCCCATGAGGTCCAGAGCTCTGTGAGTGGCTGTGACTGCAGGCTTACAAATTCCTCTAGCCTCCCCGGGCCTTATGTGGGCTCATGAGTGGGTGGGCCGGTCCAGCTCCTCGTCCTGGTCCATGCCTGTTCTAGGAAGGGGCTGGGAAAAGCCCAGCGGGCACACACATTCTCTCAATGAGGCAGGTGGCAAGCCAGAGGCACGCATGAGGCACACCTACCCTCCCCTCAGGGTCCTGCCTGACATCTGGCTTTTCTCCAGCTGGCCCCTCCCTAGCAGGTCCCAACACAGTTCTGTATGTGACAACAGCGTGAGGACAGGGTGGCAGGGGTACACACCTCCCCCGACCCCATACACACTGGTCCTGAGCAGGGACCCCCCTCATGGTGGCATCAGAACCCGTGGAATACCTGTGACACACTGTTAGCTGAGAGCAGAGGCCAGGGCTGGGCAGGGGCCCAGGAGCTAAGGAGGTGTGGTGTGTGTGAAGTGGGTAGGTCCCAGGAGGAGAGAGGGCGAGTGGTGGAGAAGCCGGGGTGCGGTTTTATGGCCACCCTTTGCTGGGCATGAAATTGGGGAAGGCGGCGTCCTTGCCATGAGGATGGGAGAGCTCCGGGGTGGGAAGGGGGATGTTCAGATATAGCAAAACTGGGTCCAGCGCTATATGGTTAAATTTTCACCTTGCATGCGCCAGGATCCCATGTGGGCACTGGTTCCTGTCCTGGCTGCTCTACTTCCCTTCCAGCTCCTTGCTTGTGGCCTGAAGCAGCAGCAGAGGATGGCCCAAAGCCTTAGGACCCTGCACGCGGGTGGGAGACCTGGAGGAAGTCCCTAGCTCCTGACTTTGGATCAGCTCAGCTCTAGCCATTGTGGCCACTTGGGGAGTGAACCTGCAGATGGAAGATAGTTCTCTGTGAATGTGCCTTTCCAAATAAAAATAAATAAAATATTTAAAAGAAAAATCAGGTACAGCAATCTTTATTGTGACTCCCTCCCCACAGCCCCTTGCCCCCACCCTAGAACCCATGGCACTTGGACACAGGTGCAAGGTGGGGGGTGGGTGCACCTGCTCACACTGAGGGCTCCCCTCACCACCCCCGCCACCCCCCACCGCCAACACACAGCTCCAGCCACTCTGGGCTCCTCCTCATTTCTTGGGTCCTGGCTTCTTGGGGCGGGGTGTGGACTTGGCCTGCGGGAGAGTGGTGAAGGGAAGGCTCTGGTCTCCAGGTCTCTCCCCCGCCCTCCGCAAGAGACGCCCCCCACCCTTCTGAGATCCACTCACCTTCTGCCCTGGGCTCCTGACTTGAAGATTAGACCTGGGGTGGAGGGGAGTGGAGCTGTGAGGAAGGAGGGGAGGAGCCAGCTCAACTCAATGCTGGGCTGGGCCCCCCCTCAGGTCCCTCAGGCAGGCTGTTCCCCCCCAAGGCTGGGGGGGAGCCCTGCGCCTTGCTCAGGGACCAGGGACCAGCCTGCCTTTTAAGATACGATTCCCCATCCCCTTAACTCTCATCTGTTTTTCATCTAGTGTCTTTTACCTTATAAAAGGAATGTTAACCACCTTGCCCAAAAGATGGCAGGCAAGAAGTCACTTATTTACATGTGGGAGTCCTGGTGGTGGGGAGGGGGTGTCAGACTTCTCGATATGTGAGATACAGTGAGAATGAACGATTTGCTAACTTCTTAACTCCCGCCTCCTGCAGGCAGCTGATTGTTCACGGTCCTCAGGTGGCGGGCCACTGAGCAGACAGGACACTGTGCTGGGAGACAACGGGCAAGGCCTCCCTTCCTGCTGTTTCAGTGATGTCATGGCACAGAATCTCCCCCAAGCTTTGGACGAGTCCTTTGGAAGGTCCCAGGTTCACAGAAAGGTCATGCCCCGGCTCCAGGCTGTCGTGTGTGTGTGTGTGTGTGGCTGTCGTGTGTGTGTGTGTGTGTGGCTGTCGTGTGTGTGTGTGTGTGGCTGTCGTGTGTGTGTGTGTGTGTGTGTGTGTGTGTGTGTGTGTGTGTGTGGCTGTCGTGTGTGTGTGTGTGTGTGTGTGTGTGTGTGTGTGTAGGTATGTGTGTGCCGTGTGTGCCCACATACCATGCGCTCTCTAGCACTCTCGCCTGTGCTAACAGATCTGGGTGAACCTGGTAGATGGAAACAGTTACCTCAGCACCTCGTCTTCCTTGCCCAGCTTCTTCTTCTGGGAACAAAGAACAAGCATTATGAAGGGAGCTGGGCGAGGGCCAGGGCAGGCGCCCTAAGGTCCGCGAGGCTCCTGCCGAGCACTTGGCTGTGGCTGCGGCCTGTTCTGCACAACAGCACCTTGGGGGGCCCCCAGCCGGCCCGGGATCTGGGTGCCAGGTGCTTCCCAAGTCCCTGAGAAGAGCCAGGCTCTGTCACCCACCTTGGCCACGCTCGCTTGCTTCACAGACATCTGCCTCTTGGTGGGTTTCCTAGGGCTGTCCTGCAGGGAGGTGTCTGCGTCACTGTCACCTTCCTCATCCTCTTCCTCCTCTTCCTCTTCTTCCTCCTCTTCCTCTTCTTCTTCTTCCCAGGATTGGTCTGACGTTTCTGGGTTGGCAGGGGAAAGGAGAGGCGCATCAAAGGCTTGGGGGCCACGCCTACCTCCCATCCAGGCTGCTGTGCCCTTGTAACCCCCATGTGCCCCTGTGGGGGACAGGGCTGGTAGGGCTGCTCTGGGCCAGCTCCCATAGGAGGCTGGTGTGGGGTGCCTGCAACTAGTGGCTGAGATGTCCTAAGGGGGCAGGGGGTGGGGCAAGTGAGTGCCCTGTGGAAGAGGGGCTGGTTAGTGGAGAGCAGAGGTCAGCCAGCAGTGGGCAAGCAAGCAGAGAACTGGGCACTTCCACTGCAGGCTCTGACCGTCACACTGCCCTTCGGGGTACTGGTTCCTACAGTTCCAGAAGGGTTCCTGTGTTCTGAGGCCTCGCAGGTGCCCAGCCCTGCACTGTGGGCCGTGCACTGGCACCAGGTCTCTGCCGGGACTCACCGTAACATTCCTTACCGCTGAGGAACATGGGGCCCGAGCCGGCCCGCAGCTGGAAAGTGACGGGAGGGGAAAGGTCCACTGAGGACAAGGCAACCTGCAAGGGAGAAGGAGGGGAAGGGACGGGGCAGGGGTGCTCAGGGCTCACCCCTCCCTCAACACGCACTCGCGCCTGCTCAGGTGGGTGTGTCCAGTACAAGAAGGTTGTGCACCTGGCCAGTCCTTGCCACCAAGATCATCACAAGAGGGGCTTCTAGGCAGGGGTGAGGGGCAGCTGTGAGCGGGAGGAATGTATCCCCACTCCCTGGATATAAGAGGTGCCAGGCCCTGCCCCCTGCCAACGTCTGCCCTGTGAGTACATGGCCAGTTGGCATGTACTCTGGACGCCAGGGAGGGAGAAATGCAATCAACTAGAATCTTGACCTTACACTTATGGGAGTCCCTCAGGCTCTGTGGGTTGAACCTCCAGAAGGTTGTGGCAACCATGCCACTGAGATGCCCACCTGATGCAGCTGATGCCCGGTGCCCAGCAGAGCCTGGCTTGTGCTTGACGTCACCTCTGGACATCCAGCACAGTCGATGGACAGCTGGCAGTTTCTCCCCATTGCCACGGCTAAAGAATGCTCTAGAACAGCGGCGAGGATGGCTGGGGGTGTCTGAGTGTCTCCCACTAGCCAGGCACTGAGCTGAACCCGCCCGCCCGCCTGCCTGCCTGCCTTATTTCATTTCAGTCCTCAGAGAGGCCCCTGGTGGCGGGAGGAGGAACCCAAGGCTTTGCAGAGCAGCTCAGAGCTGTGGGACCACAAGCAGGGGAGCTGTGAGGAGAGGCGACACCAGGCAGGAAGGGGAGTGTCAGGTGTCAGACAGGCAGTGGGGCAGGTGTGAGAGCAAGGGCCCAGAGGATGCGCCTGCCAGCAACCAGCGCCTCAGAGTTTCAGGCTTACCTCTGGCCAAGAGAGGAGGAGGAGGGGGAAGAGGGTTACAACCGGGACCCCTGGGGGAGGCTGGCACCCCTACTAAAAGGGGTCCAGCGTGAGTGATGAAGATGCAAAGTACCCAAACCCCAGGACTCCCAGCGAGCCTGCCGCAGGCTCGGCCTCCAGGACAGGCAGAGAAGCAGGAATGAGAAATCTCCTGTGAGAGCCAGATGGGGCCTAGTGGGTTAAGACCCCCAGTTCGCTGCTGGAGCATTTGGGCTCAGTTCTCCACTGTGGTTCCTGACTCCAGCTTCCTGTTAATACAGGAAGTCAGCAGCGATGGCTCACAGGGTTGCTTCCTGCCAGCCCCGCGGGAACTCTAGCTGCTGTGGGGCTCTGGGAGCAGGAGCCAATCACGGGAACAGTTTTTCGCTTGATAAAATTTGGATAATAAAGAGCCCGGTCACCCTTAGCTGTAGCCCTCACTTCTGTAAGGCCTCCGTGTGCTTGCTGGGGAATGCCCAAAGCAGGTGACGTTAGCGTGAGATCCCAGGCTGGTCACAAAGGTCCTGTAGTGAGGAGTAGCAGCCCACACGCACGCCCTGCACTGGGACACTCCTCAGCCCGACACACAGCACCCAGGTGGAAACCCTCAAAGAAGACCAGCTCCCCCAAGAAAACTGCAAACCACACAAGCCCACTGCGGTCGCAGAAGGAGAATGCCTGCAGACCAACACAGCTAGGGACTGGAGAACTCTCAAGCTGTGAAACCCTGAAATGGGTTTGGTTAAAGGCAAATGTACAGGGGAGGGCCGCCTGCAATGCCACGCTTCATATCTAAGCGCCAGTGGGAGATCTGCTTGCTCCACTTCCCACGCAGCTCCCTGTGGCTGCACCTGGGTGAGGATGACCCAAGCGCTCGGGCCCCTGCACGCGGGAGACCCGGAAGAAGCTCCTGGTTTTCGGTCGGCCCAGTTCAATCCTTGTGGCCGTAGGGAAGTGAATCAATGAATGAAAGATCTCTGTCACTCTTTCAAATAAATAAATCTTTTGTAAAAAATAGAAAAACAGAGGGCAGCACCAGAGTATAGTAGCTTAAGCCTCTGCTTGCAGCACTGGCATTCCACGTGGGTACCAGTTCAAGTGCCGGCTGCTCCACTTCTAATCCAGCTCTCTGCTAATGCACCCGAGAAAGTGGTGGAGGATGGCCCCAACCCTTGGGCTCCTGCACCCATGGGGGAGACCCGGTTCCTGGCTCTGGGCTTCAGACTGGCCCAGCTCTATCCCTTACAACCTTTTGAAGAATAAGCCAGCAAATGGAAGATCTCTTTCCTTCTCCAACTCTTCCTCTCGAATGAAAAATATTTGAAATATTTTAAGAAGCACAAAGCTGAGAGAATGTGTACACAGTAATCAGGAGGAAAAATAAAAAGAGCCAAATATAGCTTTTAAGGTATGAAAAAGTGAAACTCTGGGTCTGGCACGGTAGCCTAGTGGCTGAAGTCTTAGCCTCGCATGTACCAGGATCCCAAATGGGGGCCAGTTCATGTCCCGGCTGCTCCACTTCCCATCCAGCTCCTGCTTGTGGCCTGGGAAAGCAGCAGAGGACGGCCCAAAGCCTTGGGACCCCGTACACGCGTGAGACATCTGGAAGAAGCTCCTGGCTCCTGGCTTCAGCTCAGCTTAGCCCCGGCCCTTGTGACCACCTAGGGGGTGAACCAGCAGATGGAAGATCTTTGTTTTTCTCTCTGTAAAATCTGCCTTTCCAATAAAAACAAACAAACAAACAAACAAACAAAAAAACACACAGAAAAGAAAAGCAAGTCTAGCATTTATGCTAGGAGCAAGTCACGTACAAGCCAGGAGCACAAAAGGACTGATATTTAATTCCTATCACCACCACAATCATGGATTAAGTCAGAAAAAAACTCAGAAGTATGTGCCCTGGAAAAATGTCTGTTACAATTTAATCCTCATCATGATTGAAAAAATATGTATTTGAAAGGCCAAGTTACAGAGAGCGACAGACACAAAGAGACCTTTCTTTGGCTGTTTCACTCCCCAGCTGGCCGCAACAGCCAAAGACGGGCTGGTTCAGTCAGGAGCCCAGAACTGCACTGGGGTCTCCTGCACAGGTGCAGGGACCCAAGGCCTTGGGCCATCCTCTGCTGCTTTCCCAGGTGCAATAGCAGGGAGTTGGAGTGGAAACGGAGCAGCCAGGACTCGAATGCAAGCTCATCTGAGATTGGCAGCTTAATCTACTACACCACCACACCATTCCCCCCCACCCTTCCTGCCCTGCAAATATGGCAAAAACAGAGTGGGACTCGAGGAGTCCTCTTCGGCCTGACAAGCAGTGTTTGCCAATCACTCCACAGTGGCCAGGAAGACGACAGGTGTCAGCTCCAGCATAGCCAGCCAGCACAGAACTGGCGGCCCAGCCCCATGACAAACAGGCCAACAGAAAAAAATCTCAACTTGCCATTATTCCCAAACACAGCAGATCGACGGGAAACGAGAATTTCAGCCAAATGCATAAGCCATCCATGGTGTTTCAGGCACCGGCAGGCAACGTTTTAAAAATGTGATTTGGGTTGCATGTCAGGGTTCCAGAACTGGCTCCCGCTTCCACCTAGAGCACGCCTGGGAGAGGGGAGGTGCTGGCTCAGGTCGTCGGGAGATGGAGTGTCTGACCCAGCACCTGGCTTGCCGTGGCGAACGTTCGGGACGGTGAACCGGTGCCTGGGAGCTGTCTGCCTCTTGGCCACTCCCACTGATACAGCAACTTCGAAACCGTGATGGTGGAAGAGCAGTCATTCCACCTGCTGCAGTTCCCCACAGGCCCGGCACAGCCACACTCCTGGAGAAAGCCTACACCTGCCCTGCCCTGGGGTGGGGATGGGGCTCACCATGGGCAGGACAGAGGTCTGCAGGCAGGCAATGGTGATGGGTAGGACCTTCTTGTCTTCCTGGCCTGCTGGGGACATGACCTCCACGCGGTGCAGCTCGTCTTTCGCTTTCTCTCCCAAGCAAATCTGAGTTGCAAACAGACCAACAGACGTACCTCATCACCCTTGGGAGACGGTGGGAGAACCCATGTCACCCGTGGGGTCTGCTTTGCCCTCTGGCGTCAGGGGTTGGAGAGGGAGTGAGGAAGAGGGGGCACCCACTGTGTTCAGCCACAGCCTGCAGTACTCCTTCCCCTCCATGCGGGGCTTCCAGGTGCAAGTTCGCTTCTCTTGACTCAGCTCACATCCTGCAAGCGAGAAGGGAGGGGTGTGGAGAGGGCGGTGGGCAGGGCTCTGCCCTGGAGCTGGGGGCTCGCTCCTCCTCACTCACCCCAGGGCAGTATCCTCACAGGTCTATCCCCCGTGTTGCTGTCGCTACTGAAGTTCATGATGTCCGTCTCGCGTGGGAGCTGGCCTGGGTGGCAGACAGGACAAGGACGTGCTGTGAGAGGCCGGCTCCCAGGCCACGCTGGCGCTCACCCTGCTGGGTAATGTTGAGAACTGGCCGGCAGCATTCGCTGGAGAGGCCTTGGTTTCCCCCACCCCCAGGTGCCTGCCACACTCAAGGGCTTCTGAGAAGCTCCTAGACAATGACTAGTGGGCAGAACGGCCCAGGAACACCCAGAGGGGAGCGGTGGAAGGCCGCCGGATGACAGGTGCCAAGCCAGGGTCACAGAAAGAGCACCTTGTGGTTAGAGTGGCTGCAGGGTGCGATGAAACGCACAGGTTTTCCCAAGGAGGACGAGAGAAGGCTTCAGGTGGAGGAGGCGCCGTTTCCCGTGATGGGAACAGTACACACCGCTAATGCCTGCCGATAGCACTTGTACTCCCCCTAAGATGTACAAAGGGTGGGGGGCTGGGGTTGTGGCACAGAGGGTTAACCTGCCACCCATGACAACGGCACCCTATATTGAGCAGTCCCAGCTGCTCCACTCCTGATCCAACTCTTGTTAACGCATGGTCTTCAGCCTGACTCAGCCCCGTGCTATTGTGGACATCCGGGGGGTGAACCAGCAGATGAAGGATTCTCTCTCATTTTGCCTTTCAAATGACAGTTAATTCGTTTTTTTAAAGATCTGTCTCATTTATTCCAAAAATACAGCTACAGAGAGTGAAAAAAAAAAAAAGGAGAGCGCTGGCTAGTTCGCACCGAATTCCGCACCGAATTCCGCACCGAAGGGCCAGGCTAACGCCAAGGGTTTCTTTTACACCTCTGGTATTGGCATCAGGTATCCGAGTGCTTGAGCCGTCTACCACTGCTTTCCCAGGCACACTCACAGTTGGACTGGCAGGGGAGCAGCGGAGACTCCAACTGGCACCCACATGGGATGCTGGCACCGCAGGCACTGGCTTAACCTGCCCAGCCACAATTAAATCTTTAAAAAACAAATAAAACAGCAGTACTTCTATGGGGGAGAAGATGATATTAGAAGCAAGGGTGGGGTTTGCGCTGGGGTCCCCTGGCTGCCCTTGGCACCCTCCCAGCCCTTGTTGGGTATGACCTGCATGAGGGTCAGGGGTGGAAAAGGGGTGCAGGTGCCCAGATTGGAGGCTCGTCCCCCTCCCCCTGCGCAGCCCCCCTCCGGGACGCCCCCGACCTACGGCACGGCTTCGAGCTGCCCTCACGCCATCACCGGCCTCCTCCCGCTCACCAAGCAGCAGACTGCCCACACCTGGCTATTAAGAAGCCTGGGGAGGCAGCAGCAAGGATCCCGGCAGCCCTCCTCCCCAGCCCCTCCTCCCCAGCCCCTCCTCCTCCTGGCCTCACCTGCAGGGGCTGTTAAAGCACACGGGGGAGGGGCCCAGAGGATCCTGCCTTCTAACAAGCCCCCAGGTGCCCAAGCGCCTGAGCGAAGCCATCCTGCAGGGCTCACGGGCAGGAGAGGGGGTGCTGCTGTGACCCCCCCTCTCCCCCAGCCTCCCAATGGCCTGGCATCACCAGTCTTTTTAAGTTCCTCGTGGAAGGACAGAGGTGTTTCCGAACTGGTACGTGAGGCTCAGCATCCTTTCAAGTCAGCAGGCGTTCTCATGGAAAACTCGCCTTTTGCAATTTTCGCCAATGTTCAGCCTGGGCTACTCTGATTGGAGCAGTATGGTTCCTTCCTACTTCAGATCGATTGATTGGTTGGAAAGGCAGAGTGCCAGGGAGAGCAGGACAGATCTCCCGCTGGCTGGCTCACTCCCCAGATGGCCGCAGCAGCTAGGTTCAACTGGGATGCGAGCAGCCTGCCGCGCCAACCTGCCGACGGCGCATCTGACTTGAGAAGATGCTCAGCATTTTCAGTTAGACATATTCCAAAGACTCTTCCCTCCCATCTATAGCTTGCTGGTTCTTTTTTTTGCTTTTTAAGATTTATTTATGGGCCCCGTGCAGTAGCCTAGGGGTTAAGTCCTTGCCTTGCACGCACCAGGATCCCATATGGGTGCCGGTTCGCATCCCAGCTGCTCCACTTCCCATCCAGCTCCCTGCTTGTGGCCTGGGAAAGCAGTCAAGAACCGCCCAAAGCCTTGGGATCCTGCAGCCTTGTGGGAGACCTGGAAGAGGCTCCTGGCTCCTGGTTTTGGATCAGCTCAGCTCTGGTCATTGTAGCTACTTGGGGAGCGAGTCAGCAGATGGAATTTCTTTCTGTGTTTCTCTTTTAAATCTGTCTTTTCAACAAAAATAAGTAAATCTTTAAAATATATTTATTTGAGGGGCTGCCATGGGGGCATATCAGGCTAGTCCTCCGTCTATGCTTCCAGCATTACCACACGGGCATGGTTCAAGTCCCAGCTACTCCACTTCCCCATCTAGCCCCCCGTGATGGCCTGGGAAAGCAGTGGAGGATGGCCCAAGGCCTTGGGACCCTGCACCCGTGTGGGAGACCTGGAAGAGGCTCCTCGCTCCTGGCTTCAGACTGGCTCAGTTGTGGCCACTGTAAGCCAATGTATTTCTTTGTATTTTCTTCTCTGTCACTCTGCCTTTCTTTAAATACATGAAATTGTTTTTGTTTAAACAAAGAGTGACAGAGACAGGGGGAGACACAGAGAGCTACCAGGTGGCTGTAATGGCCAGCGCTGGGGTCAGGCTGAAGCTAGGAGCCAGGAACTCCATCTGTGTCTTCCACGTGGGTGGCAGGGACCTAAGCACGTGGACTACCTCCTGCTGCTTTCCCAAGCTGTAAACCAGGATCTGGATGCAAAGTGGAGCCGCTAGGACTTGAACCAGCCTCGTGAGGAGGGACGTTGGTGTCGCATTTGGCAACTTTACCCACAATGCTGCAACACCGCCCCCTGCTGGTCCATTTTGGAAGTGGTGTCTTTTTTGAGAACATCCATTTTAAATTGTGATGAAGTCCAATCTTTCTTTTTTTCCCTTTGGGAGATCATGCTTTGGGGCATCTTAAGACATCGTTGCTTGACTCAAGCTCATGAAAGTGCCCTCCTAGCCTCCCTTCTGCAGCCCGTGGGTTGGCGCTTTCCCCTTTAAGCCTGTGACAGGTTCAACTATGTAGGCCTCTCGGGACTCAACTGGGTGTTCCAGGTGTTGCCATCTGACCCCAGCCTGATAGCACATCATCCCGATGACGAATTTGACAGCAAATTTCGAAACCAAGAAGCATGGCTTCACCGGCTCTTTACATGATTGCAAAATATTTTCGGCTTTTCCATATTTTTATTTATTTATTTTTTTATTGGAAAGGTAGATCAGACTTATCAAAGGAGGGAGAGAGATCTTCCATCCACTGGTTGCCCCCCTCCATCCCAATGGCTGCAACAGCTGCAGCTGAACCAATCCTGAAGCTGGGAGCCAGGAGCCTCCCCTGGGTCTGCCACATGGGTGCAGGGGCCCAAGGCTTTGGGTCATTCGCTACTGTTTTTCCAGGCAGGGAGCTGGAAGGGAAGTAGAGCAGCTGGAGCATGAACTGGTGTCCATATGGGATCCTGGCACTTGCAAGGTGAGGATTTAGCCATGGAGCCATTGTGCCGGGCCCCAGATGTTTATCTTTAAACTGATGTATTTGAAAGGTCCAGTGACAGAGAAGGAGAGACAGAGAAGCAAAGAGATTTTCCATGTCTTGGTTCACTCCTCTAATAGCCCATGATGGCTAGGCCTGGACTGGTCCAAAGCCAGGAGCCAGGAGCTTCTTCCGTGTCTCCCAAACAGTTAGGCCTTTCTCGGCTGCCTTCCTAGGCACAAGAGCAGGGAGCTGAATGGGAAATGGATCAGAAACGGAACCTCAGCTGGACTACAACGCCACAATAAGCGGCTTAACCTGTTACGCCACACACCAGTGCTGACGTCACTGAATGTTACAGTCACTTCTTGCTTTTCCGCAGCCAGATTTTTTAGGTGTTTGAGGACAAGACGTTGCGTGTTATCCTGTTAAGCTCAATCTACGTACCTCACGTGCCACAGCAAAAGGTGTCTCCACGTGCTATCCCTGGACTGCCCGAGGAATGCAGAAATACAAGCAGGTTGTACACGTCACAGAAATTGGAATTACGGGTCGGCCTTGTGGTGTAGCGAGCTAGCCCGCTGCCTGCGACACCAGCATTCCAGCGGGGGAGTGAACAAGGCTTAACTTCCCTCCTTTCCCTGTACCTTTTTCCTTTTAAAAAAAGATTATGTCAATCCAAAAAGCCTCTGTGACCCATGCATTTGATGGGGTCTTCAAAAAATCCACGGAAGGGCCTGGTGCAGTAGCCTAGTGGCTAAAGTCCTCTGCTTGCACATGCCAGGATCCCATATGAGCGCTGGTTCATATCCTGGCTGCTCCCACTTCCCATCCAGCTCCCTGCTTGTGGCCTGGAAAAGCAGAAGCAGTCGAGGACAGCCCAAAGCCTTGGGATCCTGCAGCCGTGTGGTGTGGGAGACCTGGAAGAGGCTCCTGGTTTTTTTTTTTAAGATTTATTTTTATTTATTTATTTTTATTGGAAAGGCGGATATACAGAGAGGAGAGACAGAGAGGAAGATCTTCCTTCCGATGATTCACTCCCCAAGTGAGCACAACGGCCGATGCTATGCCGATCCGAAGCCAGGAGCCTCTTCTGGGTCTCCCACGCGGGTGCAGGGTCCCAAAGCTTTGGGCCATCCTCAACTGCTTTCCCAGGCCACGAGCAGGGAGCTGGAAGGGAAGCGGGGCTGCTGGGATAGAACCGGCGCCCATATGGGATCCCGGGCGTGCAAGGCGAGGACTTAACCACTTGCGCCACAGCGCGGGGCCCGAGGCTCCTGGTTTTGCATCGGCTCAGCTCCAGCTGTTGTGGCTGCTTGGGAAGTGAACTATCTCCTCTGTAAATCTGACTTTCCAACGAAAAAAAAAAATTTTTTTTTTTGAAAAAGCTCATGGCAAATGTGCATCAATGAAAACGCTGTTCATGACCTTCAAATATTTTGGATCCATTTTACCTTTTCAGTTGTCCGTAAGCTTCTGAGATACTCTTCCTATTTGATCTTGCTGAATTCACTCATTCCAGGGTTTTTTTTTTTCTTTCTTTTTTTGTATTTAAATAAAGGCATTGTGATTAAAGTTTTGCATCCCCAGTTCTGATCTGGGTGACTTTTCCTTCTTTTGTCTGTCTTTTACCTTGCTTAGGACCTTGTACTAAATGGGGCAATGTTGAGTAAAGGGGGGGGGGTCAGGGACAAGCGCTTAATAAAAAATAATAAAAAAAAAGATTTGCAAGGCAGAGTTACTGAGCCTGAGCTGCGGCCGGGCTTGGCTCTCACGTGGGGGCAGGCTCCCCAGGACTGCCGGCACGGGAGCAGCTGGGACCTAGAGGGGCTGCCAAGGTCTCGGACCGGCCCGGCCCTTCTTCCACACGTCCTTTTCAGGCCGTCGGCCCCGCTCCGCCGAGTGTGGACTCGCCAGGAACCGGTTCCTTGGCGCACGCTGAGGTGACGGGTCCGAGAACGAGGTGAGCGTCGCTCTCGGCGGCGACCAGGACGCAGAGCCGCCTGCGCCTGCGCGGACCGGCGGGGGCGTGGCCAGCGAGCGACGGCGCGTCCTTCTGACGCGAGAGGCGTGCGCAGTCACTTCCGGGCTGCCCTTACCCGGTCGAGTCACGGCCATGGCCGAGTGCTTCTAGAAGCGCCGGCTTTTTCCTGTGCTGGAGCATCCTTGGCCATTCCAGTGTGTGCTGAGTAAGCCCAGCGTGCAGCTGTGCAGGGGGCAGCAGCAGGCCGGCAGCGGGCCGACCCGAGAGCTGGAGGCTTCCTCGCGGTCCGGAGTGTTTTCCACACCTGGCTCCCTCCACACTGGAACGTCCTGTTCCCTAGCCAGCAACTGCTTGCCATTCCTGACGTATGGCAAAGTTGCCAGCTCACCAATGAACTCAGGCACCCACAATCAGTATGACCCTGATGGGTGCCCAGCCTTTCAAACTGACGTTAAAAATCTTGAGGCTCAGGTGTGATGTTTGAAGGCCCTCTTTTGTTAGTCACGGCCTTTCGGGTCTCCTGGGACAGTTCTTCCTGTCTTGTGGCAGCACTGGATGTCTGGACCGGTTGGCTGGTGGCCAGTGGGGCCCAGGCGGTGTCTTCACTGCCCCTTAGTTGCCTCTGCAGGGTGAAGCTTCTGTGGCTGGCGAATGCTTCACAGAACCCCAAAAACATTTTTTTTCAGGGGAAAAGTCATTCGCTGGGTGGGGGCATGTTTTGGAGAATAAAAACTTACTGCTTCTTTATTGGAAAATGACACTTCTGTTCAGAGTTGTAAAGCCTGATGCAGTTTCCAGCCTCCTGTAATTGACCTCACTGTGGGAAGAGCCCAACACTCCCGGGCCACATCAACAAAACACACAAGTTTGCAGTAAAATGCTGGCATCTCTCGACGTTAAGGTACAAAAAGTGTTCAACACTGACCCCAGACAACCAAACTGTTGAACACAGCGCCTAGGAAATGAAATTCTAAACTCCCAACTGTGGTTTCAACTGAATCAGTCAGAGGATTCCTGGGGGAAACTGGAGTTTCACATTTATCAGGATGAATCACATGGTACTGCTAGTTGAGGGGTAGGCATTCAGCCAGGAGGCTTAAGTGCCTGTACCCCCACACTGAGGGGCCTGGGCTGTTCCCAGCTCTGGGTACGGAGCACAGCTTGCTGCTGGAGACCCTGGAGGTGGTGGTCATGAAGGCTCAGGCGATTGGGACATTCACGTAGGGCACCAGGCCCAGCCCCAGCAACTCCCCTAAAAAATAAACTGCCCGATTGTGACCTAAGGAGAAAGGGCAGTTTGAGTGTCTCCTCTGAGAGCTGTCGGTTAAGGAAGGAATGGCTGCACTAGCATGCCAACGGGGGACAGGACAGTGAGCGGCCAGGAAAGGAGGGGCTGGGGCTGGGCTGCCTGAGGGAGGGCCCTCCTGGGGCAGGTGGGCAGAGAGTGGTACAAGTCAGCAAAATCCCCAAGCTGTATCTTGGGAGGCTTGGAGATGGCAGGAAACATTCCTGTCTGCCTCTCTGCTCCCCACTTTTTAAAGATTTACTTATTTTTTATTGGAAAGGCAGATATACAGAGAGGAGGAGAGACAGAGAGGAAGATCTTCCACCCAATGGTTCACTTCCTAAGGGGCTTCAACAGCTTGAGCTAATCTGAAGCCAGGAGCCAGGAGCCTCTTCCAGGTCTCCCACATGGGTACAGGGTCCCAAAGCTTTGGACTGTCCTCTACTGCTTTCCCAGGCCAGTCCTGACTGCTTTCTAATCATCAGAATGTAGTGTTTGGCTTTGGGGACAGTTTAAGGCTAGGGGGGTGACAGCAGTTCCTAAAGGGCTCAACCAGCAGGTGGCAGGCACGGTGTACGCACACAAGGCCACCGAGTGCCACTCAGTCCACGGAGCGTCCGTGCATCTGCAGTACGCGGTATGAGCTCCTCGCTGTTGCTGGCAACATCCCTTCTACCGGGATCACACAGGCTGTCCTGGGATCTCTGCAAAATACACCAGGGGACGACACTTGTGCTTGAAACCATCAGGAACAATTATCAGCACACAACAAAATTATTTTGGGGCTGGCATCACGGCACAATTGGGTAAGAGTGGCACATCCCATATGGACACCAGCGGGGAGCCCAGATGCTCCACCTCTGATCTTCCTCCCTGCTAATAAACCTAGGAAAGTCTTGCAGCTGAAAGTTTGAGACTTTTGGCTTCTGCCTGGCCTAGCCCCAGCCACTGTACCCATTTAGGTACAACCAGCCGATGGAAGACCCTTTCCAAAAACAAAACAAAACAACCCAAAGCATCCACAACATAGACTTTGTTCAGTTTCTCCTTCCCTGCTGGTAGCCATGCGACGAGTGAGGGTGAAGTGAGGGACAGTGGCTTTCCTTACCAGGACCCCACTAAAGCAGTCCTGGTTTTATTGCGGAGGGAGTCCGACGCGGTGCAGTGGGTGGGTCCCGGGGCCTGTGCTCCCGCTTGGGGAGTGCATGTTCCCCACCCTGCCCCCCGACACACACTAGACGTGACGGCTGAGGCGGGGTCAGTAGAAACCATTGAAGTTTATTGGCGGTCACAATGCTTACACTGTATGCAGCAAACACCCTTACAAGTCTATCCGCAACCTGATCACGCCAGAAAGGATTCACCACAGTCGCTGGGGGAGGGGAGAAGTGGGGGTGGGGAGAGAAAGAAAAACCAAACCCAACTGATGAGTGTCCCATGGGCAAGAGCTGAGCTAGGATGTGTACAACCAGCAGCAACAGTTGTGGATAAAGTACAAAGCAAACAGCTCTCTCTGTCACTTTGCCTAAGTCAACTTTTCTTTAAATATCCCAAACATTTCTTGTGGTTTTCATTTTATAAAAACGTATGCTTGGAAGGGGGTGGGGGAGTGTCAGCTGCTTCATGCTAGGTAGGCCTTGTTATTGAGAACCCCTCCACTGCGGGGGCCTCCTCAGGTCACACATCCACGCGTGCAGGTGCGTATATAAATATCCACACGCATACGTCCACACACACCGCCTCAAGGGCTGGGGAGACAGCAGGCCACACGCAGCGGAGCCTCCGGCGGCCTCATCCAACAGTCGGCAGCCACGCCAATCTGCTCGGGTCTCTGTGGTCTGCAGGCCAGACTACCACACCTTGTGAAATCCAACTCTCACGAGAGGCGTATGTCGGAGGAGGAGCTGCGGGGAGCAGGGTGGAGGTAAGGGCACCGAGCACTGCTGCTGCCGTGATGTGGCACCGTCGGAGGTGCCAGCTACGGGGCGGGGTGGGGCTCTGGCAATGGCTTAGAGTTCCTAATAACAAGGGTTAATACAGTAACAGGGTGTGATTGCTGGGGGGGGGTGAGGAAAGGGCAATAAGAAAAAATATACATTTGGAATTTTTACTTTTGTTTCTGCCTCTCTACACTGTGTCACTAAATATATCTCTGTCCGTTCACACGCCCTGTCCAGTAAAGCTCCAGGCCACCAGGAAACACCTCACGCGCACACACAGCCCCTCACATCCGCACTGGTGCACTAGACTCTGTAAAAAGTTTTCAGTCACACTTTTTTGTTTTTAAACTTGAGTCAATATAAACCTTGTTCAAAATGTTATGAAAAAATGTACATGTTTATACAAGGCAGGTTGTGGCAGGACATTGGGGGTTCCCCCGTCGGGCGGCCCCGGAGGAGGGGCTGGAGGCGCGGGCGGCTGTGTCTCCTCCCCACACCCTCCCACCCAGGCCCCAGGAACCAGCAGCGCCCTGCCCCGAGGGAGTGCACCCACGCCCTTCCCCAGGGAATTAGCTAGGTGACCTCTGCCATCTCCCTCACGGCCGGGGAGGAAGGGACCAGGGTCAGCCAGGCCCTCTCCCTCGCAACTGCTCCCCTCTCTGGGCCAGACCAAGGGGACGCTGCTCCGCACAGGTCAGTCCGAGGAGATGTCAGCTCATCATGTCGTTGCTGTTCACGCCGTACGTGGAGTTCTTCATCGAGTCGTTGACTTCTCGACGGAACGCGGACAGGTTCTGGGTGAACCTGCAGACAGGATGGGGATGGGTTGGGGAGGACAGTGCAGGGAAGTGGCTCCAGGAAGCGGAGCCTGGAACCGGCGGTTGTTAAGGCCGTTCGCCTGGGCCGATGGGTGCCAAGGAAAAGGCAGCTCCCATCTGCCCACTCTCTAGCAGCGGTCTCCCCGAGGGATGGGGAAGGAGCTGCAGAGGCTGAGGGCAGGAGGCCAGTGGGCTCCCAGGGGCCGCCCAGCACCTGCCCTGTGGAGAGTGGGGACAAGCCAATCAGATGAAGGAGTGCACTAAACGCACAAGAAGAGGTGGGCCGTGGAGTTTACCATGTGAGTGTAAATGCAGGAAATCTAAATGCAGACCAGGCCTCTCTGGCGAAACCCGGCACCTGGGTTCTCTGGGGCTGCGCATCCAACAAGGGACTTTAAAGACTCAGTCCAGCGAAGCAAAGGATGTTATTGTGCTCACTTTCGAAGCAATATACACTGACGTTTTACATACACCTGGTACATATGCTGACGATACAATTGTGCCTGCTTTCTGCCGTAAAGCCGTATTTATGGCTCCTGCCTGGACAGCACTGCCCAGGGCCCTGGAATACGGGCACCCACAGTGGTGCTCAAGGTCCTGCAAAGCAAGGCTGCCCGGGTCTCTCACAGGGTCTGGCACTCACCGGTCTCTGTTTTTCGTGAGCAGATTGCGCTCGATGCCTTCCATCAGGTTTTCGAAGCACAAATGCATAGCCTGCTGCTTCTCTGGTGGCTGGCTGTTCACGATACTGTTTCTTAGGTCAGAAAAATACTGTGGGGCGAGGAGTGAGAGAGATGGTAAGAGCACGTGGGGGAGCAAGATGAGCTCACTGTCGTTCACGGGCTGAGGGGTGTTCTCCAAGGAGGGGCCAGCGCTAACTAACTTGGGTCCTTTAGAACAGCTCAGGTCAGCACTGGCAGGGTTACGTTGTTGTCCCCTTTAAAAATCAGGGCTATTGGGCCCGGCACAATAGCCTGGTGGCCAAAGTCCTCGCCCTGCATGCACTGGGATCCCATATGGGTGCTGGTTCATATCCCAGCTTCTCCAGTTCCCATCCAGCTCCCAGCTTTTCCCTGCCCGGGAAAGCAGTCGAGGATGGCTCAAAGCCTTGGGGACTCTGCAACCACGTGGGAGACTTGAAGAAGCTCCAGGATACTGGCTTTGGACCAGCTCAGCTCTGACTGTTGTGGCCACTTGGGGAGTGAACCAGCGGATGGAAGATCTTTCTCCATGTTTCTCCTTCTGCCTTTCTAGTAAATAGATGAATAAATCTTAAAAAAAAAAAAAAGAAAAAGAAAAAAAAAAAAACCAACAAAAAACACAAAACCCACTAAAAAAGCCAAAACTAAAAACCTGCAAAATCAGGACTATTTCATGTAAGCCCTTCACAAGGGCCACCTGACCCAGATCCCTCGCTGATGGCTGAGCCGCGCATACGGGTCCCTGACTCGTCGCCCAGAGGAAGACGCCCCTGTGTCCACACGGACACCCACACCTGCCCGTGCAGCGTTCAAAACACCGGCAGCACACGCTTAGTCAATGGCTCGCTTCCCCTGCTCAACGACCCCTGGTATTGCTTCCAGGCAGTTGCTCATTTTCATCCATTTGAAAGGCAAAGAGATATCTAAGAGAAATGAGTGAGCGAGATTGTCCCTCTCCTGGTTCATTTCCCCAAATGCCTTCAAAAGTTAAAGCTCGGAGCAGGCAGCAGCCAGGAGCCTGCCACTCAAGCCAGGCTGGCTCCCCGAGGGCACCTATCGGCAGGAGGCTCAAAGCTGGGAGCAGACCTGGAAACCAAACACCACGGCAGTTGAGGGGTTCCCAGTGGGCTCCTTCAACTATTGCACCAAACACCTGCTCTCCGGGGTGTTCCAGAAGGCAAGCAGAGGCCGGGACACAGACCACTGGTTCCTACAGTCTTCACTGCCTCGTTTACCTTTTCATTTAGGAGTATCAAGCCAAGCAGGGGCCGGGACATAGACCACTGGTTCCTACAGTCTTCAAAGATGATGATGTTCAGCACCGTGGACAGCATCTACAGGAGGAACAGAGACTGAGGCAGTGAGCTCGTGGTGGCCCAGCCTCTTCAGCGGGTAAGCCACACAAGTGCTTTTGGAATTTTGTTCTAGTCTTTGATCTCAAGGTAAGCCTTCTTTCTTTCAAGATATTCCCATTCCCGTTCTTCAATCATTTACTTTACAAATGGACTGTTCCAATTCACAGTGACGTGTGGGGAATGAAGCAGAGTCCAGCAAAGAGAGCAGGCCAGACCACTCTGCACCTTCTTCAGATCCTGCACAGGGTTCCTGTTTGGCCAACAGGAGCGTAAGCCTGCAGCAGCAGGCTGCTTGGCTGGCTGCGAGCTTGTGCCCCGTGTGCAGCGCAGCGGAAGGACGGTGCTCATGAGGTCGGCCCAAGGCCCATGTTAACTAACACTTGGTGTTTATTTCAGCTAGTCTGCATTCAAAATTCCCCGTGGTGAACACTCCAGTCCAGCTCAGCAGCCTGAGTGCAGTGAGATGCTGCCACCCGCGTGGCCTCCACCTGCGGCCCCTCACCTGCTGGATCATCTCGGGATGCTGCTGCATGATATGCAGAAAGCGATCGCTCTCCTGGCTCAGTGGGGTCGTCCTCTTCTTGGTGCTGCGTGACAGCTGCTTGAAGAGGTATGTCACGATGTGGTCCAGGCAGGAACAGCAGCCTGTGCACACCATGGTGTCTGTAGGAGAGAGGGGACGGGCGGGACACAGCTACCGAGCTGCTCGTGGACCTGGGAGAGGACCCAGGAGACCGGGAGCTGGGGCCTTTTCAGCCAGGGCTCAGCGTGCTCCCGTTAATTTCCAAGTCTCAAGATGGGTGTGCAGTAACGTGACAGGAATTAAGTAAACAATCTGTCATCACTTTTCAAGATATTTATTTGAACGGCAAAAGGACAAAGACACGCACCCTGCATCTGCTCGTTCCCAGCCCGGGTCAGGTCGAGGCCAGGAGCCTCACTCTGTCCTGGTCTGCCTCGTGGGTATTTGGAGAATTACCTACTTTCTCAGAGCCCTTAGCAGGGAGCTGGGTTGAGCTGCACCCAAGTGGCAGTTCAGGTCAGGGCGTCTCAATGCGAGCCCCGTGCTGACGCTGTGGCTTAGTGCTTAGCGGATGTGCATGTGCCTCACGTGGGACCCAGGCTGACATGCCGCAAGCGCTGCTTTTGTGCCACAGTGGCCTGAGTGTAATCTACTCTCCCAAGAAGCCTGGGAGGAAGGCACTGCATTTTACTGTACGCGAGGAAACCAGTCAGGGAAGGTTGTGCGGCTTGCCTGAAGGCTCTGAAGCTGGGTGCCGAGCCTCCGGAAGTCCCAACAAGCCTGTGCTCTCGTTATCTGGGGGAGCTCCAGGGATTCCCACTTCCTCAGCCCGCAAACACCAAGTGGCCTGTCAGGTGGGTAGCACCTCTAGGGGAACCGCAGGCTTGCTCAGCCTTTGGACAGGGCTGTGGCCTTCAAGGAGTCAGCGACTGGGTTCCTGTGGGGCTGGCAGTCTATGCGGAGGCCCCTGGGGTCCTGCCGGGACTGGTTGCAGTGGACATGGCTGTCCCCCCATCGGCAGTGAGTGCAAATCGGGGAGGCGGCAGTGGTGGCTCACCCACTACAGGTCATCCAAGCCATTCTATGTCACTGGCCACACCCTGTGACCACTCCACAGGTGACTCAACTTTATGGTTTGCTCAGCCTCACAGAAAAATGCTTCTCATTGTCTGAACACACTGTTGGGATGGCTGGAAGGTGGCCAAGAAAACACCAGGTGGCAGGAAGCGGAAGAATGAGGATGGACCCTTGCAGGGGAGGGGCAAGAGGCCCTTCCAGGCCCCCAGAGACCCTCTGTGAGCTGCAGCTGCGCCCCCGTGTGTTACCGCCCCCACCCGGGCGGCCCTTTCCTGCTCACAGCACTGGTGTGTGCTTGCTAACTTGCGAGGCACATGTCCAGCTTGTCCAGTGACTTTGTTGTCACCTCTTCCTGCTACCTCCTCGCAACCAGAAGGCCTCACCCAAGGCCACTGCAGCACCCTGGGCTAGCACCCCTACTGTGTGTCCCTGTCACCCCAGAGGCCAACTCCGCAAGGACAGAGGCCGTGCTGGACACAGCTGTCACCATTGCATTGCATGGTGCGCCTCCCCTCAGGCGCTCCACTCAGCTAAGAGGCAAAACCTAAGCCATCCAGCAGGCCAGCCGAGTGCTTACCAAGTGCAGTGAGTCCTTCAGAAATGGAAGAGAGGATATACATGATGACATGGGGTTCCAGGCTGGCGATGAAGTTCATATGGTCCTGGGTGAGGACTTCCAGTAGTGAGTAGTAAGACTGGCTGAGCTTGGGGTAATCCTGAGAGCAGGAAGGGGGGAAAGGCCACCTTAGGCGCTGCGCACTTCAGTATCAAGATCTGAAATCAAATTGCTTGATCCCTTGCACTTGGTTACAGCATACACAAGCCAGCTAGTCACTTCTCAGAAAACCAGGTAACTGATGAGCCTGGGAGAGCACGGGGTGCGCACGCAGCAGGACGTACCAGGAGGTCGCTGTGGGGAATGGACAGGAGCAGCTTGATGAAGGTTTGCAGAGCGTTGTCAAGGGCGTCGTCACCATAGAGACGGAAGACTCCGAAGTTGACATAGCTGCCACTGAGGGCGGCCTTGAGCATGGAGAAGCAGATGGAGACGCCCTTGAGCTTCAGGGCGTAGACCTGGTCCTTTGGCACCTCTCCCAGGGTCAGGACACGATTGCCTGAGAAAACACGGGACCCTGATACTGAGCTCCATCATGACCGATGGTTTTCAGACCAACATAATCTCATGCCAAAGGGCACACCAACGCCAGCAGGCCAGGGTGGGGATGGAGGACAGCTGGCACTCCTGAGGAACACAGCTCACTGTGGCAATGTTGCCCTGGCCACTGCCAGGGCTTGCCTGAGGCCACACATGGCTCACAGTGTGGCAAGTGAGATGCAAGTCCGTTGCAGGAGACATGGTCCCCTAAGCACTTACCATACATTGTGATCATCTTGCTGGTTTCCCGGAAGAGTAGGATGCCGTTGGGAGAAGAGACGTCGAACTGCAGCCTCTGGGACCTAAGCAGGGCACAGAAAGGTCAAAGGCGCTTTCTCGGGGACCCAGAGAAGCTCCTGGCTTTAGAATGGCTCGGATCCGGTCACTGCGGCTATTTGCCGGGGTGGACCAGTGCATGCAGGATCTTCCTCTGGCTTTCCCTCTCACTGTAAATTCGCCTTTTAAAAAGAGGGAGAGAGACAGAGAAAGAACCTCCCATCTGCTGGTTTAATTCTCAGACGGCTGGCAACCAGCACGGTGGACCAGATCAAAGCCAAGAGCTTCCACGTCTCCCCTGTGGACGGCAGGGGCCCTAATACTTGGGCCATGTTCTGCTTTTCTCAGGCTTTTAGCAGGGAGCTGGGCTAGAACTGGAGTAGCTGGGATGAGAACTGGAACCCATATGGAAAGATGGTTTTGCAGCTTTCCCTGCTATCCTATATGCCAGCCCCTGTAGTGTGTATTTAAAAAAAGAAAAGAAAAAGGCATTTATTTGAAATGTGGGGGGAGAGGAGGAGGAGTGAGGAAGAGAGAAGGGCAGAGACAGGGGCTGGAAGTGGAAGAGCTGGGACTTGGGCACCCATATGGGATACCAATGCCACAGGCAGAGGATTATTCCAAATGCTACAAGAGCCAGAGCCAGGCCAAGCTGAAGCTAAGCCTGGGGGACGCCATCTGGGTCTCCAACGAAGGTGCCAGTGACCCAAGTACTGGAACCCACGTCTGTTGTCTCCCATGACTGCTCCAGCGGGAAACAAGAGCAGGCAGGAGCTGCAGCAGGCGCTACGACGGGGCTGTGGGGTCCCAGCGGCTGCACCACCACGGCCAGTTGCTGTTTCTTCCATCTTTTAAAGACTCACTGGACTCTGGCTGGGTAAAGGCTCTCATCCACACTGCCTCTCCCTGGTGTCCCCTGCCCAAGTCCAATGAGTTCTTCATGGCCCAGACTGGAAGAACCCTGGATGCGTCCACTTCCTGTCTGGTCACCCATTCCCCAGCCCCCATCCCACCCAGAACACCCCTGCCTCCACAGGCCTGCTTGACTCTCACTGGTCACTCCCAGCACGAGGGTTGTGCTGTCCTTCCTATGGTACTACCCTGCTTTATACCGTCCACAGCACTTCAGTGACTAGCTGAAATCACCTCCTGTGCTGGTTTTTATTGTCTGTTTCTCTCACTGAATGTCAAGTCAAGGAGGGCAGACAGCTGGGGTGTCTGGCACAGAGTAGATCTTTCCGTTCTCTCTCATATCAATGGACAGCTCAGCCTCTGTGAACACCACCCACTCTCCCCAGAGCAGCTGGAAACTTCTCAAGAGTGCCGCCAGAGGAAGATGCACAAACTTGAAATTCCAGCAAAGTTGTAGTACTCAGCCCTTCCCTTTCACAATCTCTATGGTGTTGCAGAGATCTACACTTTTTTTCCATTTTATTTGCAGTGCAGAGAGAGCACTGGTTCACCCTCCTAGTGCCTCCAACAGCTGGGCTGACCCCGGCTGAAGCAAGGAGCTGAGAATGCCATCCTGTTTCTCATGTGGACGGCAGCATGAGCCGCGGTCTCCCATGATGTGCACTAGCAGGAAGCTGGACTGGAGCAGCCAGGACAAGAACCGGGTGCCTGGAGGGGATACAGGTGTACCAAGTGGTAGCTTAACCCCGTGGATGTGCTCACCACATTTTAGACTAAAGTAAAAAACACACAGCAAAAACTCAGTGGCACCGGCAACCCAGAGAGGCTCAGGCGCTAATCCCAGCTGCTCTGCTTCTGGCCCTGGGGACAGTGGAGGACGGCTCAAGTCCTTGGGCTCCTGTACTCGTGGGGAGACCCAGGACTTCCTGGCTCCTGCTTTAGACTGCCTCAGCTCTGGCCGTGGTAGCCATCTGGGGAGTGAACCAGTGGATGGAAGATCCATCTCTACAACTCTGCCTTTCAAACCAGTATGTCCTCTCTCTCTCTTCCCCCTCTCTCTCACACACACACAGACAAAAAACCTCTCAGGGCCCTCTGCACTGACAGCAGGTGTGTCCTCTCCTCTGACAATGGATCAGGCACGAGGGAAGGCAGACTGTCCCACGAGCAGGCCGCTGGGTTTACCTGTTGTGAACGAGTTCCGCCATGAGCTTGAGCACAGGCGTGGTGCAGGCTGGGTCATGGTACCACAGCTCGATCGCCCGCTGCAGGATCGGCATGTAGGATGGGTATCTGCACACAGCAAGCTAAGGAAGAGTTCCTGCCTCCAGAAAGCATCCTCAGCACCGCCCAGGTACAAACAATCCACGTGCACTCCTTCCTGTGGCAGCAGACCTGGCGTGACTAGAAGATGCTGACGGCAATGGGCAGCTGCTAACACAGCCCAGCTCCCACAGCGCCTTCCTCTTACAGAACACCAGGTGTTCACGCTGCTACAGTGTCCTAGGGAGCAGCTATTTCCTCTCCCTCCTGACTAGCGAGGTCCTCGGCGGACAGGCTGCTGAAGGCTGTGAGGTCTGTGTACACGCTGATTCTTGAATGGGCTGGATGTTTCTCCCTCTCGCATTTCTGCGTGTGGCCAGAGGAGAGACTGGGCAACCGGCTCACATGCACGGACCTCACGTTAGGCAGCAGACCGCTGCAGGAGGCCGTGCACAGACCTCCGGGGGAGCTTTCGGCTTCTGAGCCTCGCAGCACACCTTGCTCTCGGCAACCCCCGGCCCTGCCAGCGCCTCCATCAGCCAGTCACACGCCAGCTGAGGCTTGGGGGCTACAGTCCTAGTTTGCGTTAGGATACATCCATTCAAACAGCATCATGAAGCTGGTCTTGGCGTTGAAGGCGAAAGCTATGCCCCTGAGGTCTCGCACCAGGCCAACCAGAGTGCGCTGAAAGAGAAGCGGGGCAACAGCGGAGACAGTCAGACTCCAACCATCTGACGGGATGCCGCACATCCACGCCCAGGTCTCCCCCCCACACCGTCAACGACATCCTGGAGCGACCTTCCCTGTACTAGACCGGAATCTTCTCACATGAAAATTACTCTGGAAGCTTCTGAGAAAACAGGATAGTTACTGGGCAACGGCAGCAAACACAGAGGCTGACACGGTAGTTAAGAGATTAAAGCAATAATGCCTACTTCAAACGTGGGAGGGGGGCCAGCACAGTGGCTTAGCAGGCTAGTTCTCCACCATCCCATGCAGGTGCTGCTCTACTTCCTGATCCAGCTTCCTGCTTATGGTTTAGGAAAACAGTGGAAAACGGCCCCAAATCTTGAATCTCTGCATCCACATGGCACACCAGAAGGAGCTCCTGAGTGCATGAGCTCCGGCTGCTGCAGCCACGTGGGGAGTAAACCAGTGGCAGGAACATCTCCCTGTCTCTCCTGCTATCCATACCTTAATGCGGGAAGGTCCAGTGAAGACGCAGGGCAGCTACACATCTAATGTCTTAATGACTTATCTCAGGAACTCCCACCCTGCCCATGCAGCCCAGGAGGCTCATGTCCCTTTGGTCGGGGTGTCTGAGAACCTTGAAGCTTTGAAGTAGTCTGCCCTATAGCAAGAGGACGAGGCCTAACGTTGCCAACAGTGTGGCCATGGCCACGTGGCAGGCGGGAGGGAAGCACAGTGACACTGATGGGGTGGCCCTGGGCGCCAGGAGTGCCTCTAGAAGCAGACTGTAAGCAGTGTCAGAAGGTGGCCGCGGCGGGAGCCCAGCTCACTGTGTGTGACCACTGCTATACTTCTGCTGAACAGTGCACCTCAGAAACAAGCAGCTCTGCCAAGCTGATGCCACGGAGCAATGTTCCCAACCACACGGGACACAGAGCTGGGCTCACAGCGACAACCAACTTTGGGTTCTTTTGGCTCATTCTGCTTGCCTTGTACAGGATAATGTGAACAGAAAGGGGTTGGCACTCATGGACAGCTGTCAAGTACAGCCTTGCTACTGACATTCGGGCATCTTCACGCCCACTCAGCTTTGAATGGTGCCTGCCTCCAGCCCCCTAAACCCAAGCACAGTACTGTGCTGCTCAACAAGGCCATGTTCCGAGAAAGGCAACGGCAGGTGCTGCGGCTGCTGTGTGAAAGCTGACCTGCATGGCACAGCTCCTGTGGCCCAGCCACAGGGCATGAACCATTAGGGGTGTGGCCTGCTCTTTAGGCAGATGCTCTTACATGGTGCAAGGCTACGGAAGGAGAGGAGCTGCACAAAGCGGTGCTGCTCCCGCAGCCCTGTGTCCCGCACAGAGCAAGAGCCCGGCAGGCACTGTAAGGAGAGGTGAAGGTCAGAGCCAGGGCACGTCTGCTCTGTTTCCCAGCGAGCCTCCCGACCTCGGGGACTGCAGAGAGTGGGTCAGGAGGGCGGGTGCGCATGAGGGAGGAAGAGGAGGAAGACTGCAGTCAAGAAAGGTCTTCTGTCTCATGTGTCAAAGAGTCCTACTGGAAATGAGAAGGTAGGAAGAAGGAAATAATGACGAAATTTTACATTAAATACTATGCTATAAATACCATATTAAAACTTGTGACTTTTCATAATACAGAATTACTAAACACTATTAAACTATACAGATAAAAATGACCACAGTGGAAGATTTTCACCCCATTAAAAACTAATATACACAAAGAAGCTTACGTGATTATATTGGGACAAATTACGTGATTATATTGGGACAAGCTAAGGAGGCAGAAGCACAAACAGCCCGAGAGCAGAAAACGTGTGAACAGAGTAGAAATGAATGAAACAGAAAACAGAGAAAATGCAGGAAAAACAAGAAGGGATGGGGTTATCCGGCCAATAAAACATTATTCATTTCCCAAAAAGGTTCATGAAATGGAAACTGTAATAAACCTAAATGGAACAGGGGAAGGGAACATAACTAAGACACTACAGAGACGAGAAGCCTAGTGTGGAAACCAAACCACTTAATGCTGATCATTTGAAAACTCAGCAAAGTGGATCATGAGAACGGAGGCCTCTAATATAAGCAAGCATTACGCATGTCCTGAAATGCCAGACTTGGAGTGGTCAGCTGACCGGGGAGACAGTCCCTGGGTAAGGGCTGTTCTCTGCCCGCTGGCCAAGCAAGCCCTCCCAGGGCTGCCCCCTGTGGAAACGCAGCAGCTCGCAGGGCGGACACTCACCTTGGCTTCCTGCTCGTTGAAAGTGTTGGTGCTGAACATCTGGGCCACAGCCTCGAACGCGGCTGTCAGGGGAAGCATGAACTGCTCGTACTGATCTTCATCCTCTCCTGCAAGGGAACAAGCCAGAGCTGGCTGCACAGCAACCGCTCACAGGCCGGGGCCGTGCGAGATGGGGAGGTGGCAGACCCTCTTCGCCCAGTAGGTTCTTAGCAGTACGTGGGGAATGAAGTGAACACATACAAACATGCGTGCACAAAGTACTGGGTCACTCATTCGTGTTCGAGAGAGAACCACATGAAACCCAAAGCCCAAACAGGCGCTGGTGGGGGCTTCAGTTGCGTGAACATTTCCCCCCATAATCTTCCCTAATCTGAGGTTTTATCATTTCATGACCTTAGTACATTGAATAGAAACAGCTCACAACCTCACAACAAGTGAACACCAGTGATGAGCTGTGTGTACACTGCTCCCACAGTGCTAATGCCACAGAGTCTGCCTGGCCCATTTGGGTTGCAGACTGGATGATAACAAACTTTGCTGTCTGTTTTGCGGGGCTGGCGCCAGGGCTCGACAGGCTAATCTTCCACCTTCAAGTACAGGCATCCCATATGGGCGCCAGTTCTAATCCTGATGGCTCCACTTCCCATCCAGCTCCCTGCTTGTGGCCTGGGACAGCAGTTGAGGACGGCCCAAAGCCTTCACACCCTGCACCCACGTAGGAGGCCCAGAAGAAGCTAATGGTTTCAGATCGGTTCAGCTCTGGCTGCTGTGACTATCTGAGAAGTAAACCAGCAGACGGGAGATCTTTTCTGTCTCCCAAACTCTCTGTAAATCTATTTTTCAAATACATATATATATATATAAGTGTGTTTGTACCTCAGAGAGGGAAGATGGAGGAGCTATCCTGCCAACAGAATTCACTTAGGAAGCTCAGTCTGCAACTACCTTAGGGAAAAGCCAGTGCCATCAGCTGGACGGTCACTGCTGCTCTCCTTCAGTTACAGGGACCAGAAGTTAGCGACAACACAGTCACTGTCGACGGCAGGAGACTGCTTATCTAGCTTTCTGGCTTCAAGTGACAACTGAGGGACAGTGCCAGATGACTTCCTGAGACTCTAGGGCTGCAGTACCTAAGTCCACCATGAGGAGACGCCCGAGCGCTGTGTAGAAGGTAGTCCGACACCGCATGTCTGTCAGGTTGGATTGATTGTTAATACCCAAGAATGAAAAGTGCTCGCTCTATTGGAAAAAGAAAACACAGAAACAGAAACAGACTAGTTATGGAGGAAGAAGCACTGACGGGGGCACGCAAGGCAGCCCTTCCAGGCCACTGTGTGGGGGGCACGCAAGGCAGCCCTTCAGGCCACTGTGTCGGGGGCACAGGGCAGCCCTTCAGGCCACTGTGTGGGGGGCACAGGGCAGCCCTTCCAGGCCACTGGCTGCGCGGCTGCTCCCGGAGCACCGGAGGACACTTTCTGCTTTTACATCCTCACTGTGACCTCCTAAGTTCTCTGAGGTGTGAGCGCTGGGCATGACGGTCCCTCCGGGTCCCAGGGAGCAGCGCTCCTGGCCTAAGTGTGCCCTGGCCGTGCCGTGGGAGCCACGGGCTGGCCTGCAGTGGGCATGACGGTCCCTCCGGGTCCCAGGGAGCAGCGCTCCTGGCCTAAGTGTGCCCTGGCCGTGCCGTGGGAGCCACGGGCTGGCCTGCAGTGGGCGTGACGGTCCCTCCGGGTCCCAGGGAGGTCCCCCGACTCTAGCACTCACCGTGTGATTGTTCAGCATGAACTGCACTGCACTGAGCTTCACCAGCTTCCTGACGCTGCTGTACGTGGAGGCCAAGCACGAAGTCAAGGAACGCAGGGCACACACTCACCAAGAAGCTCCCAACAGGTGGGAACTTCCCAGGACCAAGGACTGCTTATCTCGATTTTCTAAATCACTTTCCAAGAGTAAAACACACGAGGCAAAATGTGTTCTCTCCAAAGCAGTACTGAACTCACCAGGCACAGAGCACCCAGCCCACACTCCTGTCTGGGAGGGAGACAGTTGAGCCCTGGCACTTTTCGCTTGGATCCACACAAGTCCCAGAGCAGCTGTCCTCAGCATCACTTTCCACCTCCAGCTCAGTGCAGGGAGAACCGCTGGGCAGAAGCCACACACATCTTCTCTCCTGCAAAGCTTTCCTGGGAGTGTGTGTTTCCAGCAGACCCAATCCAGGTCGCACTGGAGGGAAGCTACTACTTCTGTTATAGGGGAAGTTTCCAGGAATCAGCTGTCAGGAAAATTCAAGGGGGACTTGTGTAATTGCTAAAGATAACGAAAACTGGTCACACGAGTGTGGTACAGATCTGAGCCAGGTATCCCTCAGCCAGGGATAACCCTGTAGGAGATGACAGGCCGGGTGCTGTCATTTGCAGCCTTGTTATTGGCACACTGTCATCTGGGGCAGTGCCCTTGATAGCTAGGGATATGGAAGCTGCCCGAGCCCACCGAGCTGATGCGCAGTGAAGGCCACGGGCGGCCATGGCCCACACACTGGTGGCTGTGCACAGCGGCCGGCTTGGGAAAGGATATCCAATGGAGAGGTCATTCAGAAGCTGCAACGTCTTCGACGTGATTGGTTCACAACGGCCCCAGTACTTCAAGTTGGTGATGCTGCAGGACACAGAGAAAAAAGATCGAGACGCTTTTGATTTGCCTGGCTTCCTCAAGGACTGAGAAGAAGATCATCCATTAAGTCACCACATAATCTGCATCACCAATTCACAGACATCACGACCACAAAAATATATATATAGAAAAAAAAAGATAAACAAAATGGGTATAAAATCTCCATACTTACATTTGATGGACTAGAAAAATTATGCTTCAGATAATCTTCACTACTTGGTTCCAAAGCTACACTGGCCCATACCCAGGCCCTTGGGATTCTGGGGGCACTCCAGGGCTGATCTCTGCAGCAAGGGTAAGAGATTCCTGCGGCAGTGATAACATGCAGACGTATGCAATTCTGCACCTGCACCATCCACTGTCAGCTGCAGAACTCTAGTAGCCCTTGCTTCTGGGTGCGAGGCTGGCAGAGGCCTTTAGGCCCCCTTCGCTTCTCCTCTGAAAATACGGACCAGCTCACGGATGAGCAGGATAGGGCTGGGACAGTTGAGAGCAAGCAAAACGTCATGCTGCACACAGCCCTGGGCAATGAGTCCTAATGTGTGCTTGGATGAACTGAGCTTCCTAAGTGGAGAATATCAATGAAGGGCACAATGTTAAAAAAATGGGAGGGGGGGCAGGCCAAACAGGAGTGCCACCCTTGATGATGTAGTTCAAATGACCACAGAGACTCGTGGAGGGTGTGACGCCTCCCCAGAGGGACAGGCCTCCTCCTGCAGGAGTGAATGCCTGCACTGGCACCCCCGGTAGTGTGGCTGTCAGCTGACAGGCCGGGTGCCAAGTGCTCACGAGGGAGGGCTGTCTGACGCTGAGCCAGGGTTCCACCTTGGTTCCGGAGGCTAGAGGAGTTCTCCGCAGGACAGAACTGAAGCCTTGCCTGCACGAGCCTGGAACGCGCTGGGGCCGGGCCATGTCTCTAAGCACAGCTTGTCACACACTCAAATGCACAGTTTCCTGATGCAAACAACCAATGCTGGCGCGTCAAGGCGCCGGCGGCACAACGCCAAGATGCCACAGCACAGCTGCAACAGGACTGCGAGGGACGCCTGCTGACGGCCCCAACACTTACATCTTCCCGATGAAGACGCTGAGCACCATCGTCTCGTCATTCAAGCCCAGCACTTCCGAGAGCCGGCGGTACAGCTGGGGGCGTGTGAAGGGACGAGAGAACCAAGAAGGCAGATCAGAAGGCACACTCCAGTACTGCTCTGGTCCACACTCAGGCGTTAGGATGTGGGGGACAATGGGAGACGGACTACTGAGGGACAACTTGGAGTCCCAGCATCATTATATACTGGAGAGATGCTGAGCTATCTCACTGGTCTCCTGCAATTCTGAAATGACAGAAACTCTGCCAAAAGCTTCCGCTGTTCTGAGCAGTAATTCATGTAGAGACACTGAGAGTTGCCAATTTAGGGGAGAACAACAGATGTTCTGACTGGCCATTTGTTAAGCATATGGAGAACTAGAGAAATGGACCCAATTCTTCGATGAGTCTCCCAGAACCCTACAGACTCAGAGAAAACATTTGGACCATTCCAACACTTAAAATCCGGAGGCCGCACTGCACTGTTGTCAGTCATTTCCCTCCATCAGAATTCCACAAACAAGCAGGGAGAACTAAATGGAACCGACTGTGAGTCTGTTACCTTGGAGGATTTCTGCACCTGGTCCCCAATGTAGATCTTACGAAACTGTTCAAAAAAGCTCAGCATGGCCAACTCTAGCTTCTCGTTACCCGCCTGGGCCAAGCGAGAATCTGTTAGGTTCATCAGCTGGAGCACCCTAGGGGAAGAGGAGCAATGATTCTCTCAACAGCAGGAGATCCTGGGCACTCTAGACAATCCGAGCTGCCAGAGCAGCCTCCACTCTCGGCCCGCTCTGCAGGGGCCCTGGCCAGGAGGGAAGGGCAGGGCACACAGCTGCTCAGGACAGCAGATGGGGGAAGAACTCACAACCAGCTTACAAACAATGGCAAAATGCTGCCAGGAGGGGTAACGGTCTTTCTGAGCTTTGGGCGAGGCCTGGGGAGAACAATCTGCCGGTCCCAGTTCATCCATCTACGTGAGGGAGACGGGACCAGACTAGCAGTTCTCAGCCTGTTTGTTCACAGACACAAAAGAGGTATTCGGGGGCCGGTGGCACTTGGCAAGGACAAAGAGCAGTGATGGGATCTGGGATTGCACCCCATTTCCCTGGACCCCTCTTTCTTGGAATGTGAGTGACTGACTGTGTAAGCACGCTACGAAGAAGTGGGTCACCTTACATTTGACAGTGTAAGACAGGTACAAGCTGTGACAGATCCTGAACGAATCAGGCCCAGTCACTGCACTCCAGCTGCGAGCCAGTCTAAAGGATATCGCCTAGACTCAATTCACATTATGATACACACACACTATCATATCAGCTGCAGAACTGGAAAGGGATTAGATTTTCTTCTTACTAATCTTTGCTTGGTTCTCTCCAAAACAGCAGTAGTACAACGCCGCAGGGACTTGCCAGGGTCAAGGCACCTGAGGGCAAATGGGCATTTGATGAAGAGGTAGAAAGAGAGTGTGGTGGACTTTGAGGAGATGGGCTCAGGCCCTCGAGGCGAGCCGCGCTGGGCAAGGGCACACAGCCTTGGCACGGTGGCACTGGCTGCCCTCCTCACTTGCCATCTCCCGGAGAGCACAGCGGTCTCCCAGAGGCCACAAGGCCTGTGACGGCAGGACAGACTGGACGGAGAAGCAGATCTGAGGAGCCATGCCACATGCTAAACAAACTTGCAAACGTATAAACTACTGCCACTCCTCCATTTAGAAAAGCTATTTTTTTGTTTGTGTACATGTTATTAGAGTGAATAAACTGACAGTAAGACTCACCTCTCTGAGAAGCAGAGAGGGAGAGCGAGCGAGCTTGCAACTGTCTTGGGTTGGTGGGCTGACCAGCAGCCGCGACCTCCAGCCAGGTCTCCCAGTGGGTGCAGCTGACCTAACCACCTGAGCCTTCGCTGCTGCCCCCAGGGGCTGCGTCAGCAGGAAGCCGGAGCCAGGAGTCAGCCAGCCACTGACGTAGGAATTCTCATGAGACACGGGCATTTTAACCAGCATCTTGCCTGTTCTATTTTTTTTTTTAAAATAAAACAAAATATTCTTTGTGGTCCTCACATTTCAAGATTTACAACCAGAGATAAAAAACAAACAAACACCTTGAAAATCTCTGTATTAGGATAATCTTCCGTGCTAGTGCCGTGTGACACAGGTTAAGGAACTGCCTGCGGACTGGCGACCACACTGAGTGCTGGTTTGGGCCCTTCCTGCTCCGAAGCCTGGGAGAGCAGCAGATGGTCTAAGCACTCGTCACGCACAGGGAACCTTTTGCTGAAATCTGACGCTCCATGCTGCAGCCTGGCCTATCCTTGGGCTGCTGTGGTCATTTGGAGAGAGAACCAGAGGATAGAAAACTCCCTCACTCTCAGCCATTCAAATAAATAGATTTCAAAACAAACCCTTTATGGGACAACTCTGTGTGCATAAAAAAAAAAGTCCTTAAATCAGGTAAATTTTTAGAAATCACTAACTGTGTTATATTTTCCTTCCCTTCAATTTAGAAAAGACAGTTTCCAGGGCCCGGCAGTGTGGCCTAGCGGCTACAGTCCTCGCCTTGAACACACCAGGATCCCATATGGGCGCCGGTTCTAATCCCGGCAGCTCCACTTCCCATCCAGCTCCCTGCTTGTGGCCTGGGAAAGCAGTTGAGGACGGCCCAAAGCTTTGGGACACTGCACCTGCGTGGGAGACCCGGAAGAGGTTCCTGGTTCCCGGCTTCGGATCGGCGCAGAAGCAGCTGCTGTGCTCACTTGGGGAGTGAATCATCGGACGAAAGATCTTCCTCTGTCTCTCCTCCTCTATGTACATCTGACTTTGTAATAATAATAATAATAAAAGACAGTTTCCAGTCAATGTTAACGCTCACTTAAACATTTTCAGTGAAATGAGAATCACACAGAAAATGCCCTGAGACCCGGGAGGTGGGCAAGGGTAGGGGCTTGCAGTGTGAGATTGCACAAGCTCTGTGAGTTCCACGTGTGTCCATATCAGAACTAATTTCCCCTCGTGGCCAAAGCAGCTGCATTTCCCCAGCTGAGCTACTGCTTCTAGAGTTTTAGTTCTGTATCCAGCACCTCCTTGCAGGCTCACTGACAAATGTTTCTCCAGCAAACAACCTAAGGTTCTCGCTGCACTTAGCAATCGTCTCCGGTTGGATCCGTGACAGTCCCTTGTTCTGATGAGCCACCGGCTCCCTAGGCCTGACCTCTGCGTGGGGAGTCGGCCTGAGACGGAAGACAGCGGGCTTGCAGAGTACTTACCGACAGACAAGCTCGCCGTCCATCGCGTCTTGCTCATCAGTACTGGCAAAAGACACCCGGCCGCCGATCACTGCTCCGATAATGTACACCAGCCACGTCAGCCGTCCTGCAGCAGGAATAGGACATGAGCGCCACCCCCAGGGGAAGGCTCGTGAAGACACGGCTCCCTGTGCCCGCCCTTGACCCACTGAGTCTGCTCGGGTAGGCTGGTGCCAGGGGCGCCATGTTCAGCAGCTAGTCAACGTCCCTCCAGCAGACAGGGTTATTCTGGGGGCAGTACTTCCAGTGTTACGGCGCCCACTGCAGACCTGGCTTCCATTACTCTTCCCAGTGTCCCGTGGCTTTTCCTCACCCACAGCATCCTCTAGTGTCTACGCTCAGGCAAGTCCACACTCACCCTCCTGCACAGCAATGTCCATGGGGCTGGCACTAGCGCTCTGCAGCAGCTCCTGGTAGGACTGGGCCGACTGGTCGAACAGCTGCACCAGCAGTGCGCATGTCTTCTCGTACTCGCAGCGTCCGATGGTGGACAGCTGGTCCAGCTGCTGCTGCACCAGACCTGTATCCTCCAGAGGGTCCTCCAGGCCATCTCTGTCCCAGGGAAGAAGGCAGCTCTCGTACGACAGGTCTACCGTTCTCTCTCTTTTCACAATGTAGCCCCTATTTCTACTGAGAGAAGCTCATGTGTTCCAAGACTTTCCAGGTAGGGAGAATATTCAAAAACTGAAAATGACCTTGCCCTGGCAGCAGGCTCTCCGTAGCTGTTTGGCTTCCCGGAGGCCCGAGACCTCGCCATCCCATGCCGTCCAGCTCTGGGTTCTAGAATCTTGGCTTCCACTTGTGCTCGACTACCGTGACTAGCATCGCACAGTCACAGTGTGAGGCCACTGGGGCAGAAGAGTTCTAGAATGCAGTCTCAGGTCTGAGAAGGCAGCGGGACCCGCCTACCACCCGACACAACACCCTCAATAGGGCCGCAACACACCAAGTTAAATGCAATGATGCTTCAATACTAACAAGGTCTATAAATGATCTAATGTCAGTTCATGTTAAGCTTTACCACTGAGTGAATTTTTGTGCTGTTTAAGTGAGAAGACTGTTTTCACATCTTTGATTCTGGAATTACGGATGAGACACTGTGGACACACATTAGGTCCTGCCGTGGGGGCTTCCAGATAGTCACATGGCGTGTGACGAGTTCTCTGTACTGTCACAAAGTGTGCCAACAGCAGAACCCAGAGCCCCAGCTGCTCACTGCTGCACGCTTCCCACGTGCTGTACCCTGCACGACTCACATCCACTTAGTCATTGCAAGAACTTCAGCAGTAGCTCTGTGATTTGTGTTTCACAAATGAGGGAACTGAAAAGGCAGCTTGCTTGCAGAACCCAGAGCCACACCCCAGGGCACCTCACTAACACTCCTTGGATGCTCCCGGACAGAAGCCATGAGCTGACGGCACAGGCTGGTCCTGAGGGCACTCGAATCACAGGTTTGTCAGGTTTAACAGGTGACAGAATGCACCCGACACAGCAAAAAGATCATTTCACTTTGCGAGGTCACTGTTGAAAGACCTGACGCTGCCTCAGCTACAGGCTTCTGGTCCGCTTCACAGGCAAGGGAGAAAGCAGTACTGTAATGCAATCAGCACCCCGTGGCCTCGAGACCCACTTGTAGTAAGTGCTAGAATTAGAGCTGGTAACAGATTACCTACTCTTACTTGTCCCCTTAATTTCTTGTACAAGTTCACACTGAGCACCTAGAATCCGGCACTGTGCCTGAGGAAATCAGTGCTGAGGACAATCACACAGGGACGCCTGGGCTGAAAGCAACAACGGGAGGCCGCCCCGGATGTGACAGAAAGCATTCTTTCCGGCTTGCTCCTCTCAAGTGCCACTCTTGGCCAAGGGAACGAGCCAGCAGCACAGCGTTAGTTCGTGCAGGACTCCCGACCAGGCCTCCCCTGGCTGGCAGGCGTGTGATCTGCTGTAAGCCTGATGCCAGGCGAAGCTGAGCACTGCTGGAGGGTCTTACCTCAGTATAATGTGCACGGACTCCAAGCGGGACGTGATGTAGGCTTTGGTGACCTCAGGCGTGTAGGTTTCCAGCATGTGGGGCTCTGTGGCCTTGACATATGGCACAGAGGCCGCCAGTCGCTGCCACAGGCTCAGGAGATAGTGTACACTGTTTGGGGCAAATTCCCAGTGCTAAAGAAAGCCAAGAAAAAAAAAAAGCAGAGGGCACGCTTTTTAATTCTGTCCACCCGAGTCCTGAGGCACACGACAAAGGGGAAAGACGCTGCGGTGTAGGAGATCAAGCTGCTGCCTGCGGTGCTGGCATCCCTGGGGCTGCCGGCTTTAATCTCGGCTGCTTCACCCGAGACCAGGAAAGAGTTCCAGCCTTGGGCTGGCCCAGTCCGAGCAGCTGAGCCACCTGGCAAATGAGTCAGTAGATGGAAGATTTTCTGTCTCTCTCCCTCTCTGTAACGCTGCCTTTTGAAATAAATATTAAAAAAATAAAACAAAAAGATAAGCCTTGATGGACTTTGTTTCACATCATGGCAAGTAGTTCAACTCGTTTATCTCTTACATTAAGTTTTACTTATCAATTGTTACTGTTTTCCAGGAGAGAAAAAATAAATCACAACATTTCACTGGTTACTCTTAGAGGACTGAGATCAGCCCTACCCTCTTCTGAAGTCGAGTTTTCACCCCACGCTGTCTTCGCTGTGGGACGCTCAAGAGCTCCACGGCGGGGGCTACTGTAAACTGCCAAGGAATGGTGACACTTGTCACTGAAGTAGTATTTATTATGTCACAATGCCGGTAAGGACATTCCCCAGTGTGCTCCTGTCACTGTTCTGGGCACTGGGCTCCTTCCTCTGTTGAAGATGCGGACAGAGCAACGGCCTGGCCTTGGCAAAGCACAGTCTTTGAATGTTCTTCTGTCTACATGCTGGATCCAAATTCTAAACACACTGTTGAATCACAACGATTTCAAAACTAATGTGATATTAAACTTATTTTTAATCGACTTTGAAGTAGCAAAGTACTGAGAATATCTCTCTTCGTGCTACTTTCCTTGGACTGCTTCTTGTTTTAAAATTCATTTATTGAGGACAGTGTGATGGCTCCACTGGAATGCAGGTGCCAGCATCGCATATGGGCGCCGGTTCATGTCCCAGCTGCCCCGCTTCCCATCCAGCTCCATGCTTGTGGCCTGGGAAAGCGGTCGAGGACGGCCCAAAGCCTTGGGATCCTGCATCTGGCACAGGAGACCTGGAGACCAGGTCTCCTATAAATCTGCCTTTCCAGTAAAAATAAATACATCTCTGAAAAAGAGAGAGAGAGAGACAGATCTTCTCTCTGCTGGTTCACTCCCCAAAAGGCTGCAACGGCCAGAGCAGAGGCGACCGAAGCCAGAGCAACACAACACATCAGGAGCTTCCCGCTTCTGCCCTCACTCCTGCCGCATTCCCCAACTACACCCTGCCTTCCTTATTTCTATTTTTTTCCTCTAGTTTTTACACTAGCATACTTTGGATTTCCTTTCTAATCACAGGCTCAACACGGCAACAGGTAAAGATATCAATCAACAACTGACAAGCAGAAAACAATCAGAGCTAAAAAAATCAAAACAAAACCCAGAGCCTGCTGTTTCTCAGCTGTATAAACAAAGGCTGTACAATAACCCAATCCAGAATCTCACACTCCCACTTAGATTACATTTTGTATTTTGCATATTAGCTAGCATAGCATAACACTATTACTAGTGTTTGGATATAAAATATGCAACAAGGAGCGCCGTTCTATGCTGTGAAGTAAAACCCCATTGTAAGGAAAAGCGGATGTTACGTGACTCTGGAGAACTTGCTAGAACTGTACGTGCCCAGGCTCCAGGGAGGACTAAGGCAGCAGCAGTTGTGGAAGTCAGACCAAGGCGGCTGCACTTTGTCCCCAGGTCCCAGTGGGAAGGCCCACTCCTGTGCTCTTTTTAAACTCTTCTCTCCCTCCCCATTCCATCTCTGCTTTCTTCAGGGGCCTGTGAGGAAACGCTGCCTAATCTAAAATGTTACTTTAAAATCCCATGGTTCTCTCACTGCACCCCTTGGCACTCCCTGCACACAGATGCAAAGACTACAACAGCTACCACTGTCTAGGGTCATGGCACATGGGTACATTCACCACCTTGGGTAAACACATGTAAAGCTGAAGCCGAGCAGTGACAGCAGGGCTTCTGCCGGAGAAGGCCGACACGGGCGGGCACACACCCACCTGCAGGCTGGTCACCGTGAAGTTGGCGATCAACCGGATGACTTCAGGGTAGTTTTCCACCTTTACCAACTCTCCCAGTTGGTAGTTACTCTTCAAACGGGCCAGTAGTCTGCAAAACTCATGGTAATTGTTTGGGTCTGACAAACTCTGGAAACAGAACATGAGGAAATAAAACATAAAATGCGAGTCAATATATTACCAAGGACACACACGTGGGATGACACTAGCCAGGCAGAACTCGGTTTTGGAACTTCCTTGCAGAAAATGACAGGGCTGTACAGTCTGTAGAACACATTTTATCAATGGCGCAGTTCCCTTCTCATCTTGTCTGCTCGCCTGGCAGTCACCCTGGGAATGACTCCCAGCCGGACCAACAGACCGCCAGCAGAGCAGGAGCGCGGTCCTCCAGGCTCATCGTAAAGCTGACCGAGGGCAGAAATGGGCAACACCGAAGACACGACTGGCCTGCCTGCTCCTTGTCAACAGAAGAAAACGGTGTCAAAGGTGCAGTGCCCATCTGCCAAGCTGCTACTAAGCACAACTAAACTACGGTGCCAACGCTACAAGTTTCCTCCTGTATTTACACTAGGTCATCAATACCATTGCGAATGCACGTGACAGCATCTTGTTATGTACCTAGGGTTGGTACTATCGATCCGCTCACATATCGCAAAGCCTTTCTTGCATCTACCTTCTGCTAGTAGTCATCCCTGGCACAGGGCCGCGCTGCAGAATGCACTGAATGCGTAAATGTGTTTCACAGGCACAGCAGCAAGGATGGACACTCAAAGGTAGTGGTCAGGGGCCACCTGCGACTCCTGCATCCCTTTGACTTCAGCCAACGATCCAGCTTCCTGCCAGTGTGTAACCCGAGAGGCAGGAGAGGATGGTGAGCATTCAGGCCTTTCCACGCCAGCTCTGCCGCAGACCTGCACCAGCTCCCAAACTCTGGCCTGGCCCAGCCCTGGCGAGTGCAGGCTTTGGGGGTCTGTCAGCAGGTGGATGCTCTCTCTTCTAAAAGATTTTGAAAAAGGTGGGAGTGAACTAAGTATACATACGCGAACTACTTTTTGTGACTTTTCTTAACATTAAATGGCAACTAAGTTATGGAATAAAAACCTGGAAAACAAACATGTGCCTTCCCTCTTAAACACAAACCTACAGGGCGTGGGTTGAGGAATAAACATTAAAAATTTTAATGAAAACAAAAGAGACTTCTCCCTTCAGTTCTCCTCAGTTCCTTGGTTAAAAGAGCCTAGCTCCACCCCGAGTTTCCCGCCACCCAGAGAACCCTTCCAACAGCTCTGGCACTTACCTTTTGGGCAGACACTCAGGGTACGCCTGCAGCTCAGGATCACACGAACCGTCTAAACACTGAACTTCTCTTCCGAGTGGACATACTTCTGACTTGCAACAACTATGCACACACTGATCCTCTACATACATAAATTCTCAGAAACGTCTTACCTGTGGGTTTTCCAGTATTCGTTTAACACCATCAACCAGGTGAGAGAGGAACTTGGCCCTCTCTGCGTTGTTAAACAGGGACCTTCTCACCGAGGCGATCTGCACTAAGCAGGATAATACCTGAGACAAAGGCACAGCACAAACAGCAGATTAACAAGGCGCTGCTTCTATTTTTACCAGACAACCCTGCCTGTCCCTAATAATGTTCTGAAATGGTCTTATTAAAGAAAAACCAGCACGAGATCCAAGTTGATAAAAGCAACTAGCCAAATTCAGAGTTTGGAAATCTGCTCAGAGGTGCTTTTCTTAGGTAACTCCGGTGGCTTCTTTGAGTCCCCTTTGTGCTCCCCACTCAGTTTACTCATATGAGGGCAAGACTTGCCATTCACCACTGGCTCACTCCCCGTCGGCCTGGAGCAGCCAGTCACAACGTGGGAACTCTCCAGGCCTCGAACAAGTGGCAGGGACCCAACCACTTGGCCTATCAGCTGCTGGCTTCCAGAATGCGCATCAGCAGGAAGCTGGAATCGGACAAAGCCAGAGCTCAAACCTAGGCACCCTGTCTGACACAAGATGTGGGTGGCCCAGATGGGAGCTTACCCACCAGGGCAAATGTCTCTTCCTGATTCTTATTAACCTACTACATATTGAAAACATCCATTCAGTTTATAATTTAAAATAAAGCTTCAGATTTATTTTTATCTTCTGGTTTTAATCAAGGTTTTGTACATGATACCATGATGAAATAACCATGCCAGAAAAAGCCCGGAAAAGTCAGCTTTTGCACTGAACACTCCCCCCTCCCTTCTCTGCTTGCCCTACCAGATCTTTCTTCTGCCCTTCCCAATCCCACTTTGCTTCCCAGGAGGCTGACCTCTGTCAACAATAGCCAAGGTCTCTGTAGGATTTCCCTGCGTTTTCTGGAGCACTTGAGATATGTGAAATACTATTTTAGAATCTGCATGGATTTCAATATTTGACGTCAATTATTACATTAAAGGAGAAATACATTAGGACAAAATTTTTAATGTTACTAGGGCAACGGAGCAAATAACCTTCCATTATTACTATGTAATGTATGCCTGCAGCATTTTCAAAAGATTTCTGAGTGGAAACAAATCTTACTGATTCCACCAGCACCTCAGGTGAAGCTCCAGTCCGTGGGAATCTGAGGTGAAGCATTAAGAAACAAGATGAGGGGCCCGGCGCGGTGGCGCAAGTGGTTAAGTCCTCGCCTTGCACGCCCGGGATCCCATATGGGCGCCGGTTCTAATCCTGGCAGCCCCGCTTCCCTTCCAGCTCCCTGCCTGTGGCCTGGGAAAGCAGTTGAGGACAGCCCAAAGCTTTGGGACCCTGCACCCGCGTGGGAGACCCAGAAGAGGCTCCTGGCTTCGGATCGGCATAGTATCGACCTGTTGTGCTCACTTGGGAGTGAATCATCGGAAGGAAGATCTTCCTCTCTGTCTCTCCTCTCTGTATATCCGCCTTTCCAATAAAAAATAATAAAAATAAATCTTAAAAAAAAAAAAAAAAAAAAAAAAAAGAAACAAGATGAGGAAGCCAGTCCCATGGTATAGAGAACTAAGTTGCTGCCTCCAGCACTGGCATCCTATATGGGTGTTGGTTCAAGTCCCAGCTGCTCCACTTCCAATCCAGCTCCCTGCTAATGTGCCTGGAAAAGCAGCAGAGGACGGCCCAAGTGCTAGGGATCCTGCCATCCATGTGGGAGACCTGGAGCAAACTCCTGGCTCTGGCCCGCCCAGCTCGGCCACTGCTGCCTCCTGGGGAGCGAACCAGCAGACGGAAGATCTCTCTCTGTTCATTATGACTTTCAAACAAACAAACCAATCAATCAATCTCAAAGAGGAAAAAAGGAAAGGGACCAAGATGACAGCAAACCAATTCACTGTCCGCAGTAGCTGTGTGCAGACAATAACCATTTAGAAACCACTATGTTTTACTGTCAGCACCCCGGGGCCACAAGTTTAACCTCCAAAGGCGAGAACTGACCGCATTATCTCTGCCTTATTTCTATGGCTTCATGCAGCAAATGAACAGAAACTCATTCAACACTGCTTCCCTCTACAAATAACCCTCCCCCTGGAAATTGGGCCTGACTCACCAGAGGTGAAAATGAAGGAGGGATGGAATGATACAGGTCAAAAAACAGCTGCAGAGTCGAAGCATCCAAGAACGCTACAAAAGACCAAGGTTGTCACATTATCGAGCGTGTCAGCCACCGCTGCTCATACTTCCCACAGCAAATGAGTCAGTGGACCCTTCTGACGGTTCTGCTTGCAGATATTTCCTTAGAAAGTGATAAACCAACAGGAGCTTTTGTCTTCCATTTCCTTTTAAGGAGTGTGTATCGGTCTTGGCTCCTTTAAGAAGCACTCCTATGGCTGGCTCACGGATCGCACGGCGGCTTCGTTTTACCCAAGAGGGTTTTGTATTTTCTTCACTCATGTATTGTTTATTCAGCTGCACATTTTTCAGCTCCATGGTGCTGTAATTTTTTTTTTTACCTTCACACCTGTTGTTGACTTTGTTTCATGGCTTCTTATTTAAAGGAATGTATAGTGATGGTGTAATAGAGACTACCATATGCAGATATGAAGATACAGTACGCATCCCTACTTCCAAATCAAAGATGGACTCCCAACAAAACTGTTGGACACATCTGGACAACGGGATGAACTGTCTGACTCTGTACCAGTAATGTCAGGGAACACTTAAGTAACAGACTGATGGACGTATGACTGCTTATGAAGGACTATACTACTGTAACAATACGGGGCAAATCAGAAAGCGGTGGGGCGGGGAGATCCTAGGTCCTATGGAATTGTACCATAAAATTAAAAAAAAAAAAAAAAGTAAAGAAACATTCCTTGTAATTCTTGGGGAACTTTAGACAATCCAAATAGTTCTTTTCAAACTTCAAACCAAGAATTTTATGTTTTTACATAAAAGCCCAAGTTCTGCTGTGCCGTTTTGCTTACCTGGGCAATGACAGCGAGAGGTAAAACCCACACCTAGTGTCCCTCGGTAACTAGAGCTTCTCCCCCGGCAGGTGTCTGTAGGACCCCCTCCCGGCCTCCAGTCCCCCGCCCGCCAGCACTCCAGCACCAGCCAATTCTGAGCTTCCCCAGAGCACACGGGGCCCCCCTCCCTCCCCGGGCGCTGCGCGTGCTGTCACCTGATCTCCAGCTGGTGGGGATTTGCACCGTGCACAGGTCGTCTGAGGACTCGTCCGTGGAGGTGCCGATGAAGTCAAAGTTTAGGCAGTTATGCGTGAGCTTGAGCAGCTGCATGAGTAAGCCATGCTGACTTTCATCATTCAAGTTTAGATTCTTCCCCGAAGCCTGTAAAAGTTACCATGTAATGAGCCCCAAACAATCACTCCTCCTCGATCAGCTTGTTCCTGGGCTTGTGATAAGGTGGTTAAGCCAGAAAAATGAAGCCACCCTGCGAAACTGCTACTTTCTCTCACCTACTGCTATTGTGAAACTGCCCAGCCCCTATCAGAATCATGAAGCCGACATGTAAAGAAAGCTTCCTTTTTACATGTTTGTTCCACGGTGTAGACAAAGGGGCCACAGGGAATTAGGGAAATGTGGGGTGTGGTCGGTCACTAGTACCATCAACACCACAGCAGCTGGGCCTCAGAGCTCACACGCCAGCCTGCTCATGACCAGTCTTTGAGAACATCTTAAGTTTTCTCCAAGCTTTTCCCCCAGGGACTTCAACAGCTTTTGCCAGACGGCCTGCCTAACCTGAGGAGTGTCTAGGAGTTCTGAGCTAAAAAATGAGTGAAAAATACACAAATAGTATTTGAAGGGACAATGGAATAAACATAAAGCACAAAATGACCAGCAGTCAGACACTAATGCCAGGCAGTGCCCACAGGGAGCACGGAGCCCAACCCAGCTACAAACGCAGGGCACCCTCAACACACACACACGCCAACGCTCCGCTTCCAAGCAGGTAATCTCCTATGTGCTACTGTCTACCCCTTAGCTCCCTCAGTCTAAATGGATGCTGAATATGCACGCTCCCTTCCCTTACAGATGTTGCTGCTTTATTTGCCGCTGTGAACCCAGCAGGGCGCGGGAAGGAGAGCCTCGCTCTGCCTCTAACATTGCATCTGAACCTGCTCTCAGAGCCAACAAGCCAGACGCCAGAAGGCCAGCATGCTGTCACCCCACGTGGGCAGACTGTATCAAACAACAAGAATTCAAGCTTTGTGGCAGACTGGATTCCTTTAAGAACAGAGCCTGGGGTAAGGGTCCACATACTGCTTCTCACAGGAAAATCACCCACCGTGTCTCTAACTTCAGTGGTCACTCTGTAACTTCCTTCCCAACTCTGAGATGTGTGTCACGTGAGGGAAGAGGACAGAGTCTCAGCGGTCGGTTAGGAACTATGTGCAGAGCGAACTGGGCAGCACGAGCTCACCTGTTTCAATAAGTTGCAGGAAAGCGTGAAGATATCGAATAATGACGAGTCCCGGAAAGAGGAGGCTATTTTTCTGTGCTTGGTCAGAGGATGGGTGGTATCTGCCTGGGAAGAAAACAAAAAGCCAATGCACAGTTTGGAATTAATTGCTAAGAAGAAAAATTTTTTCATGTAGACTTCAGATAAACAGAAGATTTCCAACAGAACAACACAACCACAAAATCCATTTCTAAGATTTCAGTTATTGCTAAGCCAAGGTTAGTGAGACGATGCAGAGGTGCTGAGCTGCTCCTGGTAACCAGCGTGTCACGTCTCTCCAGCTTCCAGCAGAACACAGCAGGAGGGACCTCAACTACAGCCACGGTCTGAAGAGCAAGGACCATGCCTGTACACCAACTGTCTTCCTTCTCCGACCCAATGCAACACAGCGTCGAAAGCGACAATTTAGTCCAAACAGCTGTTGCTCTCTCACTTCCTCTGCCCTTACTGTAGTACTGAACTGTCCTTGTGGCTAAGGATCAAACCCTTTGCTTCTCTGCTATGCCTCGTACTGTACAGAGTAAGCGCTCAGCAAGTGGCAGGAAGAATTTCAGGGTTCCCAAGGGAATTTAGTCTAGCGACCTGCCAGAAGCTTCCACCTCTTCTATTTATAGGCCAATTTATCCAAAAGGGGGATAAACGCCTTAGCCACGTTTACAAGTAATGCAGCTATATTTCTGATGAATAACTGAGTCCTCTCTGATTTTATTTCTATGTTCACATAGGAATGGTAATAGTAACATGTTTTCTCATTTGAATTTATCTCTTTGAATTACCGACAACCAAAAACCTTCCCAATTCCAGATTCAGGGTCACTGCTAACACACGTCACTTACTATTCTAACAATATAGTATATATTAACAAGTAAGGGTTTCCAGTCATATATAATATTCTATATGTCCTTGAATAATCAGACTGAACATAATGTTACACATATAAGACAAAGCTGCATCATTTTCTCAAGAAAGACAAACACAAGTTTTTTATACTAACATGGGCGCGTTTGCTGGGTCAAGCTAACACTGAGCCCAAGCGTGCTGTGTTCAGCTGACGCATGCTCTCCCACCCACGACAAACCTAACAAGAATTACATTGAACACCAGCTGTCATCAGCGCGGGCTCTGGAGGACGAGCTGGGTCCGAATCCAGACATCCCTGCTTCCAACTGGGAAACCTCAGGGGCAAACTATGGAACCTTCAATGCCTCGGTTTCCCCAGCCCCGTGCCTGCATCACGGGGGGCTGTGAGAACGAATCCAGTCCGCAAACGTGCTGTGCTGTCAGCCGTCACTGCTCTGGGACCTGCTGCTCACAGGACAGCCTGGGACCCAGATCAGACCGCAGGGCTGAGCAGGCGGGAAGCAGGAACACTTAAGGTATCTGACGTTAATGAAATGCCTGCACGATGAAGAGCAGCAGCAGCGGTGACTCTTCAGCATTAATGTGCTGACAGCTTAAGGTTGGATGTTATAACTAACACTAATGTTGGCCTGTTCAATAATTACAAAAGTAAGCGACTGAAAAAATCCTGGCTAGAGAAGGGAGAGGCGGGGGAGGCCAGCGGTGTCTCCTCTGTAGCACTCCGTGACAGCCAACAATTACCCCAAACATTAACTGGCATTTCCAGCAGAATGCTTCCTGCATTCTAGCCGGGTAACTGCCAGCGATGCCAGCGGCCGTGCAGCTGCGCTGCCCAGAGGGCACACGGGAGCAGGGGGCCACGACTGACACTCACTCCTCTGGCTTGTTCCTTCGGATTCCTTCTCTCCTGTTAGGCAGGTGGTATTTCACGATGGCTTTCACCTCAACTAACCAAGGCACGGAGGAGACGGGAGGGCAAAACCCTCTGAGGAGAGAAGTGACCAGGACAGACAGGCGGCCTGCACGTCCAGAGGAATCCTGGGAGCCGTGCTTCATAAGGCATCAGCACTGACCGCCAAAGCGCACAACACGGCGAGACACCAAGACCGGGGACGACACGGCACTTACTTCAGTGAGGAAGGCTGTAGCACTTACTTGATTAATTTCATTGGTTAGCTGAGATAAAATTGTGACGCCGATGATGCAGTACTCAACGCTATCCTGGGTAGGGAAACGGAAGGCAGGAAGAACTGGCGTGAGCACTCACACTTTGGAATGACAGACCCCTAGGTCATCGATAAAACTGCCTGGATGAGGCAGCAAGGAGTTACAGTGCTTCACAGAACATAAAAGTTAACTGCCATAAAGGAAGGCTGCTCAATCTGCCTTCACTGAACAATTTAAACTTCCATATTTCAAAAATCCCCTTAAGTATCACAGCCTGCATATCATCAAATGATACACTGCAAAGCAGAGAGTCAAGGTAAATGATGAATGAGCTCAACTTACAGAGAGACCACGCACAACAGTGAGACAGGGGCAGAGGATCAGAAACAGGGCACAGTCTTGGAATGTGGAACAGTGCGCTAAGCTGCCGCCTTCTACGACAGTGTCCTAAGTAAGTGCTGGTTCGTATCCTGCCTGCTCCACTTTCCAACCCTGTAGTGGAGGATGGCCCAAGCACTGGGCCTTGGTGGCAAACCTGGCTGGAGTTCCAGGCTCCTGGCTTAGGCCCGGCGTGGCCCTCGCTGCTGTGACCAACTGAGGTGTGCTGACTCTACCTTTTCAAAGAAGTTCTTACATCCTTGGCAGGGGAGGGTGTTTGGGGTGCCCGCACTTCCTACTGGCCTGGGAGGGAGTCCTTGCCTGGCTCCCGATTCTGTCTTCCTGCTAATTCATAGGTATGTACATGTGTGTGTGTGTGTGTGTGTAAAATAAAAATATTTAAAAAGGCATAGATAGGAAGGTCACAGAAAAATACATTAGTAAAATAAAATGAAAATCTGCCTACTCTCATAAATGAAATAATGAGATATTTACTTTTTAGTTTCAAGTTGGACAAACAAAAAATTTAACAATCTGTTAGCACAACTAGGTCTTTTTTGAGGGGATTTGGAAGTACGTTTGAAAGGCAGATACCATCCTTTGATCAATTCCAAGGCCAGGCCAGGAATTCAGAGACTACAAACATGCAAAATGTCCATCCTACCACAGTCTAAATGTCCATCTGTTAGAGACGAGTTATTGCTACCTTGCAATGAATTAAAACCACACAAAACCCAGGCACGCCTGCAGCCGACTGCGTGCAGACATTCCCTCGTACATGCTGTACTCATACTGTACCTGCAAAAACCTGGTGACGTCCGTGATTGCATTTCTGAAGACATAGTCGTCCTTCTGACAGTCGAACCAGCCCAGCTTCGTGATCCTGGCATATAACTGGATCAGTGCTTGTGTCACAAAAGTAGCCAGCTTTGGCCGGGTGGCAAGGTAGTTGAGCACATAGTTCCCTACAAAACAAAAACACTCCGTAGAGCAGACAATCCTACAGCAGGATGCGAGATGGCAAGCTGGGGTCACTCACCCTAAGCCCTGTTAATGCTTTATCAAGAAGAAATGGGACCCCCAACGTGAGGCTATTTTACTGGTCAGCATGGACACTGAGCCACTACAGCACAATGCCAAGCAAACACACACGATACAACCAGCACACCGCTGAACAGGCTTAACTCTTTCAGAGACGGAACATTTTTCTACTTACGAATATCTATTCGTTGTTCCAACGGGAGGGGGTTGTTTGTGCGTGATATAAGCTTCGTAAGGCATGTAGCTGCCAGTAACTGGGAGTAGGAAGACTGCAAGAAGGAGAAAAGAACTTCAGATTGTACCGTCAAGGTGTGGCAGCCACAGCCTCTGCGGGAAGGTCACCTGTTCCGCTCTATTCCATTTTCGGATTTTAGAGGGTCTGCCACTCTGCGGAAAAAGGAGCCCCCGACGGCATGGGGGTCAGCTGGCTCCACCGCGGATGAGGAGGCCCAAGAGAGCAGCCAGATGGTGCTGGATCCCACACGGACACCTGCTTCCCTCAGACAGACCCCAGAGGGCACCTTTTCGGAAAAAGACACCACAGACTAGCAGAAAAATCTCTTCCCCTCAAAATCCTTGTCATAGATCTCAAACCTGACGACAGAATGACACGAGGAGGAAAAAAAACGGTTAGCGTGACCTCCCTCATGCCGTGGTTACTGCCCAAACTCGCTCTTCAGCAGCTCTAGTTTGGGGACAGTGGATGACAGTATTAAAATTTTCAAAACATACTTGTGAGAAAGAGAACTTACATCCCAAGCATCTTCACATTCTCAATCCTAATTGTATGTGTGTTTAAATGAGTTTTAACTTTATGAAGGATCAAAATATTCCATTTGCTCACAGCATATAGAAAGGAACCATGTAAGAATTCCTTATTTGCACAGAAGTGAACATGGACCGCGTGTCTGCAGCTGCCTGACAAGTCAACTGCTTCCGCAACAGCCCTTTGAACGTCCTTTCATGGCACCCGCCCTGTTTAGCCAAAAACAGGGATTTTACCAGATCACACATCGTTCAAGCTTTTATCCTGATCAGTGCCATGCCATTTTCAAGCTGAAAGAGGTTTGAATTTCATTTTTAAATCTATAACTTCCTGGCATTTTCACTGTCAAGGTCATTTTCCTTAGACTTACTGTAAGGCAATGGCATTGGAGAGGAAAACCCAGAGAGAACAGAATCTCGTAGGTGACAAGGCCTGCGGACAGGAAGGGTCACTCACACCCAGCCCTGTCACATGCACAGAGACAGAAGTAAGGGGTCAGCACTGTCAAGTGTGGGATAAGCTCTGCCCACTACAAGGGGCATTCCACACCAGAGCACAGGCTCCAGTCCTGGCTGCTCCACTACCAACCCAGAGCCCTGCGAATGTGCCTGGGAAAACAGCAGAGGACGGCCCACGTGGAAGGGCAGGATGGAGTTCTCGGCTACAGCCTGGCAGTGTTGGCCATTCAGGCCATGTTGGGGAGTGTACCAATGAACAAAACTTAGCAAAGAAACAAACAAATGTTCGTCGTGACAAGGACAGGAACAAATGACCACAAACAATCTTTGTGGTGGGCTACCTGGCTCTTGTCACCAACCGGGCACGTACGGTGCTGTCGGTGCCAAGTCAGGAAGGCGCAGTCCCCCTGAGGCCACCCCATCTAGTCAGAGTCTACGTTGCTAAGCCACCGTCTTCCCCTCAGAATCTTTCCAATCTTACGTACACTTCCTCTTTCAAGGAGTAGCTGGCACTTGCTCAGGCAATCGGGGCTGTTGGTGAACTCCACCAAGGCTTTCTCCGCCTGCAGCCGGGTGGCTGTATCTGTTGTCTCATACAGCTGTTTGCACAGATTTTCTAGTTGGGCCAGGCTCTGCAAGATCAACGGAGAAAGGAATTGGATCAGTCAGCTGCACACACAAGCACTGGGCACACAGACGCACCCATGGACAGATCAGTCAGCTGCACACACAAGCACTGGGCACAGAGAAGCACCCACGGACAGAGCCGAGCAGTGTCGCTAACTCTGACCTGACAGGAACCACTTCACTCCAAAGGCGACATGACGAAAGGCTTATTACCACATCCATTCACGTTGTCTTGACCAGTCACAAATGATGTTTCTCCCTGTCCGAACACCCACCCACCAGCTAAACTTTATCAAAACCGGTCAAAACTGACTTATCCTGTCATTAGTCAACACTAAACGCACCCGTACATGACGCAAGCACCCTCCCCCCAGCTCCCTCTGGCTGTCAGTGCCAGTCCCTGGAGCAGCTGCTCTTAGCTGCCTGGGTAGTGGACGCCTCCAGAGAGGGCCAGCCTCGGACGGTTACCCACCTTCCACGCCGGGTGCCTCATGCCTCAAGTTCAGCACACACTCTTCTCCCACTGTACTTTAACCTCTGGCTTGGGCTGCAAATTTAAAACGGGTCCAAATAAATGCAACCCTAGCATCTGCTCACCAGGAGATAAGACAAGGGGCACGCCCCAAACAAGCCCTGCTCTCCAAATCTTGAGGCAGCCCCGGAGGCAGGGAGGGTGCGGTGGGTGTGTGCACTTCCGTGCAAACCCCACAGGGATTCACGTCCAGCTCCCCTGAAGGAGGTGCTACAAGGCGCCCGGGGGAGAGAGAGCACACTTCCCAGGGCAAAGAGGAAAGGCTTCGAACGGCGGTCATCAGACCATGTCTGAGCCCATTTCCATCAGGCGAGGAGGACCGGGTCTAGCTTGAACAGTCCTAATATCAGAAACGACCACGCACACAAGGGCGAAAAAAGCCAGTGGTTAAAAAACAACAACCATGAGGTCTGTGTAAACTGCCCGAAATATCCTGTAGTGGTGGTCTGCACAAGACTTTTCACCAACACTTTAATTCACATGTTATTACTTTATAAATCAGTTTCCCCCTGCACAGGTATGCCTTGAGGGCAGGATTCCTATTTTACTCCACCTGATTAATAACTTTCCAACATTAACCTAAAGCAAACAGGAAAGACAAACACTGCGAGTCTGGTTCATCAGACTCACTTCAGAGCTCCCACGGCCCACAAACAACCCGAACACTCACAACCAAGCCCAGGGGTCCCCCAGGGGTCTGCAGAACCAGGCTTAGGGGTAACTTGCTAGTCTGACTTCAGGGGCCCCAGGACTCTGTCCAAAAAGGCTTAGGTCTAACTCGTCCTACTCCAGGGGCCTCTGTGATACCCCCGATTTAAAAGCGCAGAGCACACTGCCATGCCAGTCGGCTCCCAGGCAGAGCAGCAGCACTGGGCGTTACACATGGCACAGGGACACAAGCCCTTCCAGGCAAGGCCAACTGCACACACCCCACCAAACGCTGCTCAAGGTCATTTGCACGCTTGCCAGTGCTGGCTCACGACCACTGAAAATGTGGTCAGTCTAATGACAAATCCCCACATCCCTGAGCGGGTAAAGCTCCTCCGTGAGATCTTGTCTCAGCACTGAGGTCTGAGTTTTATTTCCTCCTATAAAACAATGCACTTACAAGAGGAGGAAATGTTATTTCTGAGAGAGGGAATGCAGAAGACAGCAGCAGCAGGAGGCAGTAAGACGGTAGTTAGGGATAAGCCCAGCACGGGGCGCTGGGGCACACGGGGCGCTGGGGCACACGCGACACTGGCGTTGAGATTTCCGAGACACTCCCCGAAGGGGCCTGCTGATTAGGGCGCTGGCTGCTCCCCCTCCGTGCGACTCGGTCTGTGTTGATCACAGCCAAGCTGTGCACGTGACGGCGGCTCAGCATCTGTCACGGGGCGCTCCTTACTGCCAGCTTGGGTTATGCAGGCTTCTGTGGCTGTGTCTGCCTCGCTTTAATTCAGCAGACAAAACAGACTGCAGGGTAAAGTCTGATAATGAGTTCTCTACTCGCAAAACAAGACTTTAAAAAAAGAAAAAAAAAGTAATTTGACCATTTAATCAACAGTATGAAGAACTACAGTTCTATTTCTTTGTTTCTAGAACAACAAATGGAAAACAATTCTGTTTTCCCTAGCAATTAGCGGAAAGCTCCAGAACACACAGGTTAACAGCCGTGCCACTGGGCTGCCCAGACTGCCACGAAGGGATAAGGGATGAGGTTTACATTTATGCGCTGTGGTTCCTTTGGCTTCCAAAGCAAACCTAATGGTGGGATTATTTAAAATTCCCTTTTTTGCGGGGAGAGGGTGGGTGGGTGGGGAAGCAGCAAAGACAAATTATGTCACAATTGTCTGAGTAGCCATTAAAACTAAGAAATCATTAATACTACAGTAGTATTGGTATATGCTTTCTACCAATTTAGCAAATATTTGAAAATGGTTGACAAAGGCTGTTATTTGCAGAAAAATTGATACACGGGCCTGTTTTTTTTTTTGGTTTGTTTTTAAAATCACGTCAGCTCCCACATGAGGGAAGGGCATGATGTGGTATCTTGCTGTGTCTGCTTTATTTCATCCCACAGGATGTCCTCCAGCCAACCACCCTGCTCAAACGACAGGTCCTCACTCCCGAGTGGAGCTGAGCAGCATCCGAGTGTGTCCGCGTCACCTGTTCTTTATCCACCCAGCTGCTGAGGGACTCCTAGGCTCAAGCTCGGTCTTGGCGACCGTGAACAGTGCTGCTCTAAGTCGGTGAACTGGGATCTCTGACACAATGAGACCGGGTCCCTTGGGGGCTGGACCTCTGCGTTCCAGAAAAGAAGCTAGTAAATAAAAGATCTTAGTCAGAAAGCTATCACTTCAAGGGAAGGCAGGGTTAGTAAAACCAACATCAACTACATTTTTAATCTATTAGAAAAGGTACTTTTGTTGTCAATGACTTTTATTGTGATATTATCTAGCTATCACAGATAATTTAAGAGAAACCTAAAAAACCATATTAGAGTGTATGTTGTCTGTGCTCTAACTTATAAAAGCAGCCTGGATGAATGAATCGAGCGACTCCCTCTGGGACGTGAGACGCGTTCAGCGCGCATGCTGCTCTCACATTCCTGTAACTGCTCTCTCTGTATAGTTACGTCACTCGGCAGGCAGGAGAAATCATCGCAACTCTACAGGGAAAGATTTTTGTTGTTGTTGTTCTAAAATCTGTAGTGAGACTGAGTGACCCAGCCTGTGGCTCCGTCCCCAGTGCTTGGGGCTGCTGGGTGCAGCAGGGGTCAGGTGCCTGGAAGGCAGCGCGGGCCTTTCTCCCAGGGCGGTCAGTCACCGCTCAGAGCGCACACCAGCAGGGAGCTGCAACTTCAGCCCAGACACTCGGACACTGGACTCTGGTGTCAAGTGGCATCGTTTTTCTTTTTTTAAAGATTTATTTATTGGAAAGCCAGAGTTACAGAGACAGAGGGGTACCTTTCATCTGCTGGTTCACTCTCCAAATGGCCACAATGGCTGGGGCTGGACCAGGTCCCAAGAACTTTTTCTCCTGGGTCTCTCACTTGGGTGCAAGGGCCTGAGACCTTGGGCCATCCTCTGCTGCTTTCCAGTGTGTTAGCAGGGAGCTGTGTGAGTTCCCAGGATTCTCACTGGTGTCCATATGCAATAACAGCAGCTGAACCCACTGTGCCACAGCAATGGCCCCTCAAGCAACTGCCTAAGGAAATTCTGAGCTATATTTTTCTCTAAATGAAATCATACCAAACCATTTTATAAATAAATGCTAATTCCATCATCAAGCAGAATTAACAGATAAGTTTATAAAACTAAAAGAGCAAAAAGTGAGTGGGAAGGTTAATTTGTAAACATCCCTGGCGAGGCTCGCCCTGCGGAGCGGAGGGCAGTGCTGCCAGGCTGGGCGAAGCTGGCATCTCCTACGGCCTCCTCTCGCTGACTGCGACAAGCCTGGGCTGAGGCCGTCTCCCCTCAGACCCGCATTCACCAGCAGTTCTCAGGGCCGGGGGTGGGCAGACTGTTTCTCAAAGTCACCTGAAGAAAGCGGAAGACCTTAACATGTTACGTCAAGAGACCCAGACAAGGTGAGCAGGCAGAGGAATGAGAAAACACCAAGGTGAACAGCATGAGACTGAGATGGAGGAGGCCCAGGCCAAGCTGGCTCGCTGTGGCACTGCCGCCAGGGGAACCGACTCACACAGCGGACAACTGCAAGTGGGGATTAGGAAGGCCAATGCGTGGATCCCCACGATCCAGAATCTCCACTTCCAGGTAAATACTCCAGGAAGCGTCTGAGGCTCATCAGCTAAGCCAAATGGTGGCCAAGGAGCGTTCCTGGCAGCACGGCCGGCTTCACTTCTGCCCTGCGTGTTGTGTGTCCGTTACCCAGGCATGCTCGCTGGCAGCAAGCTCCTGGACTCACACACACACCTGGGATTGTTCTGCACGTGTAGGCAGACGCCACAGCTCTGATCCTCCAGGTGCTTCCTGTTCTATTATCACCTTCTTATAGAAGGTTGCCCATTATCTGTAACTGCACCTTCTTTCTAGAACGCTCCAGCTGTACACAACTCAGGCCTTCAGGATGGACTTGCCTCACTTTCTCAGGCTAGAACTCACACAGGATTTGGGGACACACTTGGGAACACTCTATTTCCGAGGTCCTAACAAGGCTGAGGAGCCCTCTTTGCTCGTACATGCCATGTGATGTCTCCTGCTCCTGCTGTAAAACTAGATAAACACATATTTGCAAAAGTGATAATGCGACGCTGGTGCCCTGCATGCCTCAGATAAGAGGCAGGCTTGCCAGCACAGGAATGAGACTGCAGAATTCTACACTTCACTTCAAAATACTCATCAATACTAACTTGCAATAAACACCTACAAGCTTTGCACTTGAGGTAGTATTTGGCTGAAATACATGTAAACAAATCAGAAGTAAAAAGCAGACTGCGCCTAGACACCTCCTGGCACCCGCAGCAGCCAC